ATACTAATATTTATAATTTCTGATATTTCTAAATTAAACAAAGGTTTTTTATTGTGTCTTATATTCAAATCATTTTTTTTCTCACCATGCTATTTTATTTTATTAAAACCTAGTAAAGTTTAAAAATGCTCACTAAATTATAAATAATAATTCTGCTACTTTTTTAGAGCCGAATTCCTGGACAGCGTAATGTTCCGCATGGGAGTTCTGGCCACCTTGCGATCCCGGTACCGTGGAGGCTCCGTAATCGGCGTAATGATCACGGCATCGCACAATCCGGAACCCGATAACGGAGTGAAGCTAGTGGATCCCAAGGGAGAGATGCTGGAGGCCAGCTGGGAGGCGATAGCCACCGATTTGGTCAATGTCAGCGACCAGGAACTGGAGCAACAGGTGGCCAAGATCATCAAGGAGAACAACATCGACGTGACGACCAGTTCCCAGGTGTTTGTGGGCATGGACAACAGATACCACAGTCCGAGATTACTGAAAGCGGTGGCCGACGGGGTGATAGCGCTCAAGGGAAACGTCAAGGAGTACGGAATTGTGACTACTCCCATGCTGCACTACTTTGTGGTGGCGGCGAATACGAAGGAGGCCTATGGCAAGCCCACCGAGGAGGGCTACTACGAGAAACTGATCAAGGCCTTCGAACTGCTGCGAAACGGACGCCTGGAGAACGGAAATTACCGCAACAATATAGTTTACGATGGCGCCAATGGCGTGGGTGCCCGGAAAATATTGCAGTTCATTAAGCGCATGAAGAGTTCCCTGAATATTACGGTCATAAACCAGGGCATTGGTGTGGGCAAGATCAACGAGGACTGCGGCGCAGACTATGTGAAGGTGCAGCAAAGGCCGCCGAAATCAATGCCCGAGGTGGAGCCCTTTACGAGGTGCGTCAGCGTAGACGGAGACGCCGATCGGGTGGTTTACTTCTTCAGCGACGACAAGGGCGACTTCCACCTTTTGGATGGCGATCGCATAGCCACTTTGATTGCCGGCTACCTCATGGAACTGGTTACGCAGGCCGAGATTAGTCTGCGGTTGGGCCTGGTGCAAACCGCCTATGCCAATGGAGCATCCACCGACTATATTGTAGACGAACTAAAGTTCCCCGTTTCCTGTGTGCCCACGGGCGTGAAGCACCTGCATCACAAGGCGCTGGAGTACGATATTGGTGTCTACTTCGAGGCGAATGGTCATGGAACGATTGTGTTTAGTGACAATGCTAAGGCTACGATTGCCCAAGCTGCCGAAACTAAGGAAAGTGCCAAGACTCTGCTGCTCCTGATTGATCTTATAAACGAAACCGTCGGCGATGCCATCTCGGACATGCTGCTAGTGGAGACTATCCTCAACCACAAGGGCTGGGACGTCCAGGATTGGATCGCATCGTATGATGACCTGCCCAACCGGCAGCTGAAGGTTAAGGTACAGGATCGCAACGTTATCGAGACCACGGATGCGGAACGAGTTTGTGTGAAGCCCGAGGGTCTGCAAACGGAAATCAACAAGGTGGTGGCCAACTACAAAAGGGGTCGGTCCTTTGTCCGCCCCTCCGGAACCGAGGATGTGGTGCGGGTGTATGCCGAAGCAGCCACCAAAGAGGTAACCATTTAAATTTCAAAAAGAATTTTAGTGTACCACTATAACCAACTATTTTACCACAGGACACTGATAACCTTGCCTATGAAGTGGGACTTCTGGTGCAGAAACTGGCTGGTGGAGTGGGCCCGGAATTGACGAAACCCAATAGTGCCCATCTTTAATAAAAATAAATAACGAACCAACCTCAAAGGAATCGATTATCGACACAGGTCCTCGCTGGAGCAATAAATCTCTGTACTTTAAGGTGCTCAATAACTTAAAAGTCTTAACTCTCAATCGCATTTATACTGTAACTGTTCACTGTCTTGTATGTTCTAAAGATGAGAAGTTTTTGTACCACTATCTATAAAGTTCTCTTTATTTTATCGTTGTGGGAGTTAAAATCTAATTATGATCTGAGAGCTTTATGCAAATGCACGTTATTTTTTTGTTGAGCTACTAGCGATAACTATTGAAATTATAAAAATAATGATAATAGAGATTAATGACCCCAATAAATTTTGTATTGCTATTTTCTATAAAATATATTTTAAAGAAATTAAGTCTTATTAATTTAGGGGGGAGAAAAATGTAACAGAATTTTAAGCATTTGTTGAATAATATACCAGCATTATTCTTAGTTTTTTATATTAGGGGGATTCCCTAAACTGTTGAATTGCTGAATTGTTGAATTTTGGTCAGCTGTTAATCAGCTGTTCCATACAAAGTCAACTTTCAGAAATTTCAGCAATTCATCAGCCTCGGGGCTGTTGAAAATTTTGTTGAATTGCTGAAAAGCCAGAGTTGTCACCTTTTTTTAAAAGTCGTGGCAACTCTGTAACATTTGAGTATCACCAGTACGCATTATTTATTTTAAAATCAACTTAGAAAGCATATTTGTGGTTCTTTTTACCTTGGTTACACTTTTAGACAGTAACTAGCAATAATAAATCAAATTTTACATGCTTTAAGTTCCGCGAAACTTTTCAACAAATAACAGCTGTTTGAAAATTCAACAGGAGTCATTTTGGGTCGTTCCCTTAATTGCTGAAATTTTTTGTTGAATTTTCAACAATTCAGCAATTCAACAGTTTAGGGAATCCCCCTATTGCTATTCGATTAAATCTACAAATTAAAATGTAAAAAGCTTTGAAAATTTATAAATTATATAGGTAGGTTCCGTGAAACACGTTTCTTATTTTGAATAAATTAGCTAAGAACTGCCACGTTATCGGATACGTAAAAATGCTTTTCTTTTATTAAATTTGTAAAAATAAAAATTAATCTAAGAAATATAACATTTTTCTAAAAATTAATGATTTATTTTTAATTTTTATAGAGCGTTTTAGCAGTTTTCTTGACCAATATTTTTTTTACAAAAAATTAAAAAAAAAACAAATTAAAAAAAAAAAAAAAAAAGAAAACAAGAAAAATAAATAAATAAATTTAATGGTCTATAAGTGGTATTTCATGAAACAGAAATGGTATATTTTGGTATTTATTTTCAGCTCGGATGGTATTTCGTGTTGCTAGCGGCGCTGTCATACTGTTGCCGTGCTGTCACTTTTTTGGCTGATGCAATTGCAGTTTTTTAGTTAAAACAAAATTAATTTCCAGTCAACTAGTATTCAAAAAGCATAAACACAATGGACGCGGAAGACGTAAGTTCGAAAAACAGAAGGAAGAACATTTTCAAGGGGGAAAACTTTGGAAGAACAATCGCATATGTCCGTACATGTGCGCCCCTGTGTGTGTATGTGTATTTACATATTTGTGTATGAGCACTGGGCGGACAATGAGGTTATGTTTTCCTGATCCGGATTTTACCTTACCGACTTTCCCATGAATTCCACAGGGTTTCGATCCCACTTTGTTGAAAAAGAAGAAGAAGAAGAAGACCACCTTCGATCTGGACGCGGCGTTGGGCCTGGAGGACGACAGCAAGAAGGAGGATCCCCAGGACGAGGCATCGGCGGAAGGAGGTGCCGCCGCCGAGGAGGATAATCTAGATCTGGAGAGTTTCGGCAAGAAGAAGAAAAAGAAGAAGAAGCCCTTCAACATGGACGAAATCGAGGCTGCAATCCCGAGTTTCGGCGGCGATGATGCCGCCGCCACCGAGGAGCCCGAGGAGGAGGAGATCAACCTCGACATGGACTTCTCAATGGCCAAAAAGAAGAAGAAGAGCAAGAAGAAGGATTTGGACGAGCTGTTTGCGGATAAGGACGACGACAAGAGCGAGGACAAAGAGAATGGTACGATGACTAATGGGATTCGTTTTCACATGTTCATTAGTTTGGACGAAATGCTTATCATGTCGTCCAGAGTTAGTTTTGCATCGTTATAGGCCAATATAGTATGTTTTTCCTTACAAAAAGTTAGCAAAAGTTAGTCTAAAAAAATATTTTTTCTATATACGGTCCTATTTACTGATCATGTTACCTATTAACCCAGTTTACAGTAAAGAAAATGTGTATTTTTATATTCACATGACATGTTTAACATGTTGTCCAAAGTTAGTTTTGCATCGTATATAGTATGTAGTATATATAGTAAGTTTTTCCTTACAAAAAGGTACGAATAGTTAGTATGAAAAGCAATTTTTTTTAATATACGGTCCTATATTTACTGATCATGTTAGACATTAACCCAGTTTACAGTTAAGAACTCATTTAAAATAAGTTTTTTTATATTCGCAAGTTTTAAATATTCCTTAAATTTAGTAAACAATAGCTTAGCTCTCTAGTATATTGCAAACATTTATTTAATTTTCCAAATACTGTCTAGTCAACCCCTCTAACGTCTTGTTTTTCTTGCAGTCGAGGATAATAGTTCAACCTGGTTTGGTTCCGACCGTGACTACACATACGACGAGTTGCTGAAGCGGGTCTTCGAAATCATTCTCGACAAGAATCCGGACATGGCCGCCGGTCGCAAGCCAAAGTTCGTGATGCGACCGCCGCAGGTGCTGCGCGTGGGAACCAAGAAGACCTCCTTTGCCAACTTCATGGACATTGCGAAAACGCTGCATCGCCTGCCCAAGCATCTGCTCGATTTCCTGCTGGCCGAGTTGGGTACCAGCGGGTCGATGGACGGCAACCAGCAGCTGATCATCAAGGGTCGCTTCCAGCCCAAACAGATCGAGAACGTGCTGCGTCGCTACATCAAGGAGTATGTAACCTGTCACACCTGCCGCTCCCCGGAGACGATATTGCAGAAGGACACGCGCCTGTTCTTCCTGCAGTGCGAGTCCTGCGGCTCCCGCTGCTCGGTGGCCAGCATCAAGTCAGGTTTCCAGGCTGTCACCGGCAAGCGTGCCGCCATTCGAGCAAAAACAACATAAATTCTCCTTATTTAAAGTTTGATTTTTTATTACCAGTAAAATTTCAATACATGAAAAAAACCCAATATCTTTAGTTATCACTTTTGTTTTGTTTGTGCCAGTCTGTTAGGTGATCTGCAAAGCCAATTTCCATTTTCCGAGATCTGCCGCTGTCGATGAAGAAGGAAAAAGCATCCAGGCCCACTTTATCCCTGTAGAAATTGGGACGACCGCGTAGAAAGAGACTATTGCCTCTGGTGATGGGCGAAGGATCTATGTATTCCATGGCGGTCCTGGAAAGGCTGATCATGCGTTCTGCTATGGGTTTATAGGCCTCCGAGGAGGCCAGTGAGGTGGCTTCATTGCTGAGGCAGGTAATTACTTGTCGAATGCCTGGCTTTTTGGCAATGCTCGCCTCCAGAGATCCCGTGCCATCATCGATTATGTATTTATTGAAGCTCTGATTGTGGGTTCCAAAGCCAGCCACAAAAGCATAAACAAAGCAGGTGCGAAAGTAAATGGGAGCTGAATTGTTAGTCCCATCATAAGCTATAAAAACATTTTCCCTCTCCGCATCTTGAGTTACCCGTAAAATATGGGATATTGTTAGGGGAATATTGTTATGAATCTTGGGACCAGATATTTCGGAATCGGATTTCTTTTCCTTCTGTTGGTTCTTGCGAATGATGAAATTATCCAACTCGTTTTCAATGTCATCGAAACTTGTGTTTGAGTCCATTTAATTTGATTAGTCAGCTGCAATTTCAAAAGGAATGTACGATTGCGGTGCATTTTACATCAGCACCAAACAAAAACAGATGTACGGATGGGCGTAGGCAGTCTTAATTTTGATGTTATCGTGGGGGTTTAAAGTAGAACAACCCTCTAGCTACACCCATGAATATACTGCAATTTTTGTTTATCGATATCGCTCATAGGTATGGCATATTCCAGGGGGTGATTTGCATTTCACTTAAGTGATTACCACTGATTTGGAAATGTTATTAATATTTTATATAAATCAATTTTAAAGACTAGAAAAAAAGGTTTTTTTATTTAATTTATAAAAAAATAACTTTATTTTCCAGACCCCTTTTGACAATATCAAAACTTTTTGACTACGCCCCTGAACATTTTACCTTATTTAATTTTAAATAATAGGCGAAACTCCAGATAATAAATTATTACGCAACATACATTAATAAATGTTAAATAAAATATTTGTATTACTAAATATTAATTTCACCACCACGAGAAATGCAGTCGTATAAAAACCCACGTTGGCAGCCCCTTTTCGCGCATAGCAAGTGGGCAGGCTCGTTGTGTCGCTTGTGAAATTAACGAAAAAGTACACTTTGTGCAAAACTAAAACTAACCGAGAGATTCGCATCATCTGGTGATCTTGGAATGTCTGGTGGTCCGTCCATAACGCTCAAAAGCCAACCAATCGATGGTAACAACACTGGGAACGCTGCGGCGCAGCAGCAGCAGCAGCAAAGTGCGAATGGCGCAGCATCTTCGGGGGCGCCTGGAGCACCTGGCTCCGCCCAGAATCCAGGAGGAGGCGGTGGAGCAGTAGGCGGCGGCAGTGTCCCGGCGGAGGGTTCGCGCCAGAACAGCCTGCAGCGGATCCAGCAGCGGAAGCAGAAGGTCTTCAATCTTCCCGTGCCCCAGAAACTGGCCAAACTCTCGATGTACTCCGCCTGCCAGTCGGAAGGATGCCGCTGCACCGGCTGGAAGACGCCGCAAGAGAACCGCCACCGCGACGTGGAGTCCTCCTACTGTCCGGAGTTCAACGAGGAGTGCAGGAATGCCAGCTGCCGTCACTCCCTGCGGATGCACATAGCCCATTTGGACAATATTTCGAGCTCCAGCATGGACGAGCTGCTGGGCGCCATCATAGACATGGAAAACCTGTTCATGTCCATGCAGCGCGTCGAGGACGAGGACACCAAGAAGGTGTATCTCTACCTCTTCCGCCTGCTGCGCCAGTGCGTCCTCACGCGCCAGCAGGCGGTCATCCGAGGTCCTCTAGGGGATCCGCCCTTCGAGTCGCCCTGCATCACGAAGGCGGTGCTCTCGCTGGTCTTCTACAAGTACAACCACCTCAATCCGACTGAACTGCAAACCATAACAGAGGTGGCCAAGACGTTCTTGAACTTCCTGAATCACTACAACTTTGAATCGCCATCGACCAGAAGGGGCGATCTCACGCATGAGGATGCCTCGAACTACAAGATTAACTACACCAGGTGGTTGGTTTTCTGCCACGTGCCCGCCTTCTGTAACTCCCTGCGCCAATTCGAAACTTCCTTGGTCTTTGGACGCACCCTCCTGCGCACCGTGTTCCAGTACATGTCGCAGCAGCTCAAGAAGAAGTGCATCCTGGAGAGGGATCGGTTTCCCGAGGACAAGCGCTCGATCATCGCCCAAATGCCCAAGTTTTTGGAGGCCCTTCGCGCCGAACTGCTGAAGGATGACTCGCCCATTTGGGATCCCAACTACCGGCCACCGAACTCGTTCGTCATCCAGCAGAGAAAGCGTCATCAAGAGGTGGCGCCCGTGGCACCAAGTGCTGGCCTAGCACCCATAGGCGGCGCCAAGCGGTCGAGTGTGGGAGAACCGCTCCAGAAGAGAATCAAAAAGGAACCCACTGATCGATCCAGCAGGTTGGTTATTAATATCTTTTCTCTATATTGTAACTAATGTTCCTTTTTTAGTGAGAACTTGGACGATTTGCCAACGGATGTGGTGATGCGCGCCATGAAATCGGTGTCGGAGTCAAAAACCACCAACAAGGCAGAGATACTCTTTCCGGTAAATGTTTCCCGCGATGAGAATGTAAAGGCGGAGGAGCAAAAGCGGGCCATTGAGTTCCATGTGGTGGGCAACTCGTTGACCAAACCGGTGGACAAGCAGACTGTTTTGTGGCTGCTTGGCCTGCAGCTTGTGTTTGCCTATCAGCTTCCGGAGATGCCGCGCGAGTACATCAGTCAGTTGGTGTTCGACACCAAGCACAAAACGTTGGCGCTCATCAAGGAAAACCAGCCCATTGGCGGCATATGCTTTCGCCCCTTCCCATCGCAGGGTTTCACTGAGATCGTTTTCTGCGCGGTCACAATGTCCGAACAAGTGAAGGGCTATGGAACGCACTTGATGAATCACCTGAAGGACTACAGCATCCAGCGGGGCATCAAGCATCTGCTCACGTTTGCCGATTGCGATGCCATTGGATACTTTAAAAAGCAGGGCTTCTCCAAGGACATCAAGTTGGCGCGACCCGTTTATGCGGGTTACATCAAGGAGTACGACAGCGCCACTTTGATGCACTGCGAACTGCATCCGAGTATAGTCAACACGCAGTTTATTGCTGGTCTGTTAATCACTTAAATGAGAAAAGTTGAACCTATTTTACACTTGTTTTCTCCCTTGCAGTGATTCGCAATCAGAGCGAAATTCTGAAGGAGCTGATAGCACAACGCCACAACGATGTGCAGAAAGTCAGACCCGGTTTGACGTGCTTCAAGGAGGGCCTGCCCTCGATTCCCGTGGAGTCCATTCCCGGGCTGCGAGAAATCGGTTGGAAGCCGCAAATGCGCCCGGCAAGGTCTGCCCGTCCCCTGGAGGAATCGTCCGATCCGGAGAAGCTGGCCACTTCGTTTGCCTCCGTTCTGCAGTCCGTGCGTCAACACACCACCGCATGGCCCTTCCTGCGTCCGGTGACTGCTGCCGAAGTGCCGGACTACTACGACCATATCAAGTATCCCATGGACCTGAAAACTATGGGGGATCGACTGAAGAAGGGCTACTACCAAACGCGCCGCCTCTTCATGGCCGACATGGCTCGCATCTTCTCCAACTGTCGGTTCTACAACTCACCCGACACTGAGTATTATCGGTGTGCCAACTCCCTGGAGCGCTATTTCCAGACCAAAATGCGCGAGCTGGGACTGTGGGACAAATGATGCAGTGACTCTGAGGAGCCTTGTATAAAACCGAATATTTAATCTTCACTAACGGAGAACGTTACTTCTATTTATTTTAGAATTTTCTGCGACAAAAGACAAAAGTGAACAAAATTGATAATATGCATTAAGCTTTTTCTAGAACCTATCGCCTTGTCTTGTTCATTTAGACGGGCTAATTTAAGTTGTCTTTAGGAAAAATAAATCAGAACTTTCACCTACTAATTCGCCATCATTTCACAGGGCCACATATTAACCGACCCTCCGAAAGACAAAAACCAAAGTTGGTTAAATGATTTGTAACCTCTACATTTTGTCTTAACTCTTTATTTCACTTTTGATTTCCTACATTCATTGTTTGCATGCTTTTAAAGTTAGGATTTCTTTGTTTTCGTTTGGTTTAGTAAACATTCGTTTAATAATGTCTGTTATAAAATTATATTGTATTTAATATTAGGGGCGGGAGTTAAATCGAATTTCTAGGTCATTGTACAAAGGCTCATGCATTAATCCGAGGGTTTAACGATGCGTTTCTTTCTAGGCTGCGTCGGAAATAGCGAAAGCTCTCGCGAATATGCCAATGGTACAATGAAAATGTTAACCGTAGTTGCTTACTGTTGAATTCAATTATCTTTTATTACATGGTATTCAGTTTTCAGTTTTAATTTCAATACGTGGTAGTCTTTACAATTTAGCCATTACTTGCGAAACGTGTTTTCCGTGTTTAACTCGATAATTGCGTATTTATATACATACATACATATGTAGAGCTAATCAGGGTGAGCATATATGGAGATATACATATTACATACAATTAGATACATAATTTATGATTACATAATATTGAAATGTGTGGTTACTCCTTTCTCCTGTTTCCGAAAGAGCATTGTTAACTACTGTCCTCCGATAACCAAAACGGACTCTATTCGGCACTCGGCGGTTTGTGCTGAATTCAATATAAATATATATATCTGGATACAAGGATAACAAACAAATCTAAAGGACTTCAGCTGGATACATAAGCATGCACAGACGTAATTTTACTCGGTTTCAAGGCCTCGATTTCAACCGGAGCAGCCAGTGATCACACAATCTTAAGATATACATCAAGAACATCGTATCGTTTTAAATCGTAAGTATAAATTGCATTACAGGCGTGGCGAAAGAACGTGCAATTTGTAAACCAACCGAGATCAGAAAAAATAAATTGTACGAAAATTTAATTTTGGGCTTTTCTGTCAGACTTTTCAAAAAAATTACAATTTTCTAGTGGTTGGATATTTTTCACAGTTTTGGAGACGACTTCACTCTTCAGCTGGGGCTAGATTGACTTTTTACAATTGTGCTCTTCAAACAAGCATAGCTGCCGATTTTATTTTCATTTTCATATTTAAAATGCTCTTAAATAATATATTTAAATGCTAGTAAAACGGTTCGAGTGTTGGTCGATGTTTTACGCCCACAAGAAATACAGTATTACAATCAGTTTTTTTTTTTTGTTTTGTTTTTTTCTTTCATTCAAATAAAAACATATTAATTAGCTTTTATTTTAGTTTTGGGAATTCCATGGATTTAATTGGTTGCTCCATTAATTTCATTATTGTTATCGACTCCTCCGCTAATTCTCCGTGTTTTTGTAGCTTTTTCATACTTATGCTTACTATGTTCCTCACATCTATTACTAAATATATGTATGTATGTAGGCGTGCCATTATCTCCTCGTTATCATTACTCATTACCGTGTCTTCTGCTCAGCGAAAGGCGTTGGAACCAGCCATTTACACAAAACCTAACAGATGGCCGGTTCACATCCACAGTCGCTAGTCGGTAAGCGCTCATCATCGCCAAGCACACGGTGGTTGGTGGGCGGGCAGCGGAGTGCGCCCCAGGACGTCGTGAGAGTTGTAACACTAATTTTAATTATACAAATATATTATGCCGTTAGATCCATAACTCGAAATTCCTGATAATAAGAGCCTGTGTGTCGTCGATCGTTCGGTCGGTCGGTTGATTGGGTTGCTTCGAATAATTAGCTTTGCAAAGAATAGGATATTTACTTTCTTCTTAAATCGCATTTATCAATTGTTTATTTAAAGTGGTTCTCCACTAGCTGGGCGGCACTATTGAGCTGTATGGGCAAACAAAGGTTTTTTATTTTTAACTTTCTATAACAATATTAGAGGTAATTGCTACTCACAAACTGCCGCCACCTGTTGCGTCTGCTCTGGCAAGAGGGACGTCGACTTTGTCGTCGTGGTTGTGGCGTTCGGTGCATTGGAGTCCGTGGCATTGGATCCATTGTTGGCTGCCTTCAGCGCTGCAGCCGTATTGGCATTGCCGTTGGTGATGTTCGGGATTCCGTTTCCTCCCCGGTTGCCGCCGCCGTTGTTGCGATTGTTGGTCCTATTGCGGAAGTTGCCACCGCCGCCCATGCGATAGTTGTTCCTGTTGTAGCCGGGCGCTCCTCCGTATCCAGAGTTCATGCCGCCGTTGCCCGCTCCGCCCATGTTGCCATTGTTGTTGTAGTAATGGTTGCGTCCGCGGTAGCTGGTTTAAATATATATTTAAATATATACCACTATGAGAGATGCTTTATTAGCGCCACTCACCTGCCACGTCGAGTCGAGGACACTCCGAAGGTCTCCGTGTTCAACTTGCGCTCCTGGCGCCAATCATTCTTCTTGTTCTTGCTGCGATCCTGGGCAGCCTCACACGAGATGCTGTCGAAGAACGATTTGGTCTTGTCGTAGCACACAGCAACGTCATCTTCCTCGGGCTCGTGCTCTCCAGCGCCGGTCTCATTGCCAGAGTCATCCTTCTTGTCTGTCTCGCCATTCAACTGCAAAGAGAGGGGAAAAAAATGATGAGTTATACTGTTGAGGTACTCTTATTTTAACTACAACTAAGTAACAAAAATGTGTTAATAGGAGTTAGAGCCCTGCATGAATGGATTCAATGAATTATTTAGATTTTTTTGTTTTATTTGAATGAGTTGAATGAGTTTTTGAGTTTAAAAGAATTGAATTAATTTGAATTTTGAGTTTATTCCTAAATAATTCAAACGACAATTTTCCTTGAAGAAGAAAGGGCCATAATTTTGTGATTAAATCTGCCTGAATTTTATTTACAATCCAGTTAACATTAATTTGTTAAAAATGTTCCACAACAAAAATCTGGCAAATTCGAAAAATTCATAAAAATTATTCATTCATTCATTCATTCAATTCGAAATAAATTAAAAGAATTTTACTTTTTGAGTTTAAAAGAATTGAATTAATTTGAATTTTGAGTTTATTCCTAAATAATTCAAACGACAATTTTCCTTGAAGAAGAAAGGGCCTTAATTTTGTGATTAAATCTGCCTGAATTTTATTTACAATCCAGTTAACGTTGATTTGTTAAAAATGTTCCACAACAAAAATCTGGCAAATTCGAAAAATTCATAAAAATTATTCATTCATTCATTCATTCAATTCGAAATGAATTAAAAGAACATTCAATTTATTTCACATAGAATTGAATTAAACAAATCAGAAATTTCATGTCATACTATGATAAAAAAAAATTGGAGTAATAGGAGTATGTTTCTAACAAAATAGTTGTGTTGAATTAATTTTAATCAAATTTATAGTATAGTTTACACAAGATTATTTCTTGCTTAAAGAATAACCCTTGAAAGCAGCTTTCTTTAAATTTAAACAGTTATTATCCCCTACATAAAATACCTTAAATAATATGTTTACCTTAAATAATATGTTTGTGTTTAAAACATAAAAAGTGTGTGTTTGACTTACTGTATGAACGCCTTCAACCTTCTCACCCACCTGCTCATTGGTTGCAGTTGCAGTGGTTGCCGTCGAGTTGGTGGTTGGCTTGGTGGCGGCATCCTCGGCCACCTTGAGCTTGGCCAGCTGGGAGCGCAGTTCCTCGAACTTATTGTTGGCCTGCTCGAAATCAAAGTCGCCCTCGAACTTGATCTTGTTTCGCGGCTTATTTTGATTGGCCGACTGCGGACGATAGCCCTGTAAATATAATCGCAAAAGGTTAATAAACCATATATGCAAAACTGAGTCACTAGACTAGGTATACCTGATTGGGTCGCATGGGGCCTCGGGTGCCCATTCCGCGATTACGCATCATCATGTTGTTCGAGTTTTGGCCACCGCGATGCATGTTCCAGGCTGGGTTGTTACCACCTCCGCCATTTCCGCCGCCGCCTCCACCACCGCCGCCATTTCCGCCGCGCTGCTGCTGCTGCTGCATTCCATTACCGCCGCCGCGATTACGCTGATTATTGTTGTAGTTGTTGCTGAAGTTATTATCCATCTGACGTCCGGAGTCACGACGATCCCGCTGCTGGTGGTGCTGGTTATAGAAGTCCGTGCCACTTCCGCCGCGCTGCTGCTGCTGCTGCATGTTGTTGTGGCTAGGACCGCCGCGCTGCTGCTGCGCCTGCTGCTGCTGTTGATTCTGGTGCTGCTGGTGGTTCTGGCGCTTATGTCCTGCATCGCGTCCGTTGCCACCCTGGCCAGCGTTCTGCTGCTGGTGCAGCTGCTGCTGCTGGGTCAGCTCCGCCGTGGGACTCACAATCAGGCTAATGGGCGTCGTCGAGCGCGATGCTCCGGCCAGCATGTCTAGAACGGAAACTATACACATATAGAGGACGCAACGAGAACGAAAAGGAGAGAGCAATGCGTGCAGGCGCCGAAAAATATTAGTTCAGAAAATAAATTAGGTTTGTAAAATTTTGGATAATACATTTAAGACGAGCTGATTCTAAAAATAAATGTTCCTTTATGTGGATAAAGCTATTTGTGGTAGATACTTCAACTTTAATTATCTAAAATATTTCGAAGTGCTTTTACATTATTTTTTTTTAGATGTGAAGACGTTTTTTTTAATCTTTGGTTATAAAAAACGTTTGCTATTTAATAAAATGCTTAATTTCAAACAAGAGAAAAAGAGAAACAAAATATTGTTTCATAAAATACTATTTAAAACTTATTTTAAAAGTTTGATTTTATCAGGTCACATACGGAAAAATGTGGCGTTTCCAACATGTTTCCTTATCTGAACAAAATATAAAAAAATAATATAACCACATTCTCAACTAAAGTCCGAAAATGGCGTGTACATACATCTGTATATGTACATTATGTGTAGGAATATACAAAAATCGAAGAACTATAGAAAAAAAAGCTATTGTATTCCGATAGGTTTCGGTGTAATAAGTATAAGTACCTACACTTCTTTTTTATATCAAATTATTTTTGACTCATGTTTTTCGAAGAATATATTTTAAGGTAATTTGGAACAACGAATTCTATCAATAATAATAACTGTGTGCAAAGTAATTACAAATTTGAACTCTAACCAAACTCACTTGGCTGTTTCTGCTGCTGGGGCTTCTGCTGCTGCTGGTTGCCACCGATGTGCATGAATGGTCCGTTGCCCGGGGCTCCAGATCCGGGAGCAAGCGATCCGCCCGCATTTCCCACCATGTTGGCCAGATTGGGACCTCCTAGGTTGCCAAACGGATTGCCGTTGCCGTAGCCGGGGGCACCTCCTCCAGGAGCTCCGCCGGCGCCACCACTACCACCTCCGCCTGGCATCTGGGGAGGCTGCTGCTGCTGCGACGCCACCTGCTGCTGCTGCTGCGGCGGAGCGTTCATCCCGCTGGGCATGGGGAAGTGCTGCGGCATCTGGGGCGGTCCGTTCTGGAGCTGCGCCTGCATGATCGCCGGGTCATTGTGGTGCGGCAGCGTGTGGTTGTTCACCACGCGAATGTCCTTGATGTCCGATCCCCGGAAGAGGATATAGTCGTAGATCTGCGACTGCGGAGCTATCTGGAACTGGGTGTCCCGATCCTCCGTTCCAAAGGACCGCACTAAGAGAAGGAAGAGAAGGGATAGAAAATTAGGTTCCATATTCTTTACTCGATTTAAATCATTATCAAATCAAATGATTTTCTATAATTTTTTTGGAAGGATTTTAAAATATTTCTACATTAGCGTTTGAAAACTATATTTTAAAATAAAAACCTAATATTCCCGTTTAATATTTTCAAATAAATTCATAGAACGGAGAAAACCCAATTCATTTTGATTATCAAGTTTAATAAATTGTTTAAGCACTTTGTCTCAAAACTTTATAAGATATACCATTACCATGTTTCGGAAAGAATGTTTTTTAAAGGTTTCTGAAAGCAGAAACTTTAAAAGGACACATCTCTTTTATTTCTGTTCCAAGTGATTTGAAATCTAGTTAGAATGTTCTAGACATACAGCATTATATAAGTAGGTCTTTGGGAATTCAAAAATTTAAAATGGCAATACCCATGTAAACCCATTAAGGTTAGGCCGCGATTCCTATTTAACCTCAACTGGGAAACGCATGTTTCGCCGGTATTTGTGCGTTCTCCGTTTCTCCTTTTGCCTTCCAGGGCACTGACACCCGTAACGGGAGCCCGTAGATCCCGTTATCTGGCGCCAAATCGAAAATGTTTTTGCAAATAAACAAATTGCATTGCGGATTTGCGAGTGTGCGAGTGTGTGTGTGTGCGGGTGAGTACGTGTATGTGTGCCATGTAAAACCCAAAAGCAACACTGTACAACAACAAGCGAGAGACAAAAACAGGCCAAAGCCAACATGACAAACAAAAAGCATAAGTGAGCGGAGAGAGAGCGGCTGCACACTCGGCAGAGTATGAAATTACTGTAAAACTAACAAAAGAAACGAAAAAAAAGGGGAGAACTCACAAGAGAAATGTAAAAAAGAATCCATTTTCTTTTGCGATGAACCGTTTTTTTACAGGGATTTTTTGGCGCACATTACGGCACCCACATATATCCCGTATATATAGCAATTACGTGGGAGATTTTTATGGCGAGGGGGCGGGGGCGGCGCTACTGAAATACTTACCACTCGAGAGCGCAATGGTGCACTCCTGCGGATCCACGGTGTACAGGCGGCCCTCGTATCGAATGTCCGCCTTGGAAATGAGGCTGATCTTGGAGCCCAACTCCGGCAATCCCCCGCTCATCTTGGCTGTACTTCACTGCGCACTCACACCGGATTACAAAGTATTATTAAGTGCTTTCGCCAACAGGCACACGAATTTCTCTGGCCAAAAGCAAACAATTATAGCGAGCGCGACGACAACGATTTCTCGACGGTTTCAGGCCTCTGCTCTTCTTTTCTTTTTTTTCGGTTTTTTTTCACACGCAATTGCCTTCCAGTTGCGGGGCGAATTTGCGGCCAATCGCCTTCCAGCCGCGTCTGCTTGGTGGAGCTGGGTTTTCGCACAGGTGCGGCAAACGCTTTTCCAATGTCTGTGGTGTAGCACACACGGCCTTAAATGTGAAAATTGCAATTTTCGATGCACAAATCTTTGCTCCGTCCGTCTGCGAAAACCTACCCGTCGAAAATGAACGATGAAAACGAGCGAGTGCCGCGACGGTGTTGGAAAGCGCGAGCGGGTGGCAGCGGAGGCGGCGGCGGCGGCAGCGCGGTAATAATATTAACTGTTTTTGTTTATTTTGGTGGGGGTTTCAAGGAAAAGCCCCTACATCTTGGCAAAGGATTAAGTTACCGTCCACAAAATTGGTTCGAGTGCATTTATTTAATATTTCCACGGTTTCCCCGTGGGCAACCCTGCTCGCAACCCTAAATGCAACCCTGCAACTGTAGAGTGCAGCCCTGGTTTTTTCGGCTTCCCTCGGCGCTTCTTTTTTTACCCATTCAAAGCAAAACGGCAACTGAGATGCGCTGGCATTTTACGGATTTGTGAATTATTTGCTTATGTGAAAAGGTGAAAAACACAAGGAGTTAATCATGCCGCCCACGCTGGAGCCGATTAGTGTGCGCACGGCGCGCCTGAACAACGTGATTCTCGGGAAAGGAGTCGGCGTCGCCTGTGCGAAGCCCGCTGGAAATGTTTCTGCATCCGCCAGGAGGAGCATCATCCCGGTGAGCACCACCAGCGCCGCCGTGGCCGAGGCCATCTGCCGCGAAGGACTCCTGGACGCCTTCTGCCTGCTGTACAACGAGTGCGACAAGGACACGCTGAAGAAGCGGGATCGCAACATCGCAGAGTTTGTCAACAAATGTAAGTCAACTACACTGGCCTACAGGGTTTGGGATTGCGGAATCTAGTTTTGAAAGGATCTTCAGCTCGATTGCCTGTGAAAATGCAACACAACTTGGAAAATCCATTTTCCAAGCCCGTATTAAATTTTATAATTATTTATGTTGACAAGTGTTAATTTAAATTATTTAATTTAAGTTATTTATTTTTTATCCCAGTGCTACAAGTGCACACTTATAATTATCGCGCTAGTCACATTATTATTCTGAATTCTAATTTCTAAATTCTATATTCTCAATTATAAATTCTAAATTATTAATTCTAGTAATCTAAACCAGGTTTAATACTTTAAATTCTAGAAATGGATTCCCTATTTCATGGTAAATCTGTCAAAAACATTATAATATTTGTTTATAACAAATAAACCAGGAATTATAATGACCCTTCCTCAAAACAAGTTATATTATACTATATTATATTAAAATCTCTCTTCCATCCAGTTCGTCCCATTGTGGAGGAGACCCGCAGACTTCGTGTGAATGCAGACGACTTCCTCATAAAGACCCTAATTGGGCAAGGATACTTTGGCAATGTTCATCTCGTGGTCGAGCGCCAAACCAATGATATATACGCCATGAAAAAGATCAAAAAGTCTGTGGTGACCACCTCACAGGTGAAGGAGGAGCGCGATATCATGTCCACCCGCCATTCCGAGTGGCTCATCAATCTACAATACGCATTTCAGGTTTGTCATTTAAATATCTAGATAGTTTCGAAATTTAATTGAACTATTATACCACCAGGACAACGACAACCTGTACTTGATAATGGAGTACATGCCCGGCGGGGATCTGCTCAGCTTGATGTCGCGCCACGGGCCCTTTGATGAGGATTTGGCTCGGTTCTACCTGGCCGAGCTCACGGTGGCCCTGCACACTCTGCACGAGATGGGCTATGTGCATCGGGATATCAAGCCGGAGAATATACTGATTGATCGTTTCGGGCACATTAAACTGGCTGATTTTGGTAATGCAGCTGCACTGAACCGGGATGGTCATGTGCTGAGCCTTTCACCCGTGGGAACACCGGATTACATAGCTCCAGAGCTGCTGCAGACGATATCCACCTACAAGTTGTCCAAATCGATGCACGATGTGAGTAGAACTGTACGATCGCAGAGCTTGGTTTGCAAAGTTCAGAGCTAAAACGTAGAATAATTTATTAGGTGAGCTGCGATTATTGGTCCATGGGAATAATTGGCTACGAGCTAATTTGCGAGACAACACCGTTCCACGAGGATAATGTACACGAGACGTACTCCAAAATTCTCTCTCACTGCGAGGAGAGTCACCTAAAAGAGCTGATCAGCTTTCCCACCGACTTGAAGGTGTCTATTAACTACAGGAACCTCATTGAGTCACTGGTCACGAATCCATCAAAGCGATTGTCCTATGAGCGTATTAAGAAACACCCCTTCTTCGACGACGTTCCCTGGAGTTCCATTCGCTCCCAGGTGCCTCCCATAATTCCAACTGTTAGGTCTGACGATGATACCTCCAATTTCGAGGACGGGACTCGACTGAAGACTCGCCGAGAACAGGGAGTTGCCAAAAAGTCGCTCACGACCAACATGAAATCCAATGATTTCAGTGGCAAGGATTTGCCATTCATAGGCTATAGCTTTGTGCACATGGAGAAGTCCGCAATCTCCGCTTCTACCGATGAAAAATTGCAGGAGAAATTGAAAGAATTGCTGCAGAAACTTAAGACTAGAGAGAATGAGATTTCCATGCTTAAACAAGATCTGTTGCGGGCACAGCAGTCCCTTAAAAAGACCGATAGCAAATCTCAGGTGGTAGCCGATGCCAAAATGGAAATTAAGAAGCTGCAGCAAATAATAAAGGAGAAAACTATGGAACTGAGCACCTGCAAGACGCAGATCAAGACACTCCAGAGTTCGGCTAAAATAGACGAGGAAATGTGGTCCAAAAAGGAAGCTACTATAACCGATCTACTTCGCCTGAATCGCCAAAAGTACGAAGAAGCCAAGATCGCCTCGGAGCAGCGATATGAGAAGCAATTGGCCGACAAAAAACAAGAGCTGGCATCCACGCTGCAGAAGTTAGATGCCCGCGAACTGGAGTTCAATGCCAAGTTCGAAGAGTGCAAGCATATTTCCATGAAGCTACAGAACTACAAGGACATGCTGCAGCAGCTAAAGGAGCAGAACCTTCAATCCGAGACCAATAATGAGGAGCAGAAGCGCCAAATGGCCGAATCGTATGAGCAAAAGCTGGCAGATCTCCGGAAAAAGGTGCGCGACTCACAGGATACACATCGCCGCATGACAATGGAGATAAAGGAAATACGTACCGAACTGGACGAGTCCATCTGCTCCACCAAGTCAACGCAGGAAGCGAAGAACGCGACAGAGCGAAGCATCGAGGAAATACTGAGGCGACTGAACCAGGAGATTGCCTCAAATAATGAACTTCATGCGGAGAAAGTTAAACTGGAGACGAAGCTGCAGCTAAGGGAAAATGAATCTCAAGAAGTCAGAGCAGAATGCCAGCGACTTGAGAGGGAACTTCAGGTACGTGTTTATTAAATTAAAAACTTGATATATTTGGTTACTCTTGCCCTTAAGAATTCGCGGTCTTATTGTGTTGATGACTTCATGTATGGGTTCAATTGGTTAGCAAAAAAAATAAACTAAACAATTTTTTACGATGGTCAATATTTGTTCCTCTTTCCCTAAAGCAGCGGTCGGCAGCGTCCTATTAAGTGAGCATAGGAAATTATTCTGCTCGAGCGCTGCCTCCACGTATACTGTAGAACAGCGGTCTGCGCACACACACTGTTTAGTCGCCCCGTACAATTTACTCACACAAATATAAAACAAAATGTAATTGTATGAGTGTGCCGACCGCTGCCCTAAAGAATTCACGGTGTCGTTGTATTAAAGAATTCATGTATGTAGGTAAATACAAATTGCCACCATAAGAACATAAGTACAAATTCCAACCGAGTTTCAACAGATGAGATTTTGTGACGTCATTGGCAATAGATGTTTTGTGTTTCCGTCGCACAATAACAGTTATTTTAAGACTTTTATTATTAAAGTCATAGAATAAAAGTTACGGAGACTTTTATTTTTTAGTCTGAAAATAACTGTTATTTTCTGACTTTTATTTTAAAAGTCTGAAATAACAGTTACTTCATGACTTATAAATAAAAGGTGGTTATAACTGTTACGGTCCCTGATTTAAAAAATTTGTATAATACTAAAAATATTAACATTAAGCAAGCAAGCTTTGCTTCATTGGGAGCATTTCATATTGAAATATTGAAATATAAACCAACTTAACTTGATATTTATTTATTATTAAAAAAATTAATAAGCTAATTACATAATTTGTTACCAGATAACAGAACCCATTAATAAAAAAATTAATTTATTTAATTTCCTTAAAAACACAACGCATTTTAAAGTAAAATTAAAATATTTGTTCACCTAGCTTGCCGAATGCCGCTGTCAGCTGGCCGAATCCTCGCTAGCTTCGCACACTTCTCCGTACGAAACTGCACCAGGATCTCTGACCGAGCTGAATGCCATCGAAGATCAACTGCGTGCCGACTTAATAGCCGCCAAAGAGGGTGAGACCCACCAAAAGGGACGCGCCGATCAACTCCAGACGCTGGTCACCAAACTGGAGCAAATGCTGGAGCGATTTAACGAGCAGAGTCTCTCACCCACGAAATCCCACACAGCCCGTAAGCAGGAAACCGAAACCGTGGGCGATATGCTCGAGCGGCAGAACGAGAAACTGGAGGACAAATTGGCAGCAGTGCGGGAACAGATGATTGTGGAACGTCAGGCGGCGCGAACGGCAAATCTTTCGCTCTGGAAAGTGGAGAAGCAGCTCGAGGAAGCCTTGTCCGAGAAGAAACTACTGGCACGCCGCATGGAACTCACCGAAGATCGTATTAAAAAGGCACAAAACGCCAACGAGGAATCACAGAGAATGCTAAAGTCCTCCAAGGAGGAAACTCGCCAGCGGGAATCGCGGATCGAGGAGCTCAAGCAGGAACTAGCGGGTGCCAAAAGAGATGTCCTCAAGGAGCACCGTCAATGGGAAAAGGCCGAGCAGGAGCGCATGAAGTGCAAATCGGAGATAATCGAACATTTGGCCAATGTGCACAAGTTAGAACAGCAGGAGGGTGAACTGCGCCAGAAACTAAAGCAAGTACAAACCCGCTTTGATGGCTTGACTTTGGAGCACAAGAACACCATGAGGGAACTGCAGGAGGAGCGTGAAAAAAGTAGAAAAGCCAACGATTCCAGCTTGGCTCTGCAAAAGGAACTTAAACAGCTCTCGGAGAACTTCCAGAGGTTGAAGTACGCTTGTAGCATCACCGACAGCCAGCTAACCGAGGTGGAAACTATGCTGAAATCCGAGCAGGATCGAAACAAGTCCCAGAAATCCCAGCTAGATACTCTTCATGAAAAATTGAGGGAGCGAAACGATCAATTGACTGAACTTCGCAAGGAACTGTCTACAATTGAATCCGAAAAGCGTCTAGCGGAGCAGCGCGCCCAAGTTCTAACATCGGAAATCGAGGAGCTTCGTCTGAACCTCAAGGAGCAGCAAAAGAAGCTGGTGGCGCAGCAGGATCAGTTGGTGGAGCAGACAAACGTGCTGTTTGCCACCCAAGAGCGAGCAGATCTTCTCGATGGTCAAAACGCCAATTACGAAGCCCAAACTGCGGATTCAGAGAGGGAAATGGTTAGCCTGAAGGAGGAAAATGCACGTATTCTTAGCGAGCTTTTCCACAAAAAAGAGGAGGTGGCCAACCTCCAGGCGGAGATAAGGGATTTGGAGTCGGCGCAAGCTGAATTGCACGCGGAAATAGATTCCATTCAAGACACTTTGGCCGAAAAGGAGCAGTTCTATGTGCAGCGCGACATCAAGTCAAATGCAACTCTTGCCCAGCACAAAAAGCTGATTGACTACCTTCAGGTATAACTATTTTACATTTTTATTTGATTTAATAAGACTAATTAAATTTATTTGTAGCTAAAAGTTGAGGACCTGTCCTCCAAAAAGAAGAAAACCCTGGCAGACAAGATCTTTGGATCCAGTCACACCAACAAGGAGAACATTTCATCCAACGATGTGGAGTCCTCTATTCTCTATCGTGCTTTAAAAGAGGAACTAAAGAGGGAAAAGAAGCTAAACAGTATGCTAAAGGATCAGCTTGCACAGCTAAATGGTGAGTTTTCTAAAGATTTTAATTAATAAAAGAATAGAATAAAATATAATGAATATTTTTTCTTCTAGGAACTGCAACCCTGCGTTCTCCTCGTAAATCGGCTGCTGTAAATGGCGACTCCGATGCACCCAAGCAGAGACCAGTTAGCATCGCAGTCTTGCCGCGTTCCCCACAGAAGCAGCAGTCTTTGAAGCGCACCACTAGCCAAGTGGAGTTGAAGACCACGGAGAAGGCGACCAAAGCAGCCAGTGAGGACCAAGCCCATCATCGTTTCGAACTGGCCCTGCAAGAGTCCAAGGTAGATGCCTCAGATTGTGTGGTTTGTGGCCAGGCCATTGTAGCAGGTTCCCCCTTCTGGAAATGCAAGGAGTGCAAAGATGTGGCACATCGCAAGTGTCGTGCTAATGTTCAGGGAAGTTGCGGAACAAAGCCAACAGCTCCACCGGCCGATGATCTTGGCAGCATTCCATCTGTCTCAAGCTTAACTTTAAACAGCGCCGATGTGGCTGGTGCAACGGGTAGCAGTGAATACATAGGATCGTTGGTCTACAGCTCCGATGGTCCAGATGATCAGGCTGCTAAGAAGGAGATTGAAGTGAACTGCGCCTTCGAGGTGGCCGAGCAGCAAATTCTCCTCTTGGGCTGCAACACCGGTTTGTATGCCTATCACTTGGGCAGCCAGCGACTAGTGCATATTTCTGGCCTCGAGTCTGTAAGCTGCATGTCCATCTGCAAGCGCCTGGCGAAGGCCATCATGGTGGGCACGGTGGGCGAGAAGCTCTACCAGTGCGACTACCGGCAGCTGGAATCGCGTTGTCAGAGCTCCAGTGGCTGCCATAAGCCAGTGCTGGAGACTTCGGCCATTGAGCTGCCCTTTGCCAATCGCACGCCATCGGAGAAATGGAAGCTGGTGCTGATTTCCGACGAGGCGGAGAACGCTTTGGATTCGGTTGCCATTGCGGCAACTTCGACAAGGATTGTCATCTTGAAGTACGACCTTAAGTTGCACATGTTTAAGCCAGTTCGAGCCTTGGACACGGCAACGCCAGTCACCTCTATATTCTTCACGCGTCATTCGGCTATTGTTAGCTCGGATAAGTTTTACGAGATCGATTTGGACAATTATGCCGCCGAGGAGTTTGTGGATCTATCGGACAAGTCGATGGAAAGCACTGCCAAGTGCCAGCCACTTACCGCTGTGCGCATTTCTCGACAGGAATACCTCCTGTGCTTTGCCGAATGTGGAGTCTTTGTGGATGAGTTTGGCTGCAGATCCAGGCCCTACGATATAAACTGGGTATTTGCACCCACCGGCTTCGTTTACCGCGAGCCCTTCTTATTCATTGCCCACTACCAAAGCGTGCAGATTGTCCGCTTGCATCGCTCTTTTAGTAAGGAGCTGGCCAACGAGGACAACGCATCGGAGACTTGTGAGTCGCCGGAACTGCAGCGCGTCTACTTGCCCCACTACATGTCCACTCTGCTGGCGAACAGTGGCGATGTCAATCTGTATGCCGTGGCGATCGATCAGAGACCTTGCAACGGAACCCAGAAGATCTATCACTTGGACACAATGCAGGCGTTTAAGCAGAAGTTTAATGTGTCCATGGAGACCATTTCTTCGGTGGCCACTTCCGTGACTTTGGGCTCAGCGATGACCGGCAATAGTTTGTAGAAGATCAGCTTATTTTCACCAGGTATAAGACGAGATATCGTAATACTACAATCTCAGTAGTACATAACTTTAAGATTAATATATTCTATGTTTTAATTCGTTTCTTGACCATCTTTGAAATCATTTTAAAAATTGTAAGCAAAATGATTTTAATATAAAAGAAATTACCATTACTTTGTGTGCTGTCTTCACAAATAAAACATTCTTTATCACTATCATGACGGTTTTAATTGGAAAAATAGGAATTAATTTGAATTACCATTTAAATGGTTGATAAACAAGATATATTTAATTAAAAGTAACCAAAATTATCTAAAAGCCGTTTCAATCTCTTGTAAGAACTAGAGCCCTGCATGAATGGATTCAATTAAATATTTCGAATTTTTTGTTTTATATGATTGAATTAATTAGAATTTTGAGTTTAATAGAATTGAATTAATTTGAATTTTGAGTTTAATAGAATTAAATGAATGAATGTCATGAATTCCGAAATAATTCAAACGACAATTTCTTTTGAAGAAAGGGCCAAAGTTTTGTGATTAAATCTGCCTAAATTTTATTTACTAAGCAGTCTCAAAAGAAAGTACAAAAAAAATCTGACAAATTCAAAAATTCATAAAAATTATTCATTCATTCATTCAATTCGAAATGAATTAGAAAAACATTTAATTTATTTCACATAGAATTGAATTAAACAAATCAAAAATTCCATGGCATACTATGATAAAACAAAAATTGAATGATTCACGCAGGGCTCTAGTAAGAACCCAATTGTATTTGCTTACAGCGCAATGGGTATCTGATAGTCGAGGCAGTCGAGTTTTATTATATTTATTAATATTTAGTATTAATGTTTATGATAAAACCACAATAAATTCCTCCCCCTTTTTTTGGTAATGAGTTTTAAAATATTTTAGAGAAGTTAGAGAAGCTTTCTAGGCTGATCCCAAGTAGCTTTCCCGCAACAGCTTTTAATGTCCCGCAAAAGCCCCGGAAATGAAATCGTGTCTGCTCTCCGCTGGTTATTACTACGGTTGAGGGGGTCGCCGATGGACGCCGGTCTGCAGCAGTACCGCCGTAAATTGTGATAATTGATTTCAATTTGTTCCCTGCCGGTTGAGTAGACAACGATGTTTGAATCGTTGAGAAATCTCTGCGCTGGTCGCATGGTCGCGGACTCCACTACCTCTGAAATGGATAGACGAGATGTGACCAAAACGATGATTTGCCGAGCCTGTCTGGTGCTTTTGGGACCGCAGGATGCCTCCTATCACCTGGACAGCGAACAGGACTTGGCCAGAAAGTATTTCAGCTGCACAGGAGGCGATCCGGGGAAGGTGTTCCGTTTGCAGGATGAGGAATTGCCACCCCAGTTGGTCCTGAAAAGCATCTGCGAATGCTGCTACCAACTGGTGCAAAAGTTCCACGACTTTCAACGCATGTGCGAAGAGTCCTCGCGCAATTTTGAGAAGCTGCTCCTGGACATTGACTTTGAGTGCCTCAAACAGCAGGATGGTGCCATCCGTATACCCCACTTGGATACCCCCTCGGAAAGTAACGGATCCAGTAATCAGGAAGCCCAAATGGACGCACCCTGCATCGAGTCAACGGAAGAGATTGTGAGTTTTATCTGGGCACAAGGGTGCCTTTCTATTCCCTAATCTAATCTATAATCGCTTTCGGTGCTTGAGGTGTTGCCTAGCAGCAAAGACAATACTTCCCCATTCGCCGCCATAAACATAAACATTTGGGAATTTGTTTGTGTTGTACTATTTTTGTTTGTATCTGAATGTTTGGTATATTGATAGCGTTCGAAAAAGAGGCCCGTCTAATCTATCAGTTATTTTTAATTTTTCCACTTCACATACATATATAAATTAATAAAAAATAGGTATCACATACATATATGTAGTTATTTAAGGCTCTAAAATGTAAAGTTTATTTTTAATATCCAGCATCACCTTATATACTTAAGTTGTCTAACTTAGGAATTAAGAAAGGGCAATGCTTTTAATAATGTTGATTTGTTGGTTCTATTTAAGTCAATAAAAAATATTTCAAAAGGGGTTAATTTATTAAAAATTGTATAATTAAAATTACTCAACTTTTAGATGACTTTAAAAAAATTTAAAAATGGAATTTCTCTACTATTACTTTTCTGTCACTTATAAAATTCAGGTTAAATGTATTTACGAGTAAAAATATTTAGCAGATCAATGACCCAACCTTAAACTTCAAAGTATTACTTACTTTTTACTTTCCACTTACCATCTAACGCAAACGATAAGATAATAACGCAGATGTTATAGACCAATTTTTAATATAGAGAATAAGGATTTTAATTACTCATTTTAAAATGAAACATTAAAATTATCAGTAAAGAAATAGCTCCAAATCTTAGATTCTTAAAATTCTATTTTATCTAATGAAAAGATAAGATAAAGGAAAATAACCTGACAACAGATGATTGATAATGTACTTTGCAATTAGCCCAAAACACTTTTAATGCAGACAGAATATTAATTAATTATTTAGTTATATTAATTAAATACTATTCCCCTTTGTTTCTAGGAGGAAGTGTACATAATTGAGGACGAGGCGGCCAAGCAGGATCTTGGAAAGGAGAAGTTGCCCATTCCATCCATTAGAAAGTTGTTAGGGGAAAGAAGAAAAAGAGGAGTTAGACTCACCCTCGAGTGCAGCATATGTCGTCGTGGCTTCTACAAATCATCTCTACTGGAGGCCCATATGAAGCAGCATGAGGGACTAAAACCGTATACCTGCGTCCATTGTGCGAAGAGTTATGCGAGGGCCAATCTGCTAGACTCGCACCTGCGGGAGATGCATCATAATGCCTCCGCGAGGGTAATCTATCCCTGCCCAAGCTGCAGTAAAGTGTACACAGCGGAGCGGAGTCTCAAATATCACATAAAAAGGGCGCACAAAAGGACTCATACGCTAGAAGCCCCCGATTCCTTGCACATTTGTGAGGAGTGCGGAAAATCCTTCGTACGCAGGGCCCTTCTTACTCGCCACAAAAGGATCCATGGAAAGGATCGGAAGTACTCCTGCGAATTCTGTGACCAGAGATTCTACACCAAGGAGAACATGGTGGATCATCTGCAGCGGAAGCATGGCAACAAGAACTTAATAAGATGCCGAAAGTGCGGTCGCATTTTCAGGAGCTCACTAGCCCTCTCCAATCATCTGAAAAAACACGATCAGTCCACCGAGATTATGTAGTTCAATAATTTGTTTTATTTGTGGTTTCAATAACATCAAGCTAACTCAACTGTTACAATGATTCGAATTTCGTGGAATTTGTTACACCAGTAATTTGGGATTATGCCGCATGAATTAAGAGATATTAAGACGAGTTCGGTTGAATCGGTTAGGCTGCCCTAAAATTAGCTAACATTCACATAATGGCCGGCGCAGCACAGTCGCTTAAAAATCATCAGTACAAAAAATGCGGGCGGCGAAGGCGCTCGTTTTCAAAATCATGTGGTATAAAAACAATTAACTAAAATTTATGCTTAATCTTAAAGAACGGACAGTTTTAAAATTACATTACCAATACATTCATATATCATTAATTTGTTGGGGGGGTGGAGGAAAAGAAATGAGAATAAAAACCAGATTTTCCGTCTATATCGATCGACAATTACATAAGAAATGCACGGGGTTCTTTGCCAAAGGAACATCAGCATTAAACGATGTTGTATTGATACGGTGGTGATTGGTGATTGATGATGATGATTGGCAGTAGGATCGGATGAGTGGAGTTGCTTGCACTATATGTAAATAAATACGCCGCAATATGAGCATAGGATTGAGGACTGGACTGGAAACGCCGAGCTCTAGGTGTCCTTGTGTTTCTCATAGAAGGCGTCTAGATATTTTTTGTACTCCTTTTGGTCGTTCCACATCATCGCGGCCTGCGCATTCAGTGGACTCTCGTTGTTCGGCTCGCCCAGCAGGGATTGTATGGACAGCAGAATGGTGCGCACGTCGTACAGGGCCGACCACTTGTCCTTCAGGATGTCCAGGCAGATGGCGCCCTGCAGATCGACATTGGGATGGAAGCAGGACGTCAGGAACTTGACCACGGGCGCCGCATACGGGTAGGAGTTGGGGAAGTCCAGCGACAGGCGGTACGTCTGCCCGGAATACACGGTATTCCGTGGACCCGCTATGGTGCCCACCCACTTGAAGATGTTCTCGCCGTCCGGAAACGCCGAAATGCCCTTCTCGTTGGCCATCATCAGATTCATCAGTTCCTTGTGCAGTCTGCGGAAGATTAGGGGGATTATCCAGTGTTCCTTGGGCCACTCCCGACCATGTGCTACTCACCTTTTACTCACGGCGTGGTTGTCTTTCACGGGCAAAGAGTCATCGCTGTGCTTGGTGCCCCCGCCTCCTGCTCCTCCGCTCTGTTCGGGGCTGATGTTCTGCGCCATGGCTACGCTTTATGGAGGATGCTATATGGATGCTATGCTATATCCGCTGCTCGCTGTACGGCGTCCTAATTTTGCGCGCTTCGTGGCGGAACGGTTTAAATGATCTCTCTAATGATTATATGTACTGTATAGTGGAAATTTTGTTGATCGGTCGGAATTCTCTGTTGCTTTTTCTTTTTTTCACTTTTGTGTGAAAACAAAATGGAAGGAGAACGAGAAGAAACTGTGTTTGAGCAGGGTTGTATTTCGGGTTTTTGGGGGGAAAATTGTGCTATCGGTGGGATGGGTGGTCACACTGGCGGAAAGGGAGAGTATTTTTAAAAATAAATTCAGCTCTTTTAGTTATTAATTTATTTATTGTAGATAATTGAGCAGAAAAATATGCTTTATAATTTTATAATTATTATAATAATTTATTACAAAGTGGCTTGCATTTTTAAATTGTGTGTTTAATGGTGTGGCGTTGCCACCTGGATTTCAGACATTTAGGTACTTAATCGTGTGTACGTATGCGATGTACCTATTTCAGTGCAAAATCAAAACATTCGAATAATTTTGGAAAAATGGATGAAAACAGCTTGATCTACGGTCTAGAACTGCAGGCGCGGGCTTTAACACCCCAATACGGGGAGAGCAACGATGTGTGCTTCTTTATAGCCACCAATTCCCTGAAACCCACGAACCAAGTGCATTTAATCCAGTACGAGGAGGAACAGGGAACCGTGCAATCAAAGGTATAAGTCTGGTATTACCAAAGGATCTACTAAATATGTGTATATAACTAGGTATTCGAGCACGCCCTGGGTGAAGTGTGGAAGCTGAATAGCTGCCCGCATAATGCCCGCCTGCTGGCCTCCGTCTACAATGTCCAGAAGGGAGCACAGGTGCTCACCCAGTCGGCTTTATTTACGCTTCCCGAGGATCTCAATCCGGATCCGGAGCAACTGAAGTCGGAGTACCTGCCGTGGGCGCAGGTTGAGGTCCTGGACACCGAAGCCCTGGGAGAACGTGTGAAAACCATCGAATTCCATCCCAGCCAGGAGCAGATCCTTGCCTGCGTGGTGGACAACAAGGTGGCCGTGATGCAAAGAGCAGAAGCCTCCACCCGCGTGGTGGCCGAGGTGCCCACTGGTGGATCCTCCAGCGGATCGGCCAAACACACGGCACACTTCACCACCGGCAAGTGGTCGCATCATCACCAGGGCCACCAGTTCCTCACGCTCCAGGATGGCAATCTGAGTGCCTTCGATGTGCGCGATACCCAGCATTGTGCTTGGAGCATCAGCGATGCCCACGGGCAGATGGTGCGCGACCTGGACTGCAATCCCAACAAGCAGTGCCACCTGGTCACGGGCGGGGATGATGGCTACCTGAGGATCTGGGACTGCCGAATGCCCAAGGCTCCCGTCTTCGAGCGCTCCGATCATTCGCATTGGGTGTGGTCCGTGCGCTTCAATACATTCCACGACCAACTGCTCCTCTCCAGCTCCAGTGACTGCAAGGTGCTGCTCACCTGTGCCGGATCTGTGAGCTCGGAAACTCAGGCTCAGCCGGGACTGGATGACTCCGCCAATTTCAGTGGGCCGGAAGCCGAGGAGAGGCGCAAACTCCTGCCCGATGGACTGCTGCAGACCTTCGACCAGCACGAGGACTCGGTTTACTGTGCCGAGTGGAGCAATGTGGATCCCTGGATCTTTGCCTCCCTCAGCTACGATGGGCGCGTCATAATCTCAAAGGTGCCCAAGCAGTACAAGTACCAGATTATATTTTAGGCCTGTACAAATTGTGTCCTTGCATGTAGCCGATTACACTAGTTTACAGCAAAAAAAAAGATAAACGTTGAGACCAATTTTTTTTGATTAGTTTTGAGTTGCTAATCACGCTGATGTATTTTTTAGGAGTATACTTTATACTTTAAGTACTTTAAATGTATTTGAAATACTCCTACTACTACTTCTATTTTGTTCATATGTCAAAAAGCAAACTAACAAAAGCCACTTGCCTTGGAAATGGGTTGTTTCGCTAAAAAATGCATATCTCCTAGAATTTGCACTCCATTTGCAAATATATGGCCTTAACTTGTTAACAACAAAAGGGCCTTTTGATATGAAATCTCAAAATAATTCATACATTTTTATTTGTATTTTTTTTTAGTTAAATGCATCTTTTGCCTTTTAAATACAAGTTTATTGATCCAATGGTTTTTGAGATCTTTATAAAAAAAGTGTCGAAAATCTGGATTTTTGCGAATTTCTTCAGAGCGGTTCTTTGGAAATTTTTTTTAATTTGTTCAGCGTGATCAGCAACTCAAAACTAATCAAAAAAATTGGTCTCTGCGTTTAACTCGAAAAGAATTTAAAGTTGTAAACTAGTGTTATATTTAAGCAAATAAGTTATAATACATTATAGATACACTGTAATACTAAAGCTAACTGAGAGTTGTGCAGCTTAGCCTGTATCCTCGGAAGTGCAGTCGGAGGAGTCATTGGGATTGGCCGTTTCCACGGAGCAGACGCGCTTGATCAGCTCGTTTTCGATCTCCACGGTGCCGTTGTCCACGGCCTCCTCCATTTGCACATACTCAATGGTGGCGGCGGCACTTTTCTTGGTGGCCCCCCCAGTGGATGGGTTGGGTTTTTCTGCGGATGGAGCAGGTGTTTCCGAGGCCTTTTTGGCTTGGGCTTCCGTGTCATCCTCGGCTTCCTCCGCCAAACTGCTCCTTTGCGGCTGCACCTCGGCATAAATGGCGGGAAACTGCAACTGCAGCTTCTGCTTGATGACCCGTATCTTTCGGAATATATAGTCCAGATCCTTCTTCATGTCATTCAGGCATTTCACATGCCTCTTGAAATCCTCGCTTGCGCTTTTCAGGCGACTCTGCGAAAGGGCATTGCAGTTTAGGAGCATCTCATTGGTTTTTTCGAAGCGTTGCAGCCTAAGGAAGGTATTAAATATGATTTAGGTAATCTCTGTGATTAGCTTTTTAACTTACATTTGCTTTTGAGCCCGAATCATGGTCTCTACATCTCCCTGGTTCACCATTCCTGCGAGACTTTGAATAAAAGCCTCTGCGGCGGAGTTCCCGAAACCGGTGAAGGATTCCAAATCTGGAGTGGCATCCTGGGACTGGTGCACATCCGTTAGACCCAAATGGCTCATGGTTTGTCTACTTCATTGGATTGTATGAAAGTACCAAAATAAAATTGATTTCTTTACTTACTTTTTTTCTGACAACGGCAAAGGTTTTATTGTGCGTTTCCTGGCAGTTATTTTAATTGTTCAATTTGGAATATTTTTTAATAGTTTTTTTTTATTTTTTGTAAGTTTCTATCCATCTTTTTCAAATTTTCTTTTGTTTAGATTTTATACATATGCAAAAAATTGATATTTAACAGCTGTTTTAGGTACTCAATTTGAACCAGTGTTGTAAATGCCCAAACTGTGCCGTTATTCGTCTTAAAAATTCTATTTTTTTATCCTAAATGTAATAATTTAAGAAAGTTGTAGTAAAACAAATTTTTAAAATTTTTGTTAACGTAATTCTTAGCCTTTTTAAAAATTTAAATTATTTTTTTTAAGTCAGTATTAAGCTTTTCTTTCATAACTTTTTTTGGCCACACTTATTTTAACCGGCTAATAATTTTTCCCCCAATCTTTATTAATTTATTCTTAATTTGAACGTTAAAAATGAAGCTTGCTCCGACTGTAAAACTGAACAATGGCTACGAAATGCCTGTTCTGGGTCTGGGAACCTACAATGTAAGTTTATATTCAAGATCTACTAAATCTATTACGGTAATCAATCACCTAGAAGATATTTATGTTCCTAGAACATTCTACCTTCATTTGACAATTGTGAAATGGAAAAAAGTAATCATGTTATCTGTAGCTAAAGAAATCCCGGTGTGAGGCTGCAGTGCGCCACGCCCTAGAACTGGGTTATCGGCATATAGACACCGCCTATCTGTATAGGAATGAAAATCTTATAGGCAAGGTTCTGGGTCAGTTTATAGGCGACAGAAAAATAAATCGCGAACAGGTGTTCCTGGTCACAAAGGTAGGAATGCATAAACAGTGCTCGGAATATGTAAACAGATCAGAAATCGATATCCCATTAGCTATGGGACATATATCACGAGCCCAAGATGGTGAAATACGCCTGCGAACTGCAATTAAAGCTACTGGGCGTGGACTATATAGATTTATATCTGATGCACTCGCCAGTGGGCGTGGACTATATCTCGGATGAGGATCTGATGCCCCATCTCGAAGGCGAACTGAGAACAAAGTGAGTTTTGGATAGAACTATTCCCAGCCAAAAACTGATCCTTGGATTCCGTAGCGATGTGGACTATTTGGAGACCTACAAAAGTATGGAACAACTGGTGGATTCGGGACTTGTGCGCAGCCTGGGATTGTCCAACTTCAATGCCAATCAGCTGAAGAGATTGCTGGAAAATTGTCAAATTAAACCTGCGGCCCTGCAAATCGAATGTCATACGGAATTGGTGCAAATTCCTTTGATTGAACTCTGTAAATTGCACAATATCACCGTGGTTGCCTATTCGCCACTCGGACGTCCCAAGACCTGCAATCCCTTACCGGCATATTACAGCGATCCTAAAGTATTGACCTTGGCGGAAAAATATGGCAAGACACCCGTTCAAGTCATACTAAGATATTTGGTATAGAAACCCCAGAATATTAACGCAAAGAAGATATTTTAATAGCTAATAAATACAAACGCTCCACAGATCGACATTGGCACGGTGCCCATTCCAAAAGCTGCCCAACAGGCCCATCTTATCGAGAGTCTGGACGTCTTTGATTTTCACTTGATGCCGGAGGAGTTGCTTCAATTAGGGACCTTTAATCTGGGCCGGCGAATCTGGAAGTTTGAGAAAGCAAAGAGTCATCAGTACTATCCTTATTAGAAAAAGAAATTAAGAAAGCTTAGGATTAAAATAATATCTCTAAATATTTAAGGTAAAATCATTAGAATTTCATAGAATTTAATTTTTTTAGTTAAATAAATTTAATTTGATACAATTAATTAGTGGTAAATTTCAGTTAATTTTCTTAAACAGCTGGAATCTGGAAGTTTGAGAAAGCGAAGAGTCATCAGTACTATCCTTATTAGAAAAAGAAATAAACAACGTTTAGGATTAATATATCTCTAAAAATTTAAGGTAAAATCATCAGAATCTTGTAGAAATTAATTTTTGTTAGTTTAATAAATTTAATTTAACAATTAAATAGTGGTAAATTTCCCTTTATTATCTTAAACAGCTGGAATTAGAGTTTAAAACAGAGTATCAGTCCTTTTAATAAATATAATATATTTTTTACAAAGTTTAGGATTTAAACAATGGTCTCTAAAGTTAAAATCTATTTAACATAAATAAATTTGGAAATTTTACGTCTAAAACTTAATTACAATAAGTAATTAAATTCATGAGTAAAGTGCTTACCTAATTGTTCTATAATTTAAATTTCTTATTTCCGGCTTAAAGTTTATCGAATCTTTGCCGAGTCTTTTTGCGTTGATCTTGTATATAATTTGGAATGTGGTTTTGATTCCTCATTTCCCGACTCTCTGAAATGCTCACAGTGCTCGGACTGAAATGAACGTGGTTTGGTCGAAAATAGCGATATATATTTCTCCAAATACGCATTACAAAACACATTTCAGCTTCTGTTGAAAAAAAGGACGTTAATGTGGAATTTAATTTCATATATTTGCAGTCCAAGGACAATGAAGGCGAGGCCGCCGTAAAGCACGCGATCGATGTGGGCTATCGTCATATAGACACGGCCTATTTCTACCAAAACGAAGCCGAGGTTGGCAAGGCGATTCGCGATAAAATTGCAGAGGGAGTGGTCAAGCGGGAGGACATTTTCCTTGTTACCAAGGTAAAACATATCACAAAATTATAGAACAACCCATTAACATACACCTTTGTTTCAGCTCTGGAATGTTTTCCACGATCCTGAACGCGTTGAGGCCATTTGCCGCAAGCAGTTGAGCAACTTTGGTTTGGACTACATCGACCTGTACCTGATGCACATGCCAGTGGGCTACAAATACGTTGACGAGAACACCCTCATGCCTAAGAATGAGGAGGATGTGCTCCAGCTGAGCGATGTCGACTATCTGGATACCTACAAGGCCATGGAAAAGCTGGTGAAACTGGGACTGGTCCGCAGTATCGGAGTGTCAAACTTCAATAGCGAGCAGCTGGGACGCGTCTTGGCTAACTGTGAGATCAAGCCGGTCACCAACCAGGTGGAGTGCTCTCCTGCCCTCAATCAGAAGGCTTTGACTGCCTTTTGCAAGAAGAACGACGTTACTTTGACGGGCTACACGCCTTTGGGAAAGCCGAAGCCCGATATTCAGAAGCCCGACTTTATCTACTCGCCGGATGTGGCCGTTATTGCCAAGAAGTACGGCAAGACTGCCCCGCAGATTGTCCTGCGCTATCTGGTAATTAAGTAATATCCCTCTATAATTTATACAAACTAATTTAGCTTTGTTTCCCAGGTTGGCCTCGGCGTAATCCCCATTCCCAAGTCATCGAATACTAACCGAATTTCCGAAAACTTTGATATCTTCGATTTTGAACTGACCGCCGAGGAAATGAGCGTTCTCGATGGCTTTCACACTGGCGAGCGTGTTGTTCCATTGAACTTGATCAAGGGCCTTAACCACAAGTACTATCCGTTTGCAATTGAGTTCTAAACCAGGGGCAGGCAGAATGTCAGAATACAAAAATATATAATAAATTTGTTACGCTAATGTACATCTATGACAATTTTTTATATGCACGAATGTTCATTAGAATTCCCAACTAGACAAGGTCATTGTGCCCTGTTGCTCCATTAAATCTGTCTAGAAAGTATGGAATATCCAAGAAAAGGTTGGGAAATGGCTTCGATCTTTGGCTCGGCACGTTTGACCCTCCAGCTGAAAGGTGAAAATGTTAATAAGACCGAATGAAAATATTACGCCTTTACGACTAATGGTAATATAAGCAAAGCAAGCTTAGAGATCAACCTAGGAGAGTGTACTCAGCTTAATTAAAATTAAAGTTATAGCTGGAAAATACAGCGTTACCAGCATATTTCATTCATTTAAATAGTTGTTAGTTAGACATTGATAAATGGTTCCCTTTATTTATTTCGGAAGTGCTAATTTCTATTCTCAGAGTAATACAAATTTAGATAGTATTTAATATTTATTTAAATAGTAACTTATACTTGAGGGTATTTTAATTTCATTTAAGATTTTGGGATAGGTATAATCTTATAATCTTCCCAAGCAAATATTCAATTGGGTACATACATAATATGTATTACATATAAACCTAAAATTGTTAAAGTTCCTGCTTTTGACTAACAGGTACAACCGTTTTAGTTTTTCTACTTTATTCCCTATCAATATATCTAGAATTCTATCTTCCCAAGCAAATATTCCGTATATAAACCTAAAATAGTAAAAGTTCCTAATTTTTTATAGGCACAATTCTAGATATACTTGCCGAAAATATCATGCGGAAGCTATTAGTTGCGCCAACCGCAGAAATGAAGCATGAAAGTATTATAGCCATTAGTTGATGTACCTATTACGCCTGGATGGCTAATTATTTTTGGATTGCTCAGTACATTTGGGTTAATCGCAGCTAGCGACCTTTGTAAATAGCACCTCTGCCTGGGGTGACGTCACCCCGAAACCCGTGCAGATGCCCAGATGCTTAGAGATAAGTAATGAAATTAGGGTCGTTTAGCCTCTGAACCGCCTTTAAACGGTGACTAGGAAGCGAGGAAGGGATAAATTTACAGGGCAATTAGAGGAGGATCTCTGGCATGCGCCACCTTGACCCAGGCCAAGAATATCGCAGAAAAAGACGATCGCCTTTCGAAATCACTTTCCATGCGGATGGCATGGAATCCAAGTTCGGATTTGGGCTCGGGTTGCTCCACTCGACAAGTCCCACTCAACCGCAAGCCGACCGTCTGAGTGAAATCGCTTCGGCCAAGAGCGAGGTTTAAATAAATTTTCAGTCCAAAAATTGGCAGTTTCGCTCAAAGCGTGCCCACGTTCACATCGTCGCCAGTTTCTGCGGAACTCACACGGATATTCCGGCGATCAATTAGAGCCCGGAGTAGTTCAGCCAGATCCCCCTGCAACGCGTATAAATATTGTTATATAAGATTAACAACTTGTGAAATCCCCCCGGTGCCAGTGCGTAAAAATCAAAAGTGAGTTGAGACCCAGAATTCCCCCCATATCATCTCAAATTAGCGGGGATGGCGGTGGGTAGCAAAAAAAAAAGGACGGAATCGTGCATTATATTATGTAAAGGCCCGAGAAAAGCTTGTGGCGAAGAAAAACTTTCGCTTTCACCCAAGTACAGCTCTTTGCAGCTGTTGCGCATGCGCAGAGACATTTGTAGATTGCTACTGTTTACCTGGGATTACCTGGTCAGACTTTGATTACACGGCGAAATATTTGAATTTTATGGTGATTATAAGCCTTCGAAGTTCCTTGAAATTAGATTTGTTATCTAGATGTCTTAATAGGATAAAAATTTGTTTGATAAAATGTATTAAAAAACAAATCCTTTTTTGAAGATTTCAAAACATACAAAAGTTACTTTTTAAATCTGTTAACAATTCCCAATTATTAAATAGAATAGTTAATCCTTAGCATTTTTATAATATTTCCTTATTTATCGTAAAGGAAACCTTATGATACAATTTTTTTTTAAATTTAGCAATTTTTCTCTCTGTAATATTTGTCTTAGATACTTGCATAAAAGTAGGTGCGTGGGTGTAACCGAGCAAAAATCGTAGTTTCTTAAAGCCTTTTAATTGCGTTTTATTGACCCACTGCAAGTGTTTCGCGGCAGTCAATTACTTTACGGCCAATAGTTTTGAGCTTCGAGAGTTTTGTAATTCTGTTTGCTGGCTTAATTGCCGAGCCACAAGAGGCCTGCAAGGTCTTCGAAGTTGGCCAACACCGTAAAAGCCAAGTGGTTGGAAAACGTACTAAACAAGCTCGCACAATGCAATTTGTGCGGTTCGCATATAAATATTCATGGCAAGTGGCTATTGTGCAATTGCCAGGGACGCAGCCATCGACGTGACGATTTCCTTTGACTAATAGCGACCACGACCTCGTCTGCGATTCTGGGTGCCATAATAATGGTCGTAAATCGTCAATAAATCCCCCTCGGTGGCCAGTTTTCAGGTGCAACTAATGGAGTTTTAAGGCCCTGCCTTGACCAACGTCTAAGCCAGGCCAAGTAGCCTTGGCCAGCGAACGTGGCGAGCCTGGCTAATGAATTCCGCTGATTACAGCGCCATTTGATTCTGACACATGAATATAAAGCGCTACTCATCCGGGGAACATTAGCTAACTTTTGTCGTAATTGTGGCAAAATGCAATCTGCATGATAATCCGGAAAGGCAGATGCAAATCGCCAAGTCATAAATTCGCCCGTTTGCCCATTCGAAATACGAAATTGAGCCAAACCAACCCAATATTGCTAATGTGCACGGTCATGGGGTGGGATTGGGCAAGTGCACTGCAAAAATTCGGGGATCACTAATGCAAAAACCTTGATCTTGACATCGAGGGGCAGTTTTAAAATCCGCAAGTCAGCTTATGGATATATTTGGGGGTTACGCCAAACTCAAATTATTCAATAAAATAAATTGCACAATATTATTTACCAATTTGATTATCATCTGGTACTAATAATATTTTACATATCTTTTTTAATCAGAAAATATTGTATAGAACTAGATGTACTTGGTTTAGGGTTCAGTAAATTGGTTAGGGATCATACATTTTAAATATAAACAGAAAGTAGAATTAAAGGAATATTACAATGCTACCCAAGGATCAGTATTAACATTTTAATTTTTTGTTTTCTTTCTCAATTTCTTAATTCGAAGTGATCATACATTTGTTACAGTTTCAATAATGCCATTTTAATCCCCGGATGTAGATCTTACAACTTTTTAGGATTCAGTATAATGTTTAAAGATCATGAATTTCAAATATAAACACAAATTAGAATTGGTGAAATATTAAAATTTTCAGAATTAACTTTTTAATTTTTTAATTCGAAGCGATCATACATTTAGAGATCACACATTTTAAATAAAAAAAAAAGTAGAATTGGTGGAATATTACAATTTTAGCCAAGGATCAGTATTAACTTTTTAAATTTATTATTATCTTTCTTAATTTTTTAATTCGAAATGATTAAAAGTATCTATCTCAAAAACGAACTGATTCATTCCTCGGTCATATATTTCTTATAGCTTATAACAATGCTATTTTAATCCCCGAATGTAGATCTTACAACCTTTTCTCTCCGTGTAATGGGAGTGGATTGGGTCGAGCGGTGGGATGGGAAAACCTGTTTTGAGCATTTCTCGGGCCTGCACTCTTTACTCTTACCAAAAGTCGGCGATTTTGCTGTGGGGGATGGGGATTGGCATCGGGATCGGTAAGACGGACGTACTTCGGTTTGGCAGCTTTTATGCTGTGATATGATGTAACCAACGGGCTAATTGGCGGAGCGGAAAACGAACGCAAAAGAAACGATAACGAAATTACAAATCGCATGTTTCAGTGGACAGCGGACATCTTCGCATATCGCATGGCCCATAAATGATCGAGTTACCAAAGCAAAGCTCAACTTTCGGGCCATATATTTTCATACCACTCAATTTGGACGTATTCAAAGCAGGGCAATTCCACACGTTCAATTTATTTTACATCAGCGATCGTCGATCGATTGCGTTGGAAACTGTGTGAAGGCCATGAAAGTGAACAAACTGGTCATAAACAGTTTGTTGACCAAAAATAGTTGGACCGTTGTTGAACTTAACCAGCAAACAGCCAACAGCTGCCGATCCGCAATTACAGGGCGGCAACTCATCTTTCTCTCGACCTTCGTCTGGGTTTTTACGACTAGAAATTTAAATGGGCGCTGAAATGACAAAACCCAAAGCCCAAAAACACCAAACATTCGATTCGTATGCAAAGCAGTCAGCCGGTGGATTTTGGGTCACGGTCAATGGACCTGTGTAAGACCAAAAAAAAAAGGCAAAAATAGCGGAAATGGCAGCATCTCGGGGAGATTAGCTAACCGAAGTCAAGTCGCTGTGGGCAGCTTCTTCGAAATACGAATTTTAAAACTCTAACCCACGCAAGCCAATGCACTCTGGTCGTCGGCTGAAGCCAACACAATCCAGTTCCAGTTCCAATCTCCCCAATCTTCGCTCCGGTCCCCTGACATTGTGCAGTCAAAAGTCAAGTGGGATTAATTGGTATGCATAGATATAGATATAGATATGTATTCGGCATCTCTGGTCCAGTAAACTGCGCTGACCCTTGAGAGTTCGATGAATTTTAACATTTCGGATTGCACAATCGCCACTGACCAAGGGCAACCGGCCAATTAGAGTCGCTGGTGTCAGCCGTGAAGTGAAGAAATCTGGCTGCGGACAGCGATCAGCGGACAACGGACAGCGGACAGCGGACAGCGGACAGGCCACTGGCCATTTCAGCCCAATATTTCGCTTACAACCGGGCCAAAAAATGTGGTTCGATTTGGCTAATTGATATCGTATCAACTTGGAATGCGCTTGGGTGGTAGAAATATTTAAGCGGGTATTAATGGCTTCGTTGAGTGCAAGGGATCCTAAATTAAGATAGTAGAGACTTAATTTCGTTCAAGTTTAAATCGATAATTAAAATCAGCTGGAATTTATTTATTATGATTTTATTTTTGGGAATAGAAAATAGTATTTTAATGAAATTTTTAAATATTTAAAGATTTATGTAGATAGGTTTTATTATTTTTCAAATTACGATTATTTCCCAACTTCACTAAAAGGTCAAAACTTTAAAGATTACCTTTTGTATTAACTGCATAAAAAGGTTGACCCTTATAGTTAACTGGTCGAAACCTTATTTTTATCAGTGTAATTAAAAGGGAAATTCAGTAGGTAAATCGTAAACATTTTAGGGAAATCGAGTAAAAATTTGGCAGCTGTGGCTAAACCGAAAGTGAAAGTGTTAATTGGACAGATGATGGTAATTTAAGATTTTCATGTCTTAAATTTAACAACTTAAATCCGTTATTTAATGAGTTCTGCTCTCTTGATTTTGACCACTCAAATTGTGCAACTCCGTATTTAATTAAGACGTAAATTGTGAAATAGAATGTTGTAATTAACACGTATTTTTCCGACTTTCAGTGCTTGAAACAGAGGTGCTGCAACAACCCAAGCTGAGCGGACCGGCGGCCACCAGCGGTGGTGACTATGATTACCCCTATGTCTGCGGACTGAGTCCGGCCATGAAGCAGGTGGCCAAGGAGGAGCTGCACGAGGACGAGAATATCCGGCGGCAGGCGTTGGCCCAATTTCGGGAGTGGATCGACAAGCATCCGCACATCCGGAAGTGCCGCACGGACACCGTCTTCCTGCTGCGCTTCCTGCGGACCAAGAAGTTCTCTGTGCCATCGGCCTGCGAGATGCTCGAACGCTACCTGACCATCCGCCAGCTGTTCCCGCACTGGTTCAAGCAGCTGGACATCACCGATCCGGCCATCAACGAGATCTTCGAGAACGGCTACCTGGTGCCGCTGCCGCAGCGCGACTCCACAGGGCGCCAGGTCATCTTGTCCGTGGCCGCCAAGTTCGATCCCTATAAGGTAGGAATTTTTATGCCTGCTACTCGTACACACAAAAAAATTTGCTTGGTAAAATTGACAAACAAAGATAGTTACGTAACTATTAAAATAGTTACGTGTATTTTGTTTTTGCTTTGGGTTTGTGTCTTTGCTTATTGTGTGTATTTTGTTGTTGTGAAATGACTATTTACTTAGTAGAATTGACAATTTTGCTGGTTGGGGCCTGTTTGACAATTATTACAGTTGATTTTACTAAGTTTTTTTTTGTGTGTAGAGTAAAAAGGTATATTGTATTCGTGCAAAAGTATGTAACAGCTAGAAGGAAGCGTTTCCGACCCCATAAAGTATATATATTCTTCATCAGGGTCACTAGCCGAGTCGATCTAGCCATGTCCGTTTGTCCGTCTGCCTGTCTGTATGAACGATGAGATCTCGGAAACTACAAAAGCTAGAAATTTGAGATTTTCCACACATATTCTTGGGTCTCCTACGCAGCGCAAGTTTATTTCAGTCGAGCTCCACGCCCCCTCTAACGCCCACAATCGCCCATTTCAAAATGTGTCCTGCGCCCACACCTTTAAAGATTTCCGAGAAGTATAAATGCGATTTTGTTTTGTATATTTATACCTATCGAAATATAGAAGACATTTTTCAAATCGGACCATTCATCAAAAAGTTATACGTAATCAAAATTTTATTATCCATCTCCCTCGCATCTTAGATAGTCGGGACACCTACCCGACTATAGCGTTCTCTCTTGTTTTATCAATTAAAGTTATTAAATTAATTTTAAATTTCTCTCTCTATCCAGTTCACTTCGGTGCAAATGGCCCGTGTGCACAGCCTGATCTGCGAGGCCCTCCTGGACGACGAGGACTCCCAGGTGGCCGGGTACGTGTACATCAACGACGAGAGCGGCATGAACATGGGCTTCGTCAGCCTGTGGTCCCTGACCGACCTGCGCAGCATCGTCAAATGCATCCAGAACTCGACGCCCATGCGCCACAAGGAGACGCACTTCGTCAACATTCCGCACTACGCCAATCGGATCATCGAGCTGGGCGTTTCCATGCTGAGCGATAAGCTCAAGAAGCGAATTATTGTGAGTTTATTGATATATTTATTTATGGGTATTATCCATTGCTTAAGACAGGTTAAAAAAAAAAGTTACCCTGTAACGTACAAATTTACATTAGGGCTTAAGATTTAGTAACGCCTAATTGACCGTAAAGTTTCCTTTAAAATGTTTCTTAATGGTCTTAAAAAGACTTATCTTTATTTTTATTTAGTTAAATTTAATGGGTTGAAATTTAAAATAAAATACTCGAGTGTTATTTTTTTCAAGCTTTTGCATAAAAGTATTTAAGATAAATAGTAAAAAATCGTGGTTTCTTGAGTACCATTTGTATTTATTTAGTCAAAGAAAAGGTTCTTCCATTTTGAACCTTGTCAACATATTGATTTATACTTATATACCAGAGTTTCTCTAAAATCTCTTTCTGAGGTTGTTTGGAAAGGGTTTCAAAAAGAGGTACGAGACCTGATACTTCAGAAGCATCAATGCATTTCCTAAATGAAAAAAGAGGAAACACCAATTATTTTGTTAAATATTTATTCTTGACTTGTGAGCCTGCTGTAGTTTACATTCCGTCTTAGATCTCTTTGACATAAATGATCCCAAAGTCTTGCAGTTCTAATAAATGGGCCGTGTCATATGTCTCCAGCTTCAATCCTTGTTCTGTATAGAACTCCAGTTTCTTCAGACTTGATCCGGAAATCCTGGCAAATTTCACCATCAAGTGCTTAAACGGCTGCCTCTTGCCTATGCAAACCTGGTGAACTCCTCCGCCAAATAAAACACAAATGAAATTCATTTTAAAAATTGCTTTCTTTTTTTTTTTTTTTAGAAAGAAAAGATTTTTTTGATTTTGTTGACTCGCTTGCTTTCTATTTAATAAATCTCTGAAATAAATAAATTAGCCTACCTTGATGATAAAAATATCCTTTTCCGATTTTTTCCACTCACAATTTGTATTGCTTAATTTAAATTTAAATTCCTATATTTTAAGCTATTTTTTCTCTGAACACTAATTGAATTGCTATTTCTTACAGGTCCACAAAAATGTTGACATCTTGAAGACAAAGATTGATCCCGCTATCCTGCCGAAGGAATATGGTGGCACCGTGCCCGTTGCTGATATGATCGCCGAGTTTAAACAGAAGTTGCTCAAGCGCCGGGCAGCAATCCTGGCTCTGGACGACATGCAGATCGAGATCACCAAGGATGCGGCCAATTTCGCCGGAAACGATATTGGCGACATCGATGCCGGAGTCGTGGGCAGTTTTAGGAAACTGGAGGTGGACTAGACTCCTGTTTCCCCGTCAAGCAATCCCATCTCCGTAGGCTAAGCTAGGATAGTCAGGATACCATTGAGACAGTCGACAGGACGCGCGGGCATGCACACTTCGTACCTATTTAAAAGCATCACCACTAAATTGTATAACTAAGGTCTCGCCGGGGATTATGTCACCCATATGCCCAGTACCCCAATAATGGATGGGGGCTGTGGCTGAGTTCCCGTTCCCCAGTTGTATATTCCATCCACGCGTTACGTTATGTTAAATGAATGTCTATTTAAATATATGTATATACTTATTCTTGTGAATTATAATTACTCTGTGTTTTTAATTAATTGAATTGTTATTGGTGGTAAGATGGTCATCTACACTTGAAGCCAGGATTTCTGACTCAGTACACACTTTAACCACCATTTTCAACATGAAAATATAAAGCCAAAAATTGAGAAAAATTAGAAAGAGTGTCTTTAAAACAAGAAAAAATTCAGAAAAAAATGTTTTAGTGTTTATGGCGACTTTCTTATTTTTTTGCGATAATGTGTTTGCTTAGGCAAGGGGTCATGGATTGCGTGGATTATTTCCTCTTAGGTAAAATCACATCCATAATATGGTTTTTGAAGGCCAAATTATATCTACGCCAGGGGTATAGCTACAAATACACTTCTTAATTTGATTTTAAAGTAAATAATGCACGTTCCCACGGCATCCACGGGTGTCGCGGAAACTTAAACCACAAAAAAAAAATTATAATGCCTATTGTTGAGTTGAAATTTGTTGTTGGCTGTTGTATTTTCTGAAAATGTAATTCGTAAGTAACAGCAATCGAAATTCTGCAATTCAAAAGTTTATGGAATCCCCTAAATGATTCAGCAATTCAGCAGCTTAGGAATACCCCAATTAACTGAACTCTATGTTAGCCAGGACACGAACCATTAGAAATGGTATTAGGTATTCTGGTCAAATGGTATATTTTGCAAGACTAGTAACGGTCATACTGCATACTTCAATTTTTTTGACTCTTGGCGCATAACAATTTGTTTTTATTTATTGCGTTTTAGAAAGTTTAAGGGGACTATTAGCGTTTACCCATGAATATCAACGATGGCGACTTCAAGGACCTGCGCTGCAAACTGGACATCATGGGCTTCACCCAGACACTGCCCGTTTTGGCCATTCCACTAGTTCAGGTAAGATGCATACTCGTTTTATTTTCGGAGTTTTGGCATAAGATTTTGTTTACTCGTATTGCAGGCAATTTTTGGTGACTTGATCAAGACCACAGAATGTCTGAGGGATACGAAAAAGAAGGTCTCCGAGTTGCTGGAGGTGGGTAAACCATAGAGGAGTTCCTTTCAAATCTCGGGTACTATAGTTTCGACCAAGTCTTTGCGACGAGGTCACTCGGAACTCTTAAAATTTATTAATCAGTATAGTAACATTATTTTGTGTTCAATATTTTATTAATTACTTGAGAATTTGATCAAGATTGTATATATATTTGTCAAAAGAATGGATATACACAGATTTATCTCCTTTTTATTTAAATTATATGGAATATTCCGTTTGATTCCAAGTTATCGATCATACTATATACATACTATATCATACCCATTATCAAGTTATGAAGATTGAGCCTTATAAGTTTATTTTATAGTCTTTAAAAATGTTCTTAAAACTGCAAGGATATCTAAACTTCGGTTTAGATACTTCCTTTATCGTTGGTTGTGGTTTAATCGGTTGCTAAGCAATCCTTTTGTTGTGGCTTTCGTTTCGCCAGGAAAAGACCTGTTGGGAGCTGGGCGTCGAACCGTATAAGTGCGATAACTCTCGCCTGCTGGCCGAGTGTAATGAACTCCATCTGCAGTTCCTGGGCGACAGGGAGGACTACGAGCTGCGCCTGTGCGGTAAGTGGTAATCGATTCTACTTTTATTTTCAACTAAGTTCCTCAACCGCCTTTCGTAGAATCCGAGCGCAAGATCCGAAACCTGGAGACGGACAAACAGCACTTGCAGAGCCACAATGATGGGCTTCAGAACCAACTGGATGCCTTGCTCACCAAGCAATTGGTTTCTTCTGCCACGTCCAAAAAGGTTGCAACTGGCATTGGTCGTCAAAGTAGGTCAAAGAAGCATAGCTACCAAAGGATTTAATAACAACTACCATATATTTTAGCCAAGAAACCCTTCATAAGTACAGTGAGATCTGGAAATGTACTGCCCACTGTACTGGGCACCGGCACCTCCACTCTTAAATGCACCAAATGCAATGCCGGGGTGTTCCAAAAGACCACCACAACGACCAAAGATGGTGTGACGGTCACTCAAACCAGTGGCCAAGAGGAGCTGGACAAGATGCAGAACGATCTCACGGCAGCCGGCGAACAACTGGAGTTCTACAAGCGAAAAGTGGAGGCCAGAAACCGGGAGATTCGCCGGTTAAACGACATGCTGGCTGGAGGACGACCGCCGGCGGCTTTGGCCAAGGATTGCTGCTACAAGGAGGTGGGCGTCCTCTCCCAGGACATCGATCTGTTGCAGCGCGAGAAAAGCGATCTGATGTTGCAGGTGCGCGACTTCCAGGACAAGATGCACGATGCCATGCAGCGAGCGCTGTCTTCGGAGGAGGACAAAAGGAAGCTGCAGACACAGCTGGAGGAACTGAAGGAGGCCGCTCTGCAGGTGGAACAGCAGGCCAATGCGGAGATTGACGCCAAGGAGCTGGAACTTCGGCAACTGCAGATGGAACTCAAGAAGAAGGGCAGGGATCACCGACTGACTGGTGGTTTTGCATCCCACCAAAGTGACAATCGCCATCTCAACGAGCGCTTGAATCTTCTGACGCGCCGCGAAGAGGAACTGGAGGTCACCAATGAAAAGCACAAGAAGAAGCTTCAGAAAATGCAGGCCAAGATCCTGGAGCTGCAAAAGGAGCTCAAGGATCAGAACCAACACTCCACCGTCACCCTGGACGAAGAGAAGATACGCCTGTCCTCGGAGAGGGACTTCTTCCAGAAGGAGTATCTGCGGCTGATGAGCAAGGCTGGTTCCGAGTCGGAGATAGCCTTTCTGCATGCCCAAATAAAGTCCAAGGACGAGGAGTTGAAGGCTCTGCGCACCGAGTTGTTCCCCGGCGGAAAGCTGCAGTTCTCGCCGCAGAAAAGCGTGCAGTACGAAACGCTGCCGCCGGCCACAGCTTCTTCTAGTACCTCCACCGCCAATAGCAACCGGAGTGACTGCGTCCAGGCGGCCATTGCCAGGGTGGAGCGGGAACGGGATTGCGCCAGGTCCGAACTGGAACGCGTTCGCTGCGAGCGGGACACCCTGCGGGAGAAGCAACTGTGCACCGTTCAACTGCACGCCGAGGAGCTGCAGGCGCTGCGTGTGCGCAACGAAGATCTCAACGATCGGCTGCGGCAACTGGAACGGGATAAGCGGGAGCTGAACTCGGCTCGCGTTCCAACGGAAACGAATCTGGCGATGCTCAAGGAGGATTTAATTCAGATGAGACAGCGTCTGGCCGCCATGCAAACGGAAATCGATCAGCTGAAGACGGAAAATGGTCAGATAACGTAAGTTATACTGATACTTAATTTAAACTGTCTCTAATTCATTTGAAATGCCTTTCCTGACAGCATGCTCAACGATCAGAACGAGCGCATCATAGCGGACTATCAGAGTAAACTTTTGGTGGCCGAGCGTCAGCGACAGACGGCGGATGTTCGAGCCAGTACCCTGGACTCTAGCCGGGAATCCAATCGCAACGAGGTCACCCAGCTACGCACGGACATCGCAGCTCTGCGGCAGACCTACATTTCACTTGAACATGAAAAGGATACTTTGCTGGTAATTGTAGCTTACTTTCCTTTCGTAGATAAATTACCAATATATTAATTGGTTCTTCAGCATCAACTGGATAGCAAAACAGAGCGGGCTTATAAACTGGAGTACGAGCTAAAGGATTGCAAAGAGAAGCGGAATGCATTGGAGCAGAATGTAAAGGAGCTTGAGGAGCAAGTGCGGTAAGTCAAAGAACATTTCAGGGATTTTAACCATGTATGAATGCTACTATTAAGGGGGGTAGGGTCTATGGCACCAAAAAATCGACAAACTTGGCAATTTTTTCCATAAGAACTGGTTGGATGGATTTAATTCAAACCTTTTGTATATTATTAAGTGTCATTTAAATAACATCCACTAATTTGTATAGCCGATACTATCGACTAATATATCGGTGGCAAAGCGATTGCTGGAACACAATAAAAAAAAAAATTATCGGATTTCCATTTTGTTTTACATTTCGCCTAAGAATTAAAAAAAAACCCGCCCCCTGGGAAGCCTTTTTAAAATTTTTTACTTTTGAGATTTTTTTTTCGATATTCCAAAGTCAAAAATGCGTTTTTTATCTAAAAATGTGACTTTCGGCTTAAAAAATATTTAAAGTTACAAAATAAAAAAACGCTTCCCAGGGGGCTGTTTTTTTTTAAACCGTATAGCAACGCCTTTTTCCTGTAAAAACGATTGCATATGATCCTTTATTTACAAACTTCTTAGTTTAGTCTTTCACATTTTTATTTTTATTTGCCTTATCGGGAGGTCCCTTAAATACAGCTCGTACATTAGTCGTTGTAATACATTCATGGCACAAATCTCTTTCTATCGAACACGTTAACCGAATATTTCTAAAAACCACCTAGAAGAGAACAAAATGGTTAATGGAATAACAAGCGACCGAATCGATCAAATAACACCCAGCATGCAACACGGAAAAAAACACACAGATAGAGGGATAAGAAATAGGAGGGCATGCGTAGGAGGTTCCATCACAACCAGACAGAGGATAGCTTGAAGATCGGGGGATTTTAGGTGGCCCCAGCAAAGTGCAGATCATTGAGAAACTTCGAGTTGAGTCGCTCGTTGGTTAAATACCTCGCCAGGCTGACGCTCGGAGCGCTGCAGTTGCTCATGCCGCGCTGATCCGCCTCCGAGGGCGTGTAGCCCGGTCGGCAGACGCACTTGGCCCGGCTGGCATGGGCCAAAATGGAGGAGGTACCATTCGCTGTTTGCGTCTTCAGTGGCTCCAACCACTGACCCGCACCGCAGGGACCACGGCTATACAGCTTGTGGCACTGCCCGTTGATCTCCACCATTCCGGGCGTGGATTCGCATATATTCTGCTCCTTATCCGCTCCCTCGCCCGAGCACTGCTGATCCAGATTGGTGAGGACGCCGGAACAACCGCACATTCCGTTGTACGAGATGCCATCGATGGACGGCCGGGCGGTGAAGTCAAAGATCACCACCTGATGCAGGGCACACGGGCCTTGAGATCCGATCCTGTAGCAAGAGTCCTCCGCAGGAAAGTACAGGCGATTTTTGCCGCAGAAGTTTCGCACACAACTGGTTCCGTTGACCAGGAACTCGTTGGAGCCGCAGGGACCCCTGGTGTACAGGCGATAGCAGAGGCCATCGCTCCAGGGCACATAGCCCTCCTTGCACTGACACTTCGCGCGCGGCAAGAGCTGCAGGGTGCTGCCAGTGGTCTCCTGGACATCGTCGGGTATGCGGAAGATGTGTCCAGGTGGGCAGGGGCCAGGAGTATCTGGAAAGGGGGAGATCATTATTGTCGAATTAACTCCTTAATTTTCCTTTCAATTTACAAGTTTTGTGAATTTTATAGTCCAATTAAAGATAAAAAACTGTTATCTACTAGAAATCAGTTAATTAAAAACTAATTTACAAAATGTTTAATTTTATTAATGTAATGAGATAAGTGTAATTATTCTCCAATTTACTTCTTAATTTTCATTTTCAATTTACAAGATTTATACATTTTATAGTCCAATTAAAAATTAAAACAAATTTTAAAAGGTTTTTAACTTTATCGAATTAAGAGATTTAATCCAACGAGTTAAGTGTAATTATTCTCTATTTTGTCTACCAAAACTTTTCTAAGTATTTCGTTTTTAGGAAGTAAGTTTGTTAAATTATAATAATTCTTGTGATTTAAGGTTAAAGAGTTTCCGTATAAACAACTGCATTCAAAGTGTGTTACTTAATAGTGTAGTTCCGTAACCAAAACCCAATCCTACCCAGCTCGAAGCACATTTGCTGCGGAGCATGATAGTGCGGCAAGTGCCGCTGGCAGTCGCATCGACCGCCGGGCAAGAAGATGTGACCCGGCGTCGAGCAGGGTCCTTTGGTGTAGTGCTCGTAGCAGGACTCCTCCGCCGGATAGTAGAACGAGGACAATTCCCCCTCATCCTCGCAACGACATTCGGCCAGTCCGTCCGCGTTTTGAACTAGGAGTTTTCCACGACTACATGGACCCTTGGCGTGCCTGGCATAGCACTTGTTGTCCCTCGGCCAAAAGATCATGTCCTCCGGACAGTTCAGTGGTCGCTTGCATGTGCCCCAACGATTGCCGGATCTGAAAAAGGATTTGGTAAACCATTACTATTTTAGGTTTTTACAAATATCAATAACTTTCGATAAACTATAAAATATAAAGTAATTTCTTCGTAAGTGAGTCCCAAGTACACTAAAAATAAATTTTAGCATAAATTTTGGAAAATCGACATTAAAATTTCTTTTTTCTAAATACAAGAATGTTATTTCTAAAACTAAGGAAATATTTCTAAAATCAAGAAAGTTTTTCTTAAACGTAGAAAATGGTTTCCATAAACTAAAATCACCCTAAAAACTAGAAAAAAAAATTCCCTTAAAATTAGAAATTATTTTCGAAAAAATAGAAAGGTAAACAAAAGTAATAAAATATTTTAACAACCCCTTTTCTGATGAAAAACAAGTATTGGAAAGTAATTCGGGACACGTAGGCCACTACAAAATTGACTGGACTAAACATACACTATAGAAACAATGTCGGAGGAGTCTCTCTCAAAGGAATTGGGTCAATCGGGAACCTTGAAGTCAACAGGGACAGCAGTAGAATCTAATATACTCCACACCGCTGATTCCTTTATGGGCGATGACGGTCATATACCGGATCTTAAGTCGGATACCGGATCCCAAACTGATAAGGACGGAGACTCCAGGGATGGATCGCTCTACGATTGCAACATATGTCTGGACACCGCTCACAATGCCGTGGTCACCATGTGCGGTCACTTGTTTTGCTGGCCCTGTCTGCTTCAGTGGCTCCTGACTGAGCCCAGTCGCAGTCTCTGTCCCGTTTGCAAGGCGGCCGTGGATAAGGATAAGGTCATTCCCCTCTACGGACGAAATAGTACGCGTAGAGAGGATCCTCGGGAGGGAATTCCTCCACGTCCCGCTGGACGCCGCACAGAACCGGAGGCGGAAGCAGGATCCAACCATTTATTCGGTCACGTTTTTCACATGTCCGTTGCCCTTGGCTTTCCTTTCGGCTTCATTTCATCATCTCTAAATTGGGCCGCGCAACGTAATGCGGCTGCTAATCGCGGAACAACGCAGTTTCAGGACGAACAGAACCTTTCCAAGTTCTTTCTTTATATGGCCTTTGTACTTATCGCCTGGCTGGTTTTTGCCTAGCAAACTGGGAACTACTGGGTAATCCCTCATCCAAATTTGTATGAAAACGGGAAGTAAATCGTTTATGATTATGCTCCTGATAAAAATATGTCAAATTGGCCAGCAACCGGTGCTTTTCAAATTACGTTCAGTGCAGTTTTTATAAGTGTATTTGAAGAATAAACGTTGAACGATCGTCGTTAAAACAAACAACCAACAAAAAAAAGAGTTATTGCTCAGAATTTCCTCTGAATAATAAAGAAGTTTTTTGGTTTATTCAGTAAACAAGAGAATGCCTCGACTATCAAATACCCATTATGCGGGTAAATGAAAGAGATAAGCAAAGCGACTGTTTGCATTCCATTATTTTTTATCATAACTTTTTAAAGAAAGATCCGATTCCTTCTACCTGATACATAATAGTATATACCCTTTTATTCTACGAATAACGGGTTTAAATATGCAAAAGTTGAGTAAGCGCACAATTTCTTATGTTCTTGAAAAATAATTGACTTTCGTTATTCATAAAAACAAGTTATGGCTTTCGCAATTGCTTAAGTGCACTAGAACTTTCTCTAAAAAAGAGAAAGTAAAATTCAGAACAGTCTGTTAGTAAAGCTTTTTTTTATTTCTGGGGCTTAAAACCGAACTCAACTCACCTTTTGACCTGATCCGGCGTGGGTTGGAAGTACTCCTCAGGTTGACAGGGTCCCCGTTCGTAAAGCTTATAGCAGACATTATTGGTCAGGGGACTGAGTGCAGTTCCCGGTGGACAACGGCACTCGGCCGCTGGGAGATCCCTTCGCTTCGCACTCACCGCCGTGGGACTGAGCTCCATGGTTTCCGGACATGGATAGCCGAGGGTGAAGATTTTGAAGCACTTTTTTAGGGGCGCCCAGTAGAGGAGCTGCCAGCCACCTGACATGGTGGCGCATGGATTCTTGGCGGGATCACTCCACGGCGGAGGCACAATTCCAGCTGACACTTGCTGTGGATTTTGACCGGTGGTCAGTAGGAGAAGCAGGCAAGTGAGGATGGAGCTGCCCGCCTGCAGAGCAGCCCAGCAAATGAGCACTTTGCGACGTCTCATGGTGGATCTGAAAATGAAAACTAATTGATTAATAAATTAGTATTTATATTTGATGTGATTGGAACCACAGTGAAGCTTTTACGAGTCAAATCTTAAGAAATTATTTTCAAAGGAATTCACCTTTACTCATTTACTCGAGTTAAATGTGTAAACATGTTTTTATTTAGTTGGCTTTAAAATAGTTTTCTGTTTTCCAAGTTTTTAATTAAATATTTTAAATACGTTGCATGAAATACGGATCTAAAATCAAATTGAATTATAAAAGGAATATATCCGAGCATCTGAAAGATCCTTTTTATATAACTATAACAATTTCAGTATCACAAATAAAATGTTAAGATTTCTTAAAAAACAATAATTTTCGTGTATCCTCAAAAAATAAAAACGAACTATTTTCTTTATATTTCTAAAAATTTCAAAAAGTTTCTTAGTTTCATTAAGCTTACGATGGAGACATTTATGTCCATTTATGTCCCTAATCCGATATCATAAGCTGCTTTGTGTTGACTTATCAAATTGATGCAAAGGTGGCAAAAAATCATAATCATAATGCCTTTTATATAGTGTTGTAATGGTCAAAACTATATAAATAACCGATTTGTATAATCAATTTTCTAAGCCATTTTTGAGGGTCATTTATTTCGATTTGTTTATTTAAAAATGAAGCATTGACGTTTCGTGTTAAAAGATTAAATATTCCGAAACTTAGTCATTAAATTAAATTAAGTTCGGGCTGGAGAAGTGCGGCGGTGATTATTTTCCCCCTGCTCTGTGAAGATATCGGGGGTGGAAGCCCTCATTAAACCGGATGATGGATGACTTTTCCATTGTCGCGGCCGTTGTTTAAAAATCATTTCACCGCTGCAGCGGAGGGCCTTAAAGCGGGTCCAATTCGAATTAGCCAACCCTTTGGGGCAACTGATTATCATGTTGGCCGGACACCACCGCAAAATCGGCTAAAAGACAAAACCAAAACACCGAAAACCAGTAAACGGTTCGCGCGCGGTTAACCATGACCCAAATACCCATTTATCTTGACTTCTTTTCGCCTCAGCCGCCGACCGGTGGTCAGAAATCTTCTGCTCTTTCAGCTGCTGGTCATAACCGGGTGGGCCTTCTTATGCAACCGGCCGCAGATGATGAAACATGTGGCAGCAACAACAGCCAGCGAAGCGATCAAGCCGCCGCCGGACACGAAAGGTGCCACACTCTTGGGCGGTACGAGTTGCGTGATTTGTGGCCCGTTTGGACCGCTCTGCTGGCCGCCGCCGCTGCACTGGCAACTGGTTTTTGGCCCGCCGCACAGTGGGGCGAAAAAGCCAAAAGTCTGCCTTAAATCAGCGGAGCCCTATATCGAATATCTTTTGATGGGGCATTGTTGAAGGCAATTAAATATGTAAAAAAACATCATAAGGTGAATTTTTTTAGTGAAATTTTTTTGTTGTAGAAATTTTTTAAGAAAAAATAAATTGTTTTTTTAAGAAAAAAAATATAAATAAATTACTTATAGGGTTCTAAGTTTCCCAATATTTTTTTTAAATTTAACTTGATTTTTGAAAAAAAAAATTATTCAAATCGGTCAACTATATCTTATAGCTGCCATATAAACGCTTATTACAAAGGGGAATGTCTCGGTTCTATTTCAATATTGGTTCATATAAATTGGGATTAAGTCATTATTTATCATTTTAGCTCTATGCTTACCTTTTTTTTAATTGGTCAATGATATCTTATAGATGTCATAGAATCAATCAAGGAAATATAGCATATTTTCAAAAAAAAACTGGTAGAAACCGGTATTTACTTCATATATGTATTTTTAGTAAAATAACATAATTTAAAATTTTAAACCCAAATTTGTTTATTAATTTATCATTATCTTCATCAATACCTTCACATAAGTAAAATATCTTCATGATGTTAGGGCGCGCGAATGAACCAGGGCTGACGATATTTCAAATTATGAACATTTCTTGCTAACTTAAACTGCGGTTTTCTCAGAAGAGGCACAAAAGGGCAGGCTAATTTTTTCAGAATATGTAGTTAAATATCTAAACTTTTTTTAAAAAAAGAATTAAACGGGGATCTAGGGTGTAACACTACTTTACGTCCAAGGGTATCCAAAAAATCCCTTTTTTTTTGACCACTTTTAAAAAATTAAAAAAAAATAGTAATTATGTATCTAAAATTTTTATTTTTTTTTTAATATTTTAAGAATTGGTTGCTCTTAAAATTTCAATCGTTACATATACGACTTAGGCCCTTGGGCGCTTTCAGAAAAATTTCAAAGATGTGTAAAAATACCTTTTTTTCTTATTGGCTAAAATTATATTTCGAAAAATCCACTTTATAAATCTGTAGTGGGAGAACCATTTAACACAGATCACTCTTTCCTTTTGATGTGTATAGAGAATTCAATTGTTTTTGAAGTTGCATTGCAACATTTTGGGAAATCTTAAAAAAAAAAAAACCATTTTGGCAGGCTTTTTGTTCTAGGCGCCCCACTGTGCGCCGCTTACAGCAAGCCGGTCTACGTCAGCGTTTGATTCTGGCTTTCTTGGGATTCTCCTCCGGCCCATTTACCTCACTCGATTTTGCACCTTTCGTAAGCTCTTTGTTAACACACAAACTGGATTTAATTTGATCGCCTTTATATAAATCAATTAGGCCGCTCACATCGCTTTTGCTTTTACACGAGGTCTTGTTTATTTCTGAGATAGATAGATAGATTTGATATCCCTTTTTCTTGGTATTTTACTGACTCCTTTATTCTCTTGCTAACACAGGAAATATTTTTTAACTCTTGCAAACAAATTATTTCTTTTATAGTGTAAAGTTTGTATATTTTTTTTTATTTAAAAAATTTATAGATTTTTCTTATGAAAGGTTAAAATGTTTTATATGGAATACATTAGGTTTTGTTTTTTGTACTTTAATAAATCAAGTAAAGGATTGCAACATTCTTGAAAGCACATAAACTTGATTTACTTTGTTCGGCGCTATAAACCTAATTAAGTAGATTAATGAGTACATAATTGCATGTGAAACCCTTATCAATTATGACCCACAATTTCAGTTTAAATTTGTACATTTCCTTTTTACACTTTTTATTATCTCTTTCACTTTGTTTTTTAAAATTAGATGTTTTAATTCCGGTTTTTCTTCTATTGTCGGGCCTATTGGTGTTATTCAAATACATTTCAAAGCTTTTTTTTCATTTATTTGTATAAAGCACATATAAAATTGTGCCTTTTAACAAATTGTTGATTTTAAACAAGACTCAGTCATTGACTCAGTTTATTCAGAAATAAATAAAACCTAATAAAAAAGTCCATAAAAGTTTATACTTGTTATAAGGTCCTAAACATGTTTGATTATTGCGTTTACTTAATAATGGTAATAAAATTCAGCTTCCTAAAATGGAATTGCTTTTATAAAGTCAAGATAATATAAAATCCAATTTTTGAATAGATTGATTTTATATCAACATGAACTAATAAAAATGAATCGGATATTTAACGATTTATCTTTAAATTTATTTAACGTTCTCAAAAGAATCCGGTAGAAAAATAAATTGGATAGGTCCTTTTACGTAATTAAGAAATTCTTTAAAAAAGAAGGGTGAGAAAAAATCAGGTAAAAAACAGAATTCATACAAGATCTAACAATGGACTACTCAGAATTAACTCGAGCAAATTTTCTCGGATTCCTCTTTCACATGTTATTTATTCTGGCTTTCTTGGGACTATCCCGCCCCTCATTTGCGGTCGCACCTTTTGCAACTTGGTTGTTATAATAACCAAACTGGTTGGTGAGGGCTCAATTTGTTTTGATTTGGTTTCAGCAATCACGCACAATAACAAAAACACAGATATTCGCTACACTTTGCTGGGGATTGAGACGGTTCCCTAGGACAGAAGAACCGACCACTGACCAACTACAGCGGACGAAACCAAGCGATCGCGGCGTCCGTTCGCTTGGGCAGGTAACAAACGTCTGAGCCATGGTTTTAGCCATGTTTCTCTGGCGGCTCTTGCCGCTGCTCTTGCTCGGCATATCCGCTCTTCCAAAAGCCAAGCCAAGCCACAAAGGTGAGGCTCAGAGGAGCTCGGTTTTGTGTAAATGTGCTAACCACTTTGACCAAAAAGGTAACAACGAAATGTCAGTGGTTGTCTCAGCCACCACTCTCTTAGCCATCTCAGCTCTGCGTCAGCGGCAGTGACGGGTATTTGAACTTTGTTTAGCCTTAATGACTGACTGACGGACGACGATGGATACGGCTATGGCTTAAACGATGGTGACTGCGACGGCGACTTTGACTGCCTCTGTTGACTGCCGTGTGTTCTTGAGCTTCTGGCCAAGTGCGGATGTGTGTGGCTACGTGCCTGGCATCGCTAGTTAATGCTAGATACTCCTATCCACTTGTGCACTGCCATTCAAGATCTTGATTCATAACTCTTGTAATCGTGCTTAAATGTTTAAGATAGAAAAATCACTTACAGACCGAAATACAAATTAAGATAAGTAACAAGTATTTTCTAACTTAATGTACACAAAGAAAGGTATCAAAAGATTTAGGTACAAAATAAGGGGTGAAACATTTTAAAAAGTATAACGCTTCATACAAATGTTGTTTTACTTTGGATTTGAAAAACGTTTTCTTTTTATTTTTAAATCGTTTTTACAAGAAAATGGCACCTAAAACGCCGTAAAATTTTCTCTGCGGAGTTTCGAATAAAATTTATAATTAATATCAACCATGTTGTTACTCTTATTTAGTCATTAATTCAGTATTTAAATTTTTTAGATCCTATATCCAAATTTAATCCAATTTAGGCTACTTCCGTATTTTTTATTTAACAGTTTTTCAAAAGATAATCATTATTAATGATCATGAGATTTATTTAATAACATATTTGGCTAAAGAGGATCACTATTTTCCCTTTGTTCATTATTTTGGGAATTTTTGTTCGATACTAGACTATTTTTCTCTCAGTGCCTCTCTGCGCTGACCCTCCTCTTTATGGCCATCGGAAGAGGGTCAGGTTCTGGCAGACAGTGGCATTGATTGCGCTACGCCTCAACATTGATTCCAATTGATTTCGGCTTTTCCCCTACTCTTCCCCTTCCAGAAAGCTGGCCAACAGGAACCGGCAGCGCGATTCAGAACTGACGGAGACCTCGACGGAAAGTAAAACGCTGCGGCAGCAGATTGTGGCACTCAAAGCCAGCCGCGATGAGGCAATAGCAGAGAATCGGTGAGCAAAAAAGTCATTAGCGAGGTGAAGATATCATAGAACTGCTTCCGCGCTGGGGCAAATCTTTTTTCCTCGATCATTAGGGGTTTTTTTTTATAATTTTTTGTTGCCCCACAGCCGGCTGATGGACAAATTGAGCGATGTCCAAGTGGAGGCCAGGACGTTGCAAAACAAACTGACGGACTCTGAGAAGCAGGTGGCCAACATGAAGCAGCAGCTGCACAAGTACGTCCAGGAGGTGAAGAAGGCCGAGGACTTGCTCACCCAAAAGGTTAGTTGATCTACAAAGTTAGTGCCTAAGTCCGAGTACTCGAGTTGGCATACAGGTGTGCTCTAAATTAAAGGAAAAGGAGCGCGATGAAATGCTGGACCATTATCACTGCCTAACCCAGGACCAAGCGGCGCTAGAGGGAAATAACCAGAGTCTGGAGTGCGAGGCAGCCGAGTTCAGGTGTGTTTTAAATCTTATTGTCTCTTTCTTGACAGTTTTCTAATATAATAATAAAAAAATTAAAACCAAAATGTAGGACTTGCGCAATTAATTTCCTACAAAGCAAGGTTCCTAATGATCTTGCGCTTAATATGTGCCGACAATAAACATTAAGATCATGTTGATAAGCGAACACTTAAATTACTAACACGTTTTGTCATTTGATGATTTCATGATATTTTACAATATCTATCTATTAGTGCCCTGCGTGAATCATTCAATTTTTGTTTTATCATAGTAGGCCATCATATTTCTGATTTTGATTTCTGATTTCTGATAAATTAAATGTTTTTCTAATTAATTTCGAATTGAATGAATGAATGAATAATTTTTATGCATTTTTTGAATTTGCCAGTTTTATTTTGTGCTTTCTTTTGAGAACAAAAAGTGTAAAATTTTTAACAAATCAATGTTAACTGCATAGTAAATAAAATTCAGGCAAAAAGAAATTGTCGTTTGAATTATTTCGGAATTCATGCCATTAATTCATTCAATTCTATTAAACTCAAAATTCAAATTCATTCAATTCTATTAAACTCAAAATTCTAATTAATTCATTCATATAAAACAAAAAATTCAAAATAATTCATTGAATCCATTCATGCAGGTCTCTACTATCTACCTATTTACTTGTTTTTAAAACACTTATTTGTAATTATTTCACACAGGCGACAAATCTGTGAGCTGGAGTGCGAGGTGCGCAGCCTGAAGGATCAGCTGCAGTGTCGCCAGTGCGCTCTTGATGATATGGAGGTGCAACTGACCGCCGCCCGGGCCTCCACGCGATGTCTCGAAAGGGAACTGGAGAACGCCCGCGATGATATCCGTGTCCAGAAGGTGGATCTCGAGGCTCGCAAGGAGCTGTGCGATAAGCTCGATGTGGAAAAGGGTAAACTCAATGCGGAGCTGAACGAGGTCAACGAAATGCGCAAAAAGGTGAGCTTCAGCTCTGATCCCGATCAGTATCAGTATCTCTATCCTAGCTAGAACACTCCGCTGTAGTCTACTTCGCTTTCTAACAAAACTCTGACTAACTAGCCGTATAATTCAAAAGTGCTTGTGAGTAGCTTGTGGATCTACTTGCTATCTATTTGTATTACATTATTTTTGCTTTTCAGCTTGAAAAACAATGCGAAAAACTGCGCGATGAGCTTCAGCAGAGTTCGGCTCTCAATCAAATCACCACGGAGACCACCGATCTGATGCTGGGGCGCTTGCATAACGATCAGCAACGTCAGGATGACGATGATATCAGGGCCAAAAACGAAATGGACCGACTGCAACGACAGCTCCAACAAACTTTGGTGAGTATTGCTTATGAAGGGTAACCACTTTTCTTTTGTTTGCCATGAAAAACCCCAAAAAACCAATTGAGTAAACTTTACACAAAAAGGTCAACAGTTAATAAAGCAATCATATTTATTTATCTGAGTTACAATGCAATTACATTTGTATAATATAATAATACATATAATAATAATTATTATTAATTTTCCCGAAACAGAGTCAGTTGCAGGAGGAACGTTCCCGCTGTAGGCACCAGGAGGAGTTGGCCAACGAATATGAGCAACAAGTCCGCGATCTGCGTAGAAATCTGGTCGAGGATCGCTACAACCGTGCTAGAACACGCGAAGTCAGCCCGCGGGTGCCTTCAAAAACTCTGTAACTCTGTATTTGACAAAACTATTGACTTGTTTTATTATGTTAACTCAAATTTAATGTTTGGCTGGGATATCGAAATTGTAAAAATATAAGAAAGATTGTCGAAACTGAATAAAAATTAGTTGTATCTATCGCTGAATGGAGCGTCCTTCGTTCTGGCACATTGAGGCCAGGTTTAAATAGGTCTGGTACATGCAGGGACATCCATCAAATGCAGGTGCCCGCTTGTAGTTCGTCTGGGGATCCGCCTCCTCGCAGCTGGCGAAGTCGTCATCGTAGGTAGACTCAAGGCAGGTACGCTCACCGGAACTGCTGGATCCTAGGAAATGTGTATATCAAAAAATATAAAATGTAAAAACTTAAATCATTTTCAACCAAGCTCCAACTAAAATTTGGTGGAAATTGGATCGAAATTTAACTTAATTTTGGTTTTATTTTTTTACCAACGCTACAAGTACAAAAAATACTTATAAATTAAAGCGCTAGTCATAATTTGTTAGATTCATGGACATAAATAAATTTCTTAACTACATTGTTTTATTACAGAAATAAATAATCCTTCTCATCAATCTAATCGACGTTCTCAATTACCAATATTATATTCTAAAGAAAACTGACTATCCAATTTCATTATTAGAATCTGTAAATAAATAATAAATAAACTTACTACAAGTGTAGTTATCATCTGTGTTTTCCGTATCACCGCTTTGCTCTACCATGTGGTATTTAAGGGCGCGCTCCCAATCGATAAGACTGTGACAAGTTTCCTTAACATGTTCCTCCTTGGTCAGATCCCCACTATTATCTTCGAAGGTAACTGTTCGTGTGCGTTTCTCACAGACGGTCTCCAAAACTGGAACTTGGCTATCTTCACTGCGTGAACAGCGTCTTGGGGAAGACATGCATGACCTTGGGGTATGCTGATTATGAACCTGACGATGATTTTCCAACTGATCCCCTTCATATCCGTCGTATCTATAATTAATTTGATCCGGTGAACTTCCGTATTTGGTATGGTGTCCCCTATCACAGTCATCATAACTGTAGGTTTTAAAATGGTCCACACTTTGTACTTTCTTCTGGGTTTTGTAAGATTCCTGACACTCGGAGCACAGACTTTGATCAGATTGGCTGGGACTAGGACAACAGTGAGAACTCGAAGTCTGATCATTAACTCTATAGGGTCTATTGGGACTGTGACTTCGTGTATTTAATATCTGACTATTATATTCGTTTTGAGGCTTCTGATTGACTTGTCTATAATAGTCTTTGGGATTCCTGGGACTGTCTTGCCTATTTGGGGGTGTTTGAGGATTTCTCTTTATAGACTGTTTATAGCTGACATGGGGTGAATCATCATGAGATTTCTGTGTTTTCTCTGGTATTCTGTAAGAGGGCTCTCTAAGATCATCTTGCCTGCAAGCCAACGCGTCGTAATCACTCTCATTATAAATATACCCATTATCTGATTTATAACTAGCAATCTTTTCCAGTGGTTCGAAATTCCTAAGGGTATCTTGCTTTAAATCTTGATAGCAATTAACGAATCGATCGTGGAGGCTATCGTTATCACAATTATTGGATCGACTATACTGATTTGGAATCTTTAATACAGTTTCGGCACTTTCACTTTGCGGGGAAGCTATAACTTCTGAAGGAAAATTTTCTAAGCGAGATGTACTTGGTAGAGTTGGATTAACATGATCCCGATAATAATGCTGTTTTTCCAGTTTTTCCCTACAAGTAATATTTTTTTGGGTTTTTATCGCATCTCTGTGAGCCTGTATCACTGGAATATCTTTTTGATATTGAGGAGCCATAGAGACATAACTGGTAGTTCTTAAGACTTGGGGTGATGTTGATCTCTGAAGATTGTGTGCTCTCATTTCCTTAGGAACCGTCTTCACCGAGATTCGTTCCTTGGAATGCTCTCGCCTTTCCTGCGTAACCATCTTAGAATTCATACTCTCGAATTTTTTTGATTTTTCCGAATTCATTCGATTTGCCTTTGCGGCACTTTTTGTTTTAAGTAGGCTTCTGTCGTCAGGGCACTGTAGCCCATTAGTGTTGTTCCAGGAAGCAACAGGTCTCGAATCGTTGAAGTACCTTTTATCAGTTGGTTGTTTCCTACTTTCCGGAGTGCTGTAGTCTTTTTCATTACAACGACCATCATTATTGTGCCAGTCTTGACTTACGTTTTTATAAGTATGACTTCTTTCGCTGTGACTTTTACTATCCTGCATATTCCCTCCAGTTTTTCCGTCTTCTGATATATTACAGCAACACAAATTCTCAACGGATATTAGGCGTTCATCGCTACTACTTTGACTTACAAGTGCATTCCGACCAGCATCGCAACAACAGTTAGATTCTTCAACTTCCTGAACTCCTTTTGAGTTTCCTTTCTCCTGATTTTTAATCCCATCCGAATCGGAAAGAGGAGGTGAATCCGCGGGTTGCTTTACATTTGGTTTTTGTTCCACTTCCGTCTTGATCCTTGTGTATGTGGGAATCGGCTGGAGAGCCGTGCGTCCTTCGAGCTCAGTCCTGGAATTCTCCTGCTTATACTGATTCAAATAATCTTGGTACATGCGGACCTTCGTTTCATCCGTTTGTTCCTCGCTGCACAACTTCGATGGATCTGCATCACCACTAAAAGCCTTTGAAGTGACAAGTTTACTGACTGTCACATTTTCCGACTTCATTTTTGTCTTATTTTGCTTATGATCCTCTGAAGACTCGTTCTCCTTTTTCTGGATAACCTTTGGTAGTTTTTCAGGAGTCTTCTTTTGCTGTGCTAATGAAGCTGCAGCAGTTTCCGCTTTTATTTTGCATTCCAATCTTTTAATAATTGTGGATTTTCCACTCCTAACTGGCGACTTTTTGTCCTGGCATTTGGTACGGCAATCCTTGGGTGATGCAGCGCGATCCGTCATTATTTTTGGACACCAATTCCGTCCAATTCCCTGAGTATTCAGATCGGTGACCACTCTTCCGCAGGTTTGCCGTGGACAGATGCTATAAGGTATCCCAAACTCCATCCCCTGATTGGGTGAAATCCCTCCATTGAATTTATTGCAAACGCTGAACTGTTGAGGATATCCCATGTTGCACTGGCAGGAGCAATTACAATGGCAGTTACAATTTCCAAAGCTGCTTTGGTAGATTGTCTGATAATTCCGACTGCAGTTTGCACAACAATGGGAGCAGCCTCCACTGATTCTTTGGTCGATTTCCGAAGAATCAATTGCAGGCGAATTCTTAACAGCAATGGTGCGACATTTGACCTTCGGTTGAGGACCGGAATTGGGAGTTCTATTGGCGGCTAGGGGACCGACCTGATTCGCCTCCAAACTTTGACCCCAGGTCATGTTCTTTTGTCTCGCCTTTGCCATATCCGGACTCCTAGATCTGCTTCCAGTGTCTGTGTCTTTAAGGAAATGGTTGCGAAAGTCCTTCAACTTATTTATCTCATTCTCGATCTTCCTGTACAGAATATCCACCTGCTGTCGGGTTCGCTGGATTTTCTCAAGACCCAGTGAAGAGGATGATGGCCCAACTTCCGGCTGCTTGTGGGCGTAACTAGAAACTCCAACCGTTGGATGACGGAAGAGTTCCCTCACCTTCTTGTGGGTCTTCTTTATGTAAATCCTTTGGCGTCCCCCGATCGAAACACGCTCCTCGCGTTCCAGAAAAATGCTGCGATCTGTGAAAACTTTATTTTGAGTATTTTTCGACAACTTTTCAATGGTTTGCCTACCTTTTTTGTTTTTATGCTCCATAAAATTTTCTTAGGCGGGTTCGTAGTTAAGAACTTCATAGAAAATATATTCGATATAGCTCCTTTTGATGTTTCAAGCTGGGCTGTCCTATTTCTAACATGTTTTTAGGCTCTGAAAATTCTTCGCCATACAATTGTTTTAAAGCCATAATTAAGATAATAATTCCGTAAAAATAAACACCCAAGTCATTGAAACACTTGCTGCTTAGGTTATTATTTTACGACAATATACACTAATAATTTCATTTTATTTCTTAAAATTGACATGGATAATGCCGGGGATTTGGTACGCGTTGACTTTAGTGGGATTCGTGTATTGCAAATAATCATGTAAATGTACAAATTATAACGTTCAACAACTCCTAATTAACTACAATAAACCTAAGTATTACAGTGCTTTAACAGTTTTTTTTTAGGCGTATCTTCAAAAGAAAAAATATAAATACTATTACAGGCCAAGATCAATGGGATTGGATCGGCAACTGGAACTCGATCTGGGTTTGGTGGGGGCTTTCTAAACTAATCCTTCGATGTGGTACATGGCTCTGATCCGCTGGCACCGAAAGAGCTGCTGGACAGGGGAGTGCTGACGTCGCGACTCTCGCCGTTGAGCAAGTAAACCGGCACATTGATAGTCACCAGTTCGAGATTGTGGCTTGGCGAGAGCATCGCCGTGCTGTCCTCGTCCTCCGCCGCCAGAATGGGCGCCGCGATCTCCAGTTCGTTGCCCACCTCGGGCACCATATCCTGGTCGAACTCGTAGGCAGGCTCTGGCATTGGCTCGTCAACTGCCGGTGGCGCTTCATCCGGAGCTGGCTCGGGTTCTATGGGAGACGTTTCGAGTCTGGGTTCGGCCTCAAACTCCAATGGGCAAGTGATGAGTAAGAGATTCCTTTTCTTGCTCTTAATCCGCGTCCAGCGAGGGCACTTGAATCGGCGTCTTCGCTTGCGCTTTTTGTGTTTTAGTGGCGGCTCGACTTGCTCCTCAATCTGGGTGGGATTCACTGACGGCTGTTTCTCTTCCTCATCCTGGGGTTGCTCAATTAATGGCTGATTTTTCTGTGTGGGGTCTTCTTCCTCTAACAGACTTTGTTCTTTCTCTGACTGGGTTTCATTTTCTATTTGCTGTTGCTTCTCCTCTGGCTGTTGCTGAATCTCCACCAGTTGTGGTTCTTCTCCTGCCTGGTGGTGATCCTCTGCCAGTTGTTCCAGTTCATCGTCAACCTGATGCTGCTCTTCCTCCTGCTGTCGTTGGTGCATCTCCAGCTGATGTTGCTCCAGCAGCAGCTGCTCCTCCAAGAACTCTTGATGCTCCAAGTCGAGCTCTGGTTCCTGTTCATTTGGCTTACCAGTGACCACCACTGTTTTATCTTTCTCATCCAGATTACTTTTTTCCTCAATTGCATTACTATTTTTAAGCTCATTTCGTCGCTCCTCTCCAGGATGTTCCACCTCCTTGAGAGATGGTTCCTCCTGTATATCAACTACATCCTTTTGGCCATTAAGCGGCGCTATTTGTGACCTTGCCGCGCTCCTGAGATTAAAGCGTTTCAGTCTTACTAAGGGCAATCTATGCGGCGCAGATTTTCGAATGACGGTCAAGTCTTGCTCCAGTTGCTGAACCTCCTTTTTCTGCTTGGTATTTAAGGCGCGTAGCTGCCGGCATCGCTTCGTAGCCTGCTTGAGCAGCTTAACCTGATCGGCATCCTTCGGCACCTGATGCTTGACCTTTACAGCCTTTTTCTTTTCGTTAGACAGCCGACGTCGGCGGATATTCTCCCGCTGCACGGTAAGCAGGTGGTTGTAGTAGCTCACTTCATCGCCAGCGGCCTTTGAGAAGCAGCGTCGACCGAAATCCCAATTGTTGTTGTCATTGGATGCCATTTGTATCTGGCACGGACTGCTTGAACTGTGCGTAGAGGCTGGCGGTGTGGGCAATGCCACTCGCTGCCCGCGGGGAGTATTCCTGATGCGCGTGGGCGTAGCCGAGATCTTGGTGGGTGTGCTACTGGAGGCATTGCTGGTGGTGGGCGTTAGCTGGCTGGCAGCGACATTCAGGACTTCATTCCTAGCCTTCATCCTGGCGTCGAGCTTGGCGAACATTTTCGCACTGGCTTCGAGGTGCTCTGCAGGGATACAAAAGTAGTTTATTTATAGATCAAATATAAAATGTATATTTGTCATCTTATTTCTTGAAAAAGCCCAAATTAAATTTAAAATCTAAATTCAAATATTAAATAAAAAATGTATTTCGACACCTTGAAAAAGCCCAAATTAAGCTCAAAATCTAAATTCACAATTATAAAAATATAAATGTATCTAATTCGACAGCTCTTAGTTATCTTATAGTTTTAACTTTAAGTTTGCTTTATATAAATAAATAAATATCTCCCATCTTACCCGCTTTCCAGCGACCATTGCCTACGCCATTCGACTTGTACTGCTTGATGGAGGGCTTCTTGGAGGCGATTGCCTTGGCATTCGGCGTAGTTGCGCCCAGATGCCGCGGACTGAAGGTAACCTGTTTCTTGAGCAGCGAAGATTCGCTGCAGTTGCTGTTCTGACTAGAAGTTTGACGGCAGTGGTAGACGGGGGTCCGTTGTCCGCTGGCATCGCTGGCACTGCTTCTCCGCGGGAAGAAGCTTTGGCTGTACTGGTCCTCCTCCGCCAGTTCCTCCACCTCATCCTCCAACGTCTGCACGCACTGGTCGACCAGATGCGGCGCTGTGGTCGACACCAAATGGAGGCTATCCCGGCGGCAACTGTAGCTATTCACAATGCGCGGCACTGTGTAGGTGGTGGGTGGAAGCACTGCCCGTTCGTAAGTCCGCAGATTGCTGGGATAGATGCGAGTGACGGGCACAGAGTCGTCCTCGCCGAGAATCGTTGTCGACGTCTGATTGGCCGAATCGTTTGAGTTGGAGTTCGAGATGATGCCATCGACATTGGCAGGCACATTGAAGTTCACCGAAAACATCTCCACATCGTCGTCCGAGTCGCGCAGCTCGACGATTTCGACGGAGTTGTCAATGCCGCTGAAGAGAGCGTTGGCCCGCTTGCACGGCTCCAACTGGCGGGCATTCTGGCAGAGATTCTGGAGGAAAACGGGCGGATGGCTGTTCAGCGAGGATGATGACGGAGTGCCTGATATGTCCCACATGGGGCAGCTACTCTCCTCATCGGAGCTGAGTATCTGTGTGTGCGAAAGATTATCACAAAGTATAAGTTAAGTAGTTCAAAATTAAAGTGTATTTAGATGGGGATTTTAGGGAACTCAGTTGAGGTTGTAGTCATTTTGAGACGGCGTCATGGAGCCAGCCACTGCCCGTCACGCGACTAACTGCGCCGGCAGTGGCCTATGTCCCACTTGCTCGTCCGAATCAGACCTTTTACTAAGACATCATGGTAAGGCCACTTAAAGCAACACGATGAAAAAAGGTTTAATACGATATCTTTAAAAAGAATTAATCTCGAATAATCTTGAAATATAAAATCAACATTGTTAGTTTTTAAGTAATACATTTAAATTAAATTATTATAATTTTTCCTTACTCAATGTGACTTACGCAATAAATATAAGTTTTTACTTGTAGCGTTAAGATATTAATAAATAAATGAAATGAAATGATTTATGCAGATTTAAACTAGGTATTTAAAAGACCAAATAACTAAACTTTCCTCATCGTGTTTCTAACTTGTGTAGTTTTTAAAGACTATCTCCTTGTAAATTAAACTAAAAACCTACCACTTCGTTCGACTGCACCGGTCGATTATCCTGTTTGCTGAGCATATGCAAACCAAAGCAGCGGCTTGTCTTCAGATGGTTCAATATGGTTCGCGTGGCAGAATTGCGGTCCGCGAACTTGGGCAAGTAGTGGGCATAGACACTCTTCAAGGCCAGCGATCTTGAGGGTCGCATGAACCTTTCGGCAAACTCCACGATGCGCTCCTTGACCGACTCATCCGGCTCCAGGCGCTGCCAGTAGTAGAATATGAGTATGTATTCGATGTAGAGTTTGTCTGGCAGTTCTGCTTGGATCATTATGCTGGGCATCGACCAGTGCGGGAAAAGACGGCTGTGGAAAGTAGGGGAAATTATTATTTTAGAGGTGGTAGTGGGTATTTTAGAGAACTTAATGAACTAGAAGTAAGGTTCATCAAATACTTATAACAACAGTTTAAGAAAAAAAACGTGGTATCAACATTTAACACCGAGTCAAAGCATACTAAATTTAATTTACGGTCATAAATTAACAAAAAAATAGATCTAGCCAAAAACAAGTTAACATACATATTTATACCCTTGCAGAGGGTATTATAATTTGAGTCAAAAGTTTGCAACGCAGTGAAAAAGACGTTTCCGACCACATAAAGTATATATATTCTTGATCAGCATCAAAAGCCGAGTCCATCTAGCCTTGTCCGTCTGTCCGTTTCTATGCGAACTAGTCTCTCAGTTTTAAAGCTATCGTGATGAAACTTTACCAAAAGTCTTCTCTCTATTGCACATAGTACATATATCGGAAAGAGTTGGCTCGGACCTCTGTATCTTATGGACTATATCTTAGGAATAATCATAAAAATAATGGAAAAACCATTGTAACTTTGAAGGAAGTAGGCATTTTGATTTTTTGACAATTTAAAAAGAAATTTTAACATAGGCAATAATATATCTGGAAACCCTGGTAATTACTTTATCTACGAGGGTGTATAAACTTCGACTGGCCGAGGCTAACTTCCTTTCTTGTTTTGGTTTAATACATCTGGTGAGTCATTTGAGGCTGAGATGACACACAGGCTTAAATTGACCAAGTAAATAGTTCCCCACCTGTACAGCTTGGACAAAATGCTGGCCCTGTTGAAGAGTTTGGGAGCCGCGAGGAGAGTGCGCAGCACGTGCTCCCGGTGGACGCCGGCGCCACCTTCTCCGAACTCCACGTACAGCTTCAGGCAGCAGTTGATCCGATTGACGACGGTCTCCTCGCTCTCCACGGGCTCCTGGGCGGAGCAGAGTTCGCAGGATATGTAGAAGCCGACGATGTGGCACATGCGCTGCCTGTATGCCTCGTCCTGCTGCAGTGCTCGACCCCGAGCCATGGTGTGGATGACATCGGTGAGTCCGATGAGAATGCGCGCCAGTTTGCGGCACTTTCCGGGCAGGAACTGCGCCCTTTCGAACTCCTCGCGAATGGCGCTGTGGGATGATTAATCGGGGTGGGTATTAGTCTCGAGTACCTTCTCGTATATAGCCAACTGTACTCACCCCTCGTACTGCATGAGCAGACGGGCCATTCGCTTATCGAAGCTATCGTCGTTCAGGGCAGCAATGGCATCGTGAATCTTGCGCCGCGTCTCGTTCAAGTGGCCAAATTCCGGCTCCGCCTGCGGATTGGGTTCCGGCTCGCCCTGCTGCTGCTCCGCCGATTCCTCCGGTTCCGGCGATACGCACTCCGTGTCATCCGCGTTGGCCAGAGTGCTGACCTTGACGAATTCGTCCAGCGTGCTGCCGCTATTCCGCTTCCGGTTCCTGACCGTACAGCTCATGTTGCTATATGTTAACAATTCCGACAAAAAAATCACCAAAGATATGTATGCAAATGCAAATTAATGAAACTCAAACAGCGCCGAAATAACTCGTTGTTGCAGTGAAAGTCGCAGCGCCCCGTCGTCCCCGAAAAGGCCGAGAAAAGGCCAAATGAAATAAAAGACATACCGTAAATGTGTATTTGCGGCGAGGAGATCGCTCTACATGGGGAATTTCGATGGGCCGCGGCTAGTCTCTAACGCACTGCACACCTGAGCGGGTCCAAACATATTATCTTTGTAATATGCGCACTGTTTATATATACTTTGCGTATTTCGAGCAGGAGCAGTACCGATTAAGAGCTTCGTCGGATGAATGTTGCGTTCATGCGGCGCGCAGATGCCGTTAATCGCACATCGTGAAATGTCACTTTTCATGATGATTGCGAGGACTCGCTGCTTTATGTATTACTTTCTGAATGAAACGCCAGTCGATTAGCCATGATTTGTGATTTATTTTTACGCGTGTTTCAAGTGTATGTCTCAGATAATTTCCGCTTTAATTAAATTCAACGTTTAATGATTTCATCTCAATGCGTGATTCAGGACAACGTGGGAACTGTTCTTCACATTGGGGATGTGGATGTGTTTTGTGGGAACACGGGTTTCACATTTGTCAAAAATCCCAGCCGTTTCACACTCTACAAATTTATATTAATATATTATACATATTTATTAATATTTAAATATATACATAAAAATATTATTATAAAAGTATATCGATATCGGATAAAATAAATTATAAAGCTATCGGGTTTTAGGATTTCGCAGGGATTTTTCGGTATATATATACCGAGTGAAGGTAATAAAAATACCAATTCGTATAATATCGATATATCGTTAAATTTAATCGAAACCATCATAAATACACTTTTAAGTTATTTTTAAGTTGGTAATAAAAAAGTCATTAAAACATTTTTTTATTTGAATATATATTTCTATATGAAATTTAGAAATTAAAATGCTTTGAATGCTTTAAACTAAAGCGATAAAAGAAAATTGTAACAAATTTATCTAAAAGTCCTGGTACATCTCCCCATATTGTTTACAAATGACAAAATTATCTTATTATTTGTCGGTTTTTTTTTTTTTTAATGAATAACCCTTTATAACAACCCACTACAACTCCCATAAGAAATAACAAACACGTCGTCGTTTTAATGTTGTTACCAACTTTATTTGTTACGTTCTTAATCAGTTCTTTCAATGATTCTAAAAATTCCAAAATAGAAAACTTAAAGAATTACATATTAAAATTTATCATTTTCGTTCATTCTTCATTAAAACTGAATTTTAAGTTAACGCCAACTGGCGACGTATCATCGCGCAGGGAGCGCCTAAAATCTGCGTTGCAAGGTGTACGTACAACGGAAGTGTAAGTATGCGAATATAAAACCGTGGGCGGGCAAAATGCTTCGGTGGCGCCGCCGGCGACCAGCTGACCCCATCCCGTCGACTGACAAAAACTCAGCCGCCGGATGGGGAGACTCTGGTCACCCACGTACGCCGAAACGTTAGAAGTAAACTACAGAATGTACGTTGCTAGTTGTGGCTTTTGTTGTTTGTTGTTGCACGGATGTTGCTGTTCATAGTTGTTGGATTTTCATGTGTGTGTGTGTAGATGGGGGTGTGGTAATTGTTGGATTTACAACTCGTCCTTCTTGGGCGCCTCCTCCTCCTCCTCGGTCTCCTCGACGGGCTCGGCATCGGCGACCTCGCCGTTGGCATCGAGGAACTTGACGAAATCGTCCAGAGTCCTGTCCAGATTGAAGTCGATGACCTTGTTGTCCTCCTTGCGGAAGTACTTGATGGTGGGGAAGGACGAGATCTTTATGCTCTCCAGCTCGTTGGCAGTGGAGTCCATCTTGGCGATGACGATCTCCTCGTTGTCCTTGTACTTCTCGGCCAGCTGGTCGTAGATGGGGGCCAGCTGCTTGCAGTGTCCGCACCACGGGGCGTAGAACTCAACCAGCACGCTCTTGCTCTTGTCCAAAGCGACGCTCTCAAAGTTGCTGGAGACCAGCACCTTGACGGGGTTCTTGTCCCAGTCCTCGGGCAGATCCTGCGACAGCAGATGCTGCTTCAGCTTGCCGTCGAGGAACTTCTTGAGGAAGGCCTCGATGGTCTCGGCGGACAGATCGTTCGACTCGGGCTTGTACTTGGCCATATCCTCCTCCAGCTTGATCAGACGGATGGTCGGGACCTCCTCCTTGTTCATGCCGAAGAACTCGAAGATGCGGGTGTGGTCCTCCTCGTCGGACGAGATGGTCACGAACAGGATGTCGTCGCGGTACTGCTTGGCGATCTCCCTCAGGGGATCCACGTACTTCTCGATGTGGCCGGCCTCCTTGGAGACGAAGAACAGCAGGTGCGACTTGATCGAGCCGCCAAAGATCTTCGAAGCAGACTCGTGGTTGAAGTCAACGATCAGGGGCAGCGACTGCACCTGGGCGAACTTCTTGATGTTCTCCTCGCTCAGCTCGCCCTCGAACACGGACTTCTTGTCGTCGAAGGGCTTGAACAGGATCACGGCGTTGTCCTTGGCCTCGTACTTGGCAATCACGTCGGCATTGCTGCTCACACCGAAGACGAACGAGTCCAGACCGTTGGCGGCCTTGGTGAAGGTCTTGGCCTCCTCGGACTCGGCGTCCTTGAAGAAACCAATGATGGCGATCTCGTTGTCCTTCAGGAACTGCTCGGCATCGGCGACGGTGGTCAGGTCCTTGGCCGGTGGGCCAGTCTTCTTGGTCACCCAGGCAATGATGTCGGCGGCCTGGCGGCCACCGCTGTACTCAACGGGAGCACCGCTGCGGAAGAACTTCAGGGTGGGGTAGCCGCGGACGGCATACTGCTCGGCCAGCTCACCCTCGACGGTGGCATCGACCTTGGCCAGCTTGATGGGCGACTCCTTCTCGGCCAGCTGCTGGGCAGCCTTGGCGTACTCGGGAGCCAGAGCCTTGCAGTGTCCGCACCATGGGGCGTCTGGAAGGAAGAGAAACCAAAGTTAGCAAATGATAGCGATTGTTTGTTAATCTTAAGCTAACTTATAAACTGGTTTGGAAAACCTGCCTTTATGCTTTCTTACTTTTCTTCTAATTTTAGACCATAGCAACTGGCTAAAGCAGTAATTGCTCTCCCTCCGATTGATCTAGTGTATTTTGTCGAGTTCATCATGGTGTGCCCTACACGTATGCTATAGTCATACAAATTATTTATAGATTCTATCTACAATTTTCGTTAAATCGTTGGCAATTAAATTGTGGAGCAGATATCAATTTAGTTTATTAAATTGTAGTGGAAAATCGTTGGGGTAATTTATTTGTTAGATTACTGTTACAAACGAACCGGTTCTATAAAAGTTCGAAATTTAAAACATTTGAAGATACAATCTTTTAGAGCTTTGGGCAAATTTGGGTTAATAACAAATTAGCATTCATTTTAAAGTTTCTCCTAACAAATAGTGATTTAATTTTAAATATCAGGCTAACTTTTATACTTTCACTTGCTGAATTTTTATGATTTTAATTTTAATTATATTTTTCAAAAATCTTTAAATTGGAACTTTTAAGCAATTAAATTACACGACAATCAAAAAAATTAAGTTAAATTCGTGTGGCTAGGTCAACCGCTAAACCTTCCCTTAATTTTCTACACATATTTTGCTTACTAATTGAATTTAACTGTTATTATTGTTTTAAAAAACTTCTGTTTTCATCAGTTCCTATTCTATGATAATGAAAGGAAAATGCAAAACAAGGAAATAAACAAACTTATTAATAATGCACCCTTTCAAAGCCTTTTGCATCTACAGGTTGTGTTTTCTTTACCCCTTTTGTTTACATTAACTGCTTTGTGTCTTAATTAAAAACGCGGAAACGGTTTCCCCGTCAGCCAAGTGTAAAATTCTAAATTTGGAGCGACAATTATATGCGCTAGATTTGCCACGGATCTGGAGCAGGGCCCCTAGGAGCTCTATATAGCCTCCAGCAGATGTTGGCAATATGCAAATTCCACGTGTCGGATTCCCATTGCTCAAGTGCAGCTCGTCGGAGCCACGACTGCAATTTGGTACGCATCCACGCACTCGGGAAGACCAGCAGATGACATAATGCCCGGCTTGACAACGTCCCCGATTATTTTACATATATTTTATGCCTTATCGCCGGCTTCTTTCGATTTAGCTTTAGCTATAGCTGCGGCTGACGTGGCCCTGGCATTGGTTCCGCTTCCACGAACATCTTCACCGTCTTTATGGAGATAAGAGCTCCGCCTTGGATGAGCGGACAATTATCGACTTTGGCTGACGTTGTCACCTCACCAAAAACAGCGACAAGAAGTGCAAAAAGTTAATTAAACAAATAGAGAGAAAACGCTGGCATAAACAAACCGCAAACAGTCCGCCATATTGTTGGCCCCCAAAGATGCCAGGCTAGCATATCTGGCGGCTTAAGGCCGAACCGGGGAACTTTTTGTATCTCTTGATTCACGTTTATCTTTCAAGTGCTTTTCACACTTGCTAGATAACAATGGGTTTCGATTTTTTTCGGTCTATCATTGGGACAACATAAATCTTCATTGAAGAGTTTTTGGCACAGTGGTACTAGACTAAGTAAATACAATTTTCTACGGCTAATTACTGGTTCTTAACTTTGTTAACGTCTTTTCGCGTCAACAAAATGTCAAATTTGACAAATTGCTTAAACGATACATTATTTTTAATTTGGCTCTGAAAAAACCATTAGAAAAAACATACAATTTTTTTGCAGTTACTTAGGATGATGAAATTTTCTCGAAATTTTTTTTTCAATAGAATTCTACGTATTAAAAATGTACATTTTAAGTATTTAAGAAAATCATAATTTTTTTAAATTAAACCCCAGTTTCTCCATATTAGGCTTATTTTTAGCTATTTTCTTGGCCAAATGATCTTATTTTTAGCTATTTTCTTGGCCAAATGATCTATGGATCCCGCTGCGCATCACTGGCGGCGCAACACCGTTAGGCACGCGCAGAGAAAGAGTTGAATGAACTTTCCAATGCGTGGCCGCCGCGCCGCCGTGGAAAAAGGGACCGAAACCAGATTTGTAATAAGAATTAGAACCAAGAATCCGAAACGGAATAGGAAACAGAATAAAGATCAGAATAGAAAGCAAATGGCGAATAAAAAGTGGTTTGATTCGGCTAACCTAGATTCGTGGGAGAAAGAAAGAAGAGTTGTCCGACGGCTTTTTGTGGCCTTTTGTTTCCACATTAGAGGTTTTCAGTTTGAGATTACTGAAGCGGATGTGTGATATGTGGCCACGCCCCATCTGTCTTAGAACAATGACTAGAACCGCCGATAAAACTGATGCATATGGAGAAACTAGTGTTGTTTCCTTTGGCATTTAGCATTTGGAGTTTTCAAATTATAGCAGGTTTATGGCAGCAACAATAACAAAAAGTGCCGCAGCCAACTGCTCTCCCGCTTGCGCACACAGGTGAGGAAAAGAGATGACACTTTCGTGCCAGAGAGAGAGCGCTCTCTCCCCGCTCCCCGCCCTTTGCACTAACAAGATGACGCGAGAGAGATAAAAACTGTTAAACAAACGATAAATTGCTGGAAAATCAACTAAACAAATTTTCCCGGCCGCCGACCTGAAGTAGAGTTCAAATTGGATGACCAATCGCCAGGGACTGGCACTGAAAAATAAGTTTCCCCGTTTCCAGTCAACAACAACTGCCACGCAGACAGATTTTCTCAGACGCCTGGAAAGACCACGTAGCCGCTAAGCCGCATGAATCAGCAAGTGCGAGCGAGAGGGCGCCAGCGGCCGGCGCATTTCGCGTTTCCACATTTGATTTTCGCCACTTTTTGCTTCGATTTTTATGCGTATTTTTCGGGTACTTACAGAACTCGACCAGCACAAATTCGTTGTCGGCAATCAGTTGCTTGAAGTTGTCCACGGTAGCCACCAAAACGCCCTCCTCAACCTTGACCTCCGCCTCGGCGGAGGCGGCCACGTAGGACGCCGCCAGGAAAAGTGCACAGATTAGGAACTTCATCGCGGGCACTTCGTCGTCGTCTCGTTTTTATTAACTGAATCTATTTGCCCTGCGTGGGTGCAGCACTCGCCAACCAGAGAGTCGAACTGCGCTGAACTTGCCCGGTGCAAGAAAAAAATCCAAATGAATTTGCTTCCGAATCGGAGATATATATAATATATAATATCAGCAGTGTTGCAAGACGAAAAGTCAGCCTTCCCCTAAAAAATCTCAAGCAGTCGGTATTTTAGTCGGTATTTTTATCCCTCCATCGATATTCCACAACGATTGTATTTCGTTCCAATTAGCAATTGTCAGCCCACAAATGTTTCCATAGAGGGCGCCCGTTTCCCTAAACCAGTTTCCCCCTTCCGCCAATTTGGCGCTCCCAAATGTTAGATTTCATGGTTTTTCTAACAGCAATGTTAAGATACAACGTTTTCTTACATTGGCAGAGCAGCGGCAGAGGCGCAACAGTTCTGCCAATGTAAGAAAACGTTGCATTTTAACATTATGTTAAATTGAACAGTCGAATATCGATACTTGTATCGATGGTTTGAAAACTATCCCTCCATCGATATTCCACAACGATTGTATTTCGTTCCAATTAGCAATTGTCAGCTCACAAATGTTTCCATAGAGGGCGCCCGTTTCCTTAAGCCAGTTTCCCCCCTTCCGCCAATTTGGCGCTCCTAAATGTTATATTTCATGGTTTTCTAACAGCATCAACAAAATAGCTAGAAAAATCTGATGCAGTGCTGCCAACTCTTCGAGTCATAGAAAAGCTAAAATAACCGAAAAAAAGCTAGAAATAGCCAGAAATTAAGGAAATTTTTGAAGGAATTAATTGAATGGTCGCTATTTTATTATGCTTAATCAAAATAATTACACACTTAGGATAACACTAAATAAATAAATGTTAAAAAACCAATTTAATACGGCCTTTTCATATCCGCAATTACCTAAAATATTTTGTATTGTATTAAAAATAACTGTTTTTGTGTGACTTAAATATAAAAAAAAAGTCAAAAATAACAGTGGCTTATGACGTTCTGTTTTTAGGGTTTCAATTTGTACTTACCTACACACAAAAAAATCGATTGGTATAACTAACTAATATAACCGTTTTACCGTCCCCAACCACCAATTTTACCAATCAAATACCTAAACTCACAACAACAAAATAGAAGAATATCATTTTTTAATGTTAAGTACATATCTGAATATATAAGAATATTTTTTTTGTGTGTATATATGTACATACAATTCTTTAATACAACGGTACCGCAAATTCTTCAGGGCAAGAGAAACCAATATTCACTCTCACAAAAAGTTGCTTACTTAATTTGTTTGCTAACTAATTAAACCCATACATGCCAATGAAATGTGTTTTCATTAGCATTACTTTTTAGTAGCATTATAAAATTAAATTTCAAATTTGTTTTCAGTTGCATTAATTTTTTCAATGCCAAATCCACTATTTAATAGTGAAAACAACTCTGATGTCATTAACCTTTAAAAAAGAATTGTCTAGTGGGGTTCATAAAAAAATTTAATTGTTTATTATTATTGCAGTTGCATGATTTTCCTGTTTCTTTGTAAGGTAACGTAAATATATGTATATGTACACAAGATATTAATTAAACAACTTAAAATGACAGACGTAGGAAGAATACAAATAAATGCAAATTGTAAACATGGAATTCAGGAGACCACCTGTTGGATGCATTGTTCGACAATTCTTAAAACGATATCGGCGGTTTTCTCACTGCTAAATGGTTTATCTATGGGGGGTACATGAACGAACAGACTCCGTTTTTTGTCCATATCCAGGGACTTGAGATATATATATCCACATAGAAAGTCGCCCACATTTTTGGAGGCCTTTGTAGCGCTCAGATGCTTAATATCATTATGAGGGGGCTCTATGGGTGCTACACAATCAGCGCATTTCTCGTTGACAATCGCCACAATCTTATCCACATCTAGTTCGGTCTTTAAGACATTTGCGTGTCCATTGTTCTGGAGCTCGCAACTGCCGTTGGGTAATCTTTTATCACAATTATCAGCTCTCCGGAATTTGTGATTATAGGCCAGCTTCTCAATGTAGACACATTTGGCAACCCCCGAAACGCCAACATGAATGACCAGCTAGTTTGGGATGAGAAGATGATATCATTTTAGTATCTATCTATTTATGGTTCAATGGGATACGCCTTCTTACATCTGGTTGGCGATCCCATATCTCCGTCACGGCCTCATCCACAGCCCCATATTCCACCGATACCAAACGCTTTTCGAGATCGTATTCTATGTCATTGTGGGTGAGGACTTCCGGGAGAAGTTTAACAGCTTCCCAGCTGGCGTTGACGGCTTCGTGGCCAAGGAATGGCCCGAATCCAGAGACCACAATTAGTTTTCGATCCGACGACGCCATAACAAACACTCCAACTAACCACCCACCTCAACAAACTAAATTGTGTACCATATGTTCTCCGCCTTCTCTCATTTATTCAATTTTTCGTTCCCACTTGTCTGCTTCTTTTGGTATTTAAAATGAATATAATAGTAATACTTAAACTTAGTAATCCACCTAAATAAAACTATTACAAAAAATAAATAAGCTTTAAAATATACGGCACAAACGTAGGTTATAGGCAATTTATAATTCCCTATTTAACCTGACAATAAATAAATAAATAAGCTTTAAACGTAAATTCGTTTGTAAAATTAATAATTGTAATACTTCTTTAATGTTATTAGATAAAGTTATCGTGCTAGATAGTTTCTATTTCAAAAAGTTTGCCTACAATATTTAAAAACTTAAGAACAATATAATATGTCTCTTAACATTTTTTTTCAACTCCTATGCAATTTATAAACTACTTCAATCAATAATTTATATAATGTAAATGGATATTAGACAGAAACTGTAAACAATTAAAGGTGTTGTCAGATTTAGAAAGTGCAGAAACAAATTTTAATCACGACGCTAGCTATTATTTCAGGATGGTAAGAATAAATATAAAATTTACATGGCTCAAAATATTCTTAAATTTGAATTAATTTCCCTTACTTTTTATGTACCGTTTTGTCAACTGGAACTTGATCAGCTATGCCATTTAATTCGCATTTAATATATCGTTAAGTAAATTTATAAATGACGGCTATGTAAAAGTAATGCGTATTGGTTACCCATTACTGCACAGGTAAGCAGTTACCAAGCAGTTCTAGTTAATATACCGTTCGAAATGGTATTTTTTCGGTATTCGGAATATCATCCGCTTTTGGGATTTTCCCCCTAACCGACGACGCAGTATGCGGCTCCAAAAACAGCAAAAACACAAAAAACACTTTCGACGACAACAAAAAGATAATCCACTCCATACATTCCAAAGATCCGTGCAGATGCAAGCGACCGACCCGCCATCGATCCGATAAAGCAGCGAACCAGATCCGAGCCCAGGGAATATATAGGTGAGTATTGCCTGGTAATCTAATCGGTGCGGATAAGTTGAGGGCGCTCCTCTGCTGGCAGCCAGGCAGCGACGCGGGCAGCGGCGCCGGCAGAGCGCCACCCTACGCACACAGGTGAACTTTGCACATTAACTATTCATTAACCTCGAACAGGTCGCCGGTGGAGCGGTAAAAGTGGTTACCAGTTGGCCCATTTCACACAGGAACCCGAGTCTAGTTCAGTCTAGTCCATCCCGCTGAAGAGAGAGTCGATTTCCAATCGTTAACATGCTGTCGCGTCTGCAGGACTTCTTGTCACGCCACCGGCGGAAATTCATAGTGACCGGCGTTCTGGTGGGCGGCACCATCTATGCGGCCCGCTACGCCCAGCGGCGATTTGTGGAGTTCCAGGAGAAGCAGGCGCGGGAGTTCTTCGAACGGACGCGGCGAATGACCCACTTTGACTCGACGGAGAAGACCTGCAACCAGGTGATCCTGGGCATGGGCGAGGAGATGTGCCAGGCGGTCCTCAGGGAGTGCAGCACGGACGAGCTGCTCGAGCAGCTGCGCCAGAATCCCAAGAACAAGCTGGAACTGTGGGAGGACATGAAGATTGTGGCGTTCACCCGGCTGGCCACCTACGTCTACGCCTCCTCCATGCTGGTCATTGCACTGAGAGTGCAGCTGAACCTGCTCGGCGGCTATATTTACCGGGATATCATGACGGAGCAGAAGCAAATCACAGACGAACTGAAGCAGCAGTATCTCTCGCTCATTCGGCACTTTATCACGGAGTCGGGGATCCGCGATCTGGCGCGATACATACGCAGCCAGGTGATTGCCGTCGTCAAGGCGATGCCGCTGTCCCAGCAGCTGTCGCTCAACGACCTGGAGCAGCTCTTTTGGTCCCTGCAGATGGCCATCAATGCGGACACTCGTCGGGATCCCAACTCGCGGATGAGCAAGTACCTGCTGCCCAGCCAGAATCCCAGCCACTCGCCGCTGCTGCAGAAGATGTTCAACGAGACGCTGGATCTGCTGGAGAGCGAAGATGCCATTGGCGTGTGCTCGCACAATGTGAGCCGGGGATTTGTCCTGGCCTGCGATGCCATAGCAGAATCCATGGGGGAGACACTACAGCACTTGCCGGCCGCCGAAGTGCAAACACAACAGGAGCAGACCCTCAAGTTCAACCAGGCAGGCGGCTCAGGCAGCAGCAATTCGATGAGCCAAAAGGGGGAGAACAACAACTTGCTGAATATCAACCGAGTGCTGATGGCGCTGGCCAAGCTCATTCCAATCATCAGTGGCCTCACCTCGAGGGGCTTCGACAGCACTTCGCGACCCCACAACCTGCCCACCCAGCTGCTCACCTTTTACGTGGTCGCCGAGAAGACAAAGACGCTGGGGGCCAACGTCTACGAAAGCTTCAGCTCCGCTTAGGAGATCGACAAAACTTGGATTATGCACCCGTGCATAGGCTAGGCTAAGAGATTTGGAACGATTTAGTTTATATACCTGTATATTTTTAATACGATCATAATTCTCGGAAGCGTTGTTTGTATGTCTGCTTGAACCCAAAACCGTATTAAGTCTAGCTCCTAAGAATATTTAATCGAAAGCGAGTGTAAGGTATGCTTAAGCAGATTCCCCGATTGAGTCCAAGGGGAGTCCTTCGAGACAGGGACACAAATCGAGTAATGTGAAGGCCTTTTAAAATAACTGGAGAGTGTAATATGTGCGTAGGAAAGACAAAGAATGAGATATGCTTTTTATAAGAACGACCTGAGGGTTATCTGGTATCGAAAATAAATGGAAACGTAAATTATGTATTTGTGTGTAATTTGGAATTGTTATGGGATCCATTCGAGAGAAGGGAATTTTATTTATAGCATTTTCTAAACTAGGGATTCTCTTATAATTTTAAATGTTTTGTAAAATAAATGGCAATTAAATAAATTATGCATTCCTTTTCTAAAACGGTTTATACTTTTTACTTATGGCACCCGTTACCAAAAATTCTGGGAGTATTGAAAAAATGTTTTTTCTACATTGTAGCTCCCCAGTAATTAAAATAATTAAGAATTAATTAAAATATATTCTGAAAAGCATACTTTATGGACTTAGACTGAGGTATATTACCATCTTAAATTTAAAAAGTTTAAGTTAAATATCTGATTTTTAGAAACTTACGGCTTAATGACAACTAAACCGTCCGTAGTCCAGAATCTGGACTCCAGAGCTACAATTTAGCTGAAATGGCACCTTAAACATTAAACTTGAACAGCTAACAGTCAACGTCAAGTGAGACCTCTGTTTTTTTTTTAAGACAGCGTTTTGTCTTGGGCCAAGAAAATGTCAAGATTTGTCGACATGTGTTACATACTAACCAATAATTCGATTGCCAGAAATCAGAAAACAGCAATTTTCTAGATTTGGGGACCTGTTTATAAGAATGAATTTACTGAGATTAGTCATTAAAACCAATAAGTTTCTTGTGTATTCAGCAAGGTTGTTTTTTGGTATAACTCAATGTGGGTTTTAGCGATCATTTTAAAGTTTTCGTTGCAGGCAAATTAAATTTCCCTTTTCTAGCAAAAATTTACATAAAAACACAATATAAAAAGGTGGTTAACTTAAAAAACCAAAAATACTTTCATTGAAGTATTAGTTAATATTATTTTGTGCACTGCCATAATTTGGTGCGTGCCCTTTCATAAGGAAGATTTGAGCACCCCTGGAATAAAAATTTCAAATTAACCCAGATAAGAAATAGTTTTTACTACCTAGAAATTTTTTTTAACATACTACTTAAATATAGGGACAACCGGGGAAATATGTTTAGTTGTGCCAACAAACTGGAGAGGTTTGGAAATAATACTTTTTAAAATAATAATACGGGACTTTTCAAATAACTTAAAAAAACGGTGTTATTATTAGGGGAGTGTAGGGTAATTTGACGAGTAGGGTAATGTGACGAACTCGTCGAATCTCACACATGACGTCACGACAAAAATTCCAAATAAATGTAGTCGTCTCCTCTTATCGTGTCGACAATGTATTTACAGTAATATTAATAAGAAGTCCCGTAATTTGTTCGTGAGGTAATTTTCGCTAAAAATGTGGTGCGCAAACTAGCAAACCCATTCAATTTACTTGTGTTTCAGCAGTGCCAGAGCAAAGATGAGTGGAAAATAAAATCAGGCAAATATATGCACGTATACACGAGATCTTTATCAACAGTTTTTGGTACCTCGCGTTTTTTTCTTTTGCGCCGTTTCAGAGTGACACCGATTTTGCTCCAAGTCTACCTTGTAGGGTATCGTGACGAACTTTTGTAGGGTATTGTGACGAACTTTTTTTATTCAAGAATTTTAACTGTTATCGTTGATTATTTGTAAAAAAAATATAATAATACCAGATAACATTTACTGCTGCAGTTTTATTGTTGTTTTTAATAGTGACGTCAGTTTAATTAAATTTTAAAAAAATTTGCACTTTGACCATTTTTTTTTTTGTAAGTTTGGATATTATCTTATTACTTCTTTCTTTTCCGTATCGAAAATAACTTTTCCGTAAATAATATATAAAAAAATGTATTTTTTTGTTTGCTAAAAGGATGGTTTACACCAAACGCTGTGGAATTTGGCTACGTTGAAATTTCGAATCCAATTTTTTTTAGAAATATGCTCAGTAAATGTATGTAACTTTCTGCTTTTACACTTTTAAAAAATATTGATTTTTGGAGAAGTTACATTAAAGAACAAATCGTTCGTCACATTACCCTACAACTTTTGAAAGTGCAAAAAAAGAAGGGTTCACGCCAAACGCTGTGGGATTTAGCTGCATTGGAATTTTGAATTTCGAATTTTACAGGGATATGCTCCGTAGATGTAAGAAACTTTCTGCGTTTACACTTTTGAAAAATATTGATTTTTAGAAAAGTTACATTCAAAAACCGAATCGTTCGTCACCTTACCCTACACTCCCCTACATAAAACGTATATTTAAACTAGTTCTGCAACTTTTGTTAGAATTGGTAAAGGAAGAAAGAAGTCGATCTAGTCAGAAAATAAACAAATAAGGAATAAACAGCAGAACACAGATCTTATAGCATGGTAAGTAAAGACACGAACCCTTGCTAACGGTTGTCTTTGCTATCAGTAAAAAGGGGGTGGCAAAAAACCGCCCTGTGATAAGACAGCTGTGGCTTTTGTTTGTTTGCCATTTCTCTTCTTCTTGCCGCTCTCTCTCTTCTCATCTTTCTGCAGTTGCGCAGAAATGCCGCTAAAGAAGAGGAATTGCAATATTAGTAATATGCATAATTATAAAGCAATTAAAAGCATTTAAATAAAATACGAAGTAAAAAAAGTTAAAGTTTTACCTTGGTAAAAGCTATTCTAAAGGTAAAACCATATATATTCCTCCCTCTTTCTCCGGCTAAAGCGCTCTCGCAGGACCTCTCTTTTTCTCTCACTCCTTCGGGTGCCCAGCTGTCTGGCAAAAGGACACATTTACATTTTCATTTTGGGCGCAGTTGCAAAAGTTACGTGAAAAGGCAAAGGACGACCGTTACTTTTATACCTCCCTGCGAGTCTGTGCGTGTGTGTGTGTGCGGAAAAAGAATTAAATTTACAAGATATAGAAAACAGTTTAATAATCAAGAAACTAAGCCGAGTTTTAGCTTAGAGTGCAAATATGAAAAAGACTGCGAAAAGCACACCAGTTAGCATAGCCAGCAAAAGAAGAAAAGTCTAAGGATCCGCCACAAACAACCAACAAATAAACGACAACAACAACAACAACGGCGGCTCAATTGTGTAAGTGCACTTGCAAAATGTTTATTGACCAGTCGAGAGGTCTAAAAGCCCACTTAGCCCATCAACTTTTGAGCAGCGGACCACAAATTTATTGATTAAGAAACAAAAAAGAACATGAAAATCAAAGAGGCACAACAGCACATGTGAGGGAAAAAGACAGACAAAACGGTATATTGGTAACGGGACACAGACAGTGCGTGCGTAAAGTGGGGTGGGATGGGGTGGAAAAGGGGGAGTGGAAAGGGAAAACAGGTACGGGAACGGGGAAACCTCATATAAGGGCTAAAAATATGGACACTTTATTATTAGAAAGGCCACAAGTGTACCACTAACTAACTAGTTGCGAATCAACAACTTCTATAGAAGAAAAGTCCTTAAAAGAGAACCGAACACATAAAAAGAAAAAACGGTGTAGTTTTCGGGAACCGAAGCTTGGGATACCCTTAAAAAGGATCGACTGTAAAAATAAAACAGTTATAAAATAAGGATAATATAGGTAGAATTTATTTACGAATTAATAGTTTTTAAAATCATGATATTTGACCAAGAATAAATTAATCTTCAGAACTTATAAAATAAATAATAAAGATACTTTATATCCAGCCTATAATCCTAAACTAACAGACACCAATCATTTAAATACCCTTTTAGATAGTGTATAAACTTGTAGCCAAGAAAGTCAAGTGCGGCAGCGTGAAGACAACAAAGAAATGACATTTTCCCCAGCCAAAGTCCGTGTGGGACGTTCAAGGAAAACAATGCATGCAAGTCAGGCAACCCCCTACCCCTACCTCCCACCACTTTAAGTGTTTCCCCTCCGAGTGCTTGAGCCCCTATATTGCATAGTATATGTATATAGGCATATTGACATACTAAAGGCGTAGATCAAGTGCCTTGACAAGAGGCCACAGCACCTAACTAAATATAAACACATAAATTAAGGAAGCGAAAGCAGGACACGATTCGAGCGGATGAAAAAGCGCGTCATGGAATTTCATGGGAAAGTAAATACCGAGGATAAAATATAACATTTCTAGAAAACTTCTATATCTAAAAGGTGTTTAATCTAGGAAAACTTTTGGTTTTTCTTTAAAAAAATAAAGGTGCATACAATATTATTTCTGAAAAACAGAAAACCCAACAATTTTTTTCATAGTAGAATCCGGTTTGTAGATTTCATAGAAAATTTGTAAATATTTTATTTAAAACTGAACCGTCTACAGTTCTCAGAAAAAGTGAATTGCTTACAACACAATTAATCTTACTATCGCCCCCAATTCTCAGAAAACGTGCATCACAAAAAAACAGAAAAATATTTAACAGGAATAACAAAATTATCAGTCTGCTCTTAAATATTTAATTTCTTATCACCACAGGGAAGAGAAAGTGCATTATGTTTGATGACTCAAACGCAGTATATAATATGTTCATTTGCAATAAACCCAGATGATAAGGAGCCTTATTAACAATATTAATGACGACAGGCGAGAAAAAAATGTTTAGTTCTGTGAGAGCTTTACGAACAGGAACACGTAAAAAATAGGGTGATTTCACGATGTGAAAGTAAATGTGCTGAAATAACAATCTTTATAGAGATTTGTTTGGCGGGGACCGTGCTATAATCAATAGTGAAGTAAACGATGAATAAATAAACACGTATCCTGTTCTACTTAGACTCCTGTAAAGGATAATAGGGAGTGCTTCGGTTCTATAGACCATAGATGTCTTTGCATGTGGTTTTGTTTGTTTTGCTCACGCCATTTTCCCATTCCCGACCCTATATCCTCTCCATCGGAGTCCTACTTTTGCAACATGAATGAATGACTCTAACTACATTTTTCATGCAACCCGAGGGATCCGTTCTGGTTATCCTTACTCTTTACTGCTTTTTCCTTTCTCCTGCTGTTTGCTTGTCAAAAACGTCAAAAATGCGATAGTGAAGACCCCAATGAAGAATAGTGTGTCCTGAAGGCTACACTGATAGGAAAGTCCCGAAGTAAGAAAGAACTTTTCTTTGATGCATTTTGTGTACTTCATTTTTAGAGGTACCTTGCTGTAATATATTGTTTAAAAGTTAAGTAAATTCAAGATCTAAACCAAATTCTTAAATTCAAAAAAATTCATAAAAGTTTTTTTTTATAGTAAAACATATTCTAAGAGACAGAATATTTTAGATAATATGCTGTTTCAATTCTTAAATTAAAAATAATTTATAAAAGTTTTTTTTATGATAAAACGTATTCTAAGATACAGAATATTTTAGAAAATATGCTACACCCAGTTACAAAATAAAATGAGTTAGAAGGCAGTTAGATTTAGTTTCGTTTTTTCGAGTGCAGAATAGTTGCGAAGTAGAGCGGGCAACTTAAGTGGCCCCCAACCACAACTTGCAGCGCCTTATTTGCATGGCTAGCAAAGTAGTGCGGAACCCCTGAGCTCAGACCCTAAGTGATGTTGCAACCGCCGGCGGGATGACTCACACAGGCACATTGGAATAGTGCCATAAATGACATGTGATAGATGGATGGACACTTGGTGGGGGCTTTGGGGGATTAGCCAGGAATAGGAATGTGGCCCAAATGAAGCTGCACCCGCCTGCTGCCGTCTCCTGTAATTAGGCTCCCCTCGGGGCAGGTCGGTCCATAAAAGCCGTTGATAGTAGCCAGCTTTGAGAGGAGGTAACAACCTACCATGCCACTCCTACTATTTCAACCACTTCACTCGGTTCCCTCCGTTCTTTTTATTACGTATACGCCCCGCTGGTTGATGTGGAACAGCTCTCGAGGCGAGACAGCCATCTGCCCAAATATTTGGTCTGGGCAAACATGAATTGTCCGATTTCGAATATTTTCATTGACTGAACCTAAGAGACTCTCTTACGGCTCTCCCACATGTAGTAAATAAATATATATTTTGGCAGAGTTGGGACAATTTTTCTATGCCCTGCCGCTCGAATCGGAACTAATTTCATCCAGTTCTTTCGTTCAACCGTGACTAATGAGAGAAAACTAAACAAATTATGTCGATCATCATAACATCGATCGCTGCTAAGTGCAAAAAATGCCAACTCACTATAATTCAGGATGTAATAACCAATCTTCAGTTATATTATTTATAGTGAATTCAAAATATTCGACCACCTGCGGTTCGAAAGTGTAAGTAAAATAAAAAGCAACAATCCCTTTCAAAGTCTAGAGATATTTGGGGTTGTCCATATATTACGTAATCACAATTTCGGGGATTTTTAACCACCAACCCCCACGTAATCATTTCTTCATAAAAAAAAAGTTTTTGCCCCAGAGTGATCAATTTTCCACTCTAGATATTTACGTATATGGATAGCCCCTAAGGGATTCTGAAATTCATAGGTTCATGAGAATTTTAATATTATATTATTTTTGCTTATCACTAAAAAAATGAATGGTGATAAGAAAAAAATATTTTCAGCATTAGGTATATTATTTATAACGGTAAATTAAATACTTTTTGTAGGATACATCTTTTTATTTTTATTTACTTTTTATATTCAACCGCTATTTACTCTTTTTTGAGTTTGTAAAATTTGTTACTAATAATTTGTTATAATGTATTATTATTGATACACTAAACTCAATGTCATTAAAAGTGTCGTTCTGGTCTATTTTAAAACTGATAAAACTTTCATTACTGAAATCCCTGAAGAGGGCCTGATGTCAGAATTTAAGATTAAAACCCAGCAGTATGCAGTGTACCGCCCCTACGATCGTTGAAACGAAACAATGTTTATATAGAGCGCAGTTCTCTCAGAGAGTCCAAGCGATCAACACGATTCCAGTAGAAATATTGTATTAAAATACAGAGTCGAAACGGCCGAAAATAATTAACACGGGTAATTAGTGCTCGAATTTTGGGGCTTTGTCAGAGATGAAGTACAAAAGAGAATCGAATATTTGGGCTTATAATTTACTATCATATTTGTTTATCTATCTATCACAGCACAATGAATAACGCCAGCTGAAGAAGACATAGTCGGTTCGTTGGCCCCCGAAACCCTTAGACTAGAGCCCCATCGCTGAGGACTGGTAGTGGTCACCATGCGACGTCCGAAAATATCCCTCAAGAAGTACTTCTATTTCACACTGATCTGCGCCCTCCTCCTCATTTTCGTTTTCAACCTCAAGTGAGTAAGATAACGTGTCGGTAAATATAAAGAGTGCCGATCAAATATTGATCTTCGGGTACCAAAGAGCTGCAAGAGGGAAGACTCCCCAATCAGGTTTCGGAAAATATACTTAGAACAACTTAATACGTTTCTCTAATGCTGATGTATTAATTCTTTTGTGTACAAAAACCTATCTAAAATAATATCGTAGCTTTATTAATATTAAATTTTAAAAGCTTATTCCAAGTGTTACTCATGAATCCATTTTTAATTCCCATGTTCAGACTTTGATCACAGTTGTATTACAATTATTCAACGATTAAATACAGCCATAATTGATTAATTTTCTTTAAAAATCCCCCAGGGAGAGCGAATTATGGAAAATGCGGAGCTCCCGATCGTCACAAATAAGCACACAGCAGCAACAGCACCACCAGCATCTGCATCAACTGCAGTCCATGGACGAGGATCACCCAGTGGCCACCAGTTCCACGCCGGCGCCAGTTGCAGCCACTCTGCTTCCCGAAGTGGCGGATAATCTCGTCGAGGAGCCGGAACAGGCGGCTCTGGAGGAGGAGGAGATGGAGGCGGATCGGCTGCAAGAGCCGCCGGTGGAGAAGGCGTGGTTCTTCAAGAACGGCGAGTACTATCCAAAGCCAGCCAGGACCTACAGTAATCGCAAGGCGAGGAAGCGACATGCTCCGCGTTTGCTGCCCCATCAGGATCCCTATTCCGATCGAATCGTCAATCAGCTGATGTACGTGCCGCATAACTACGAAGAGATCAAATCCAGCGGCAAGCTGAAGACCATCCTCCTCTACAATGGACTCGGTCCGTGGAACGTGAAAAAGGGCCGCGACGTCTTCCTGAAAGCCAAGTGTCCCGTGGACACTTGCGAACTGACTGCCAATCGCGATCTGGCCAGCTCGGCCGACATGATCCTCTACAAGGATCACTACATTCCCACGGGCATCCGGCGGCCCAACAATTCCAAGCAGGTTTCGATGCTCTACTACCTGGAATGCCCGTATCATACACAGAATGTCAAGGTGCCCGATGCCATCAACTGGACGGCAACCTACAGGTGGGTAACTTTTAAATATTTAATATAATATAATTAATATAATTTTAATTTAATATAATAATTAGTATAAATATTTTTAGCTCCAAAATTTTTCAATTGTAAAAAAAAACAACCTTTTGCTGTTAATATATTTAATTTATTATTAAGAAACAATATTCAAATATGAAAAGGGTACTGGAAAAATTTATGCAATTAGGGGTGCGAGTATTTTCTCAGCTTAGTCATTAATATAAAGTTTGGTTTTATTTATTTAGTATAATTCATAAAGTTTTTGGTTTTTTTCAGACGGGACAGCACCATTGTCGCGCCCTATGAGAAATGGCAGTACTACGATACAAAAGTGCAGCAGCTGGAGCAGGATGTAAACTACTCCGTCAATAAAACCAAGAAAGTGGCTTGGTTTGTGTCCAATTGTGGAGCGAGAAATGGTCGTCTGCAATATGCCCATGAACTGCAAAAGCACATCGAGGTAAGAAGGAATTGGTAATATTTATTTTTAATAATTTTGATGACATATATGTTGTTGAATATATATTCAACAACCAACAAAGGCATTTCTGTACTAAGTTCTATTACAAACGGGGGGCGTCATAGAAATATTTTTTAACTAAAATCTATTATCTACCCCGATTATGACGAAGTAAAGTTAAAAATTGCATTAAAGAACCTTGAATTTATTAAACCATGTTCTATCGGCGATTTTTTATTCAGTCTTGAACAAATATTAATTTAAAGCTGATTGGAGTCACTTGAGGAAGAAATCAGTCATAGCAAAAACCTACACTATGTAAAGAATATTTGGTAAAAATATGGAAGTTGTGACTTTACTTGTTTCGATTCTGCCTTTAAGATATAAATATGGATATTCATTCAATGAATCTTTTTTCCCCACCAGGTCGACATCTACGGAGCTTGTGGCAACTTCAAGTGCTCGCGGAGCACGGCGGATAAGTGCTTTGAAATCCTGGACAACGACTACAAGTTCTACCTGGCGTTCGAGAACTCAAACTGCAAGGACTACATCACGGAGAAGTTCTTCGTGAATGCGCTGAACAGAAGGGTGCTGCCCATAGTGATGGGTGCTCGTCCGGAGGACTACGAGGTGAGTGCCCCACGGAGGTCCTACATCCACGTGGACGAGTTCGCATCGCCGAAGGAACTGGCCGAGTATCTGCACATTCTTGATGCCGACGACGAGCTGTACAACTCGTACTTCAAGTGGAAGGGCACCGGGGAGTTCGTGAACACCTACTACTGGTGTCGTGTTTGCGCCACCCTTCACAACGAGGAGCAGCTGAGGAAGCCCCGCTGGTACACGGATCTCAACGATTGGTGGCGGGGACCAGGAGTGTGCACGACGAGATCCTGGCGGAACTTCAAGGCGCGCAAGGATGTTATCAGCGACTCCAGCGACGACTGAGTCCCAGTCCTTGATGCGATCCAGATCGTGGGCATGGGCATTGCGTAGATAAGAGGTCACCTACAGGCATCAGTGAGTCCTCAGTTTTGCATAGATGTTTCGTAGGTATCACCATCTCTACTTTCTATCAGTATCACTATCCGCAGGATGGGTCCATTTTGTTTCGCAATATGTGGTCTTTAAAAAATTACACTATTCCATTAGTTTCACATTCGCAAAAATGCCAAATGTTTAGATAATATTAGTTCTGCTAAGTTCTCCTTAAATTATTCCTAGTCTTCAATGGAATCATAAGATATTTAGTTTATTTTCCGAATTCCCTTTTTCTCTAAAGACACTGAGTTCTAATTTGTTATCAACACTTCTTCTAGTCGCACGTGAAATCAAAAAAAATAGACCCATCCTTTGCTAATCCATGTGTAAATGGTCGCTTCGTTTTTGTCGGAGTTTTACGTACGTGTTTTTTGTAGTTAGTTAGTAAGTAAACCAAACCTCGGAGCTGGAACATCATGGAAATCTAAATCAAACCGAGGAGGCACGAGGTGAGGAACGTTTAAAAACTATAGCCAATAGATCCCCGTGCCGATCGTTGTAACATATACAATACCAGATGCATAAGAAAACGTAGAAACCTAGCCTAGTTATATATGGATATACAAATGATATGTATACATAGTTCGGTAATTTATATAGTTGTTTAAACCAAAAGCAAGTCCAAAATAGACCATAATAAGATAAAGAGAGGCAAGCAAGTTAAAGTAGTTTGACATTATCAAGCTTAACTACCACGAGAAGACGCATCGGCTAAATAGCTTAGATCTTTTGTAAGTGTTTTTGTAAGCAACCAGCTGATGGCTCGATCTGAAAGTAAGTTGCCTGTTGATCGAGCACACCTTCATTTCCCCCATTGATTTTCGGTTTTAGATATTGTCTAGCCTGGCTTTTAGTTTAAATAAATGTTAGCTGTAGAGAGCTACTTGAAAAGGTTTCCCAGCCTGTTGACTAACTACTTACTCTATAACCGATTCGCACAAGCTAACACATATATATCTGATCTAATACAAATACAATCTGCATTCCTATTTTTCACAAAATATCATATGACGTATTATTTCAATTCGAACAGCGCATATGTGTGTTTTACAACAATTTTTAGCAATATTTGTATTTATTGTGTAACATTTAATTTATAAGTATTGAATAATATCATCTGTGTGTGTATTTTGATTGTGAACTTGTTTTAATTTTAATTTTTACTGTGATACAAAAAATAATAATTATAATAAACAAGAATTAAACAGTGGCAACAGTTAAAAATGTTATCTGGGCTTCGAAAAGATGGCACATCTTTGTGATTCAGAAAACTTAAGGATAAAAAAAAATTCATACATATTCAAATACTGAAAAATGCTTAGTAAGCAACGTATACTTCAAGCTACAGCAGAGCTGCTACACATAGGTTATACATATTCAAAAAATTTCACAAAAACTCCATAAATATCTGATAGCCTCAATTATGAAGAATCTGAACTGAATCTTAAACATGACACATTTTTAGCTGCTTTAGTAATTCTTTAAGATTATGTAATTTCTCCTTCTTGGAATCTTCCTTTACTGCGGTGGCAGCTACAATCTTTGCTGTAATCTTGCGCTGCAGAGCAATGGCTTCGACTTTCTTGGAAAGCTAAAGATTTAAATAATTTAATTATATTAAATTAAAAAATATTTAAAAAAACACCTACCTCATAGGCACGCTTGATAATTCCTTGAGGCATTCCAGCTAATTTTGCAGCATTAAATCCATACGATTTCGGACACGCACCGGCTGAGTATTTGTATAGGAACGTAACCGTTTCTTGGGTGGGATCCGCTGTGTCCTCGTTCTCCACCATGCAAGCCATGTGACCCAAAGTTATCCGCTTGTCGTTGTGGAAGAAGTCAATCAGATTGTGGTAGTGGGTGGAGAACAGAGTGCGACACTTCAGATTGGCCAGGAAGTTGACCACAGAGGCCGCAATGGCGGTGCCATCATAGGTGGCGGTGCCCCTGCCCAATTCGTCGAGCAGCACAAGCGAGTGGCATGTGGCGTGCTTGAGAATGAGTGAGGTTTCGTTGAGCTCCACGAGGAAGGTACTGTGCCCGGCCAGAATATCATCTTGAGCCCCCAGTCGCGTGAAGATTCTGTCCACCAAGGAGAGGCGACAGCTTGCGGCGGGAATGTGAGCACCCTAAAAAAAAGTAGGTAACTTTATTTTTAAAAACAAGAAAGGAAGCTAGCTTCGGCAAGCCGAAGCTTATATACCCTTGCAGATTATTCCTATTAACTAAGAGAAATTTAGATTTACTTGCTTATATGTTAAAACAATAGAAATTTTGGCTGCTTTCGTATTATTTTGGCATTATTTTTTTGATCCTTCCTATGGGAGCCATATAATATAGACGTCTGAATTTTGTTAAATTTAAATCGAAATTTTGAAATGTTAAAGAAAAGCTATATACCAGTGAAGAAGGGAATGTAATAAAAATCAACAAAGATATTATTTATTTCCCATTAATTTGCATTTAATTTTCCTACCGTTCCTATGGCAGATATATGATATATTGTTCCGATTTTTCCTAAATTTTATTCGAATTTCATAAATATTTAAAAAATAATATTCCCAAAAGTGGAGGGTAATATTTAAAAAAACACCGAAGCTAGATTTTGTTTACGTTTTTTTTCCGATCTTTCCTATGGGAGCTATAAGATATAGTTGTCCGATCCGGTCGGTTCCGACTTATATACTACCTGCAATAGAAATAAGACTTTTGGGAAAGTTTCATCCCGAAAGCTTCAAAACTGAGAGACTAGTTTGCGTAGAAACAGACGGGCGGACAGACGGACATGGCTAGATAGACTCGGCTATTGGTGCTGATCAAGAAAATATATACTTTATGTGGTAGGAAACGTCTCCTTCACTGCGTTGCAAACTTCTGACTGAAATCATAATACCCTCTGCAAGGGTATACAAATAAATAGATTTTTCAAATATGCTTACAATTTGTGCCATAATCACCAGCAGCCCCAGTTCCCTCATCAGCGTGCTCTTGCCGCCCATATTGGGACCGGTGAGAAGGGACAGCGGCGCCTCCGAGGCTGTGCCCAGTTCCAAACCATTAGGAATGTAAGTGGAGGCGTTTACACAAGGATGGTAGCCCTCTTCCAGTTGGATAAACGGCTGATCCACGCCAGAGACCAGCTCCGGCACACAGATGACCATCTGGTGGCCAGCGTACTCCGCCAGGGAGCCCAGGACATCCAGGTTGGCCACACAATCGATGCACTGCTTCCACTGATCGTAGTGACTGGAGAACTTCTCGAAAAGGCGGCGCGCCAAGTCCTTGAGCACCATGTTCCTTGTATCCTCAGCCTGCTGCATATCCTTGAGCAAGGCGCGAGTTTCAGCGGTGGTGTAGCGACGCGAGGGCTTCTTGCCTTTGGTTTGTCCCTCCAGGGAATACGACTTATTTGCCTTGCCGGCATGGCTTTCGGGCACATCCAACTGGTAACGCTTCTTGTCGCTGCCAAAATAGGTAATGCGACAACCGAAATGGCGCTCCTGCTCCACGAGATATTTCTTCAAACGCCCTTCGATCTCATCTATCGATTCCATTGCCGCATCGTACTCTGCATCCATGCCAGCTTGAGGAGCAATCACTCCCGTTTTGGCCGCTGCATCGTGATCAAATGCGGTGGCAAAGTATTTAAGTTCCTTGCTCAGGTCGGGGAATGAACCTCCAGACTCGGGCAGTTGCGTAATCCTCTTCAGCAAAGCTGTCTCACACTGATGGAACATCATGGGCAGCTTGGTAAGCGAGTTGAATCCCTTGAGAACGGCCATGAATCCCAGTAGCTTCTGCTTGTTGTATATCTTCTCCTCGAAGAGAATGGCCCGCGAGTCCGGATGATCCATCTGCTTTATTTGCTTGTTTCCAAACAAATGAATCTGCGCCAGATTCCGCTCGAAATCCGGCAGCGGTGCCAGCAAGGCACGAACCTCCTGCAGTTCGGCCGACATCCTGATCAGCTCCCCAATGGCATCTTGTCGCTCTTGAATGACCGCCACATCGCAGCTGGGAGCACAAAGCCAGTGGTGCAGCAGTCGCTTGCCAAACTTTGTGCAGCAGTGATCTAAAGAGGATAGCAAGGTGTGATCCTCGCCAATAATCCGCAGATTCGACAAGGTAGTGGCATCCAGGACCATGTGGGAACGCCTCAAGGTGGAGGTTGCAGTGGGTTTGGCATCCGCCAGTTGATCGGGTGGCACATAAAGCTGATACCTAGCCATGGGCAATACTTTCGGCTCCAGTTTGCACTTGTGGATGAAGAAGATGCACTCGCCGAGGGCTTTAAGGGCCAGCTTGTAATCGTCGCTTGGCGTGAGGCCCAAATGATCCACATCCGACTGCATGGTGCGCAAGACCAAGGGCCAGTTGTCATCACCGCCGTTCCCGGCATAATAGCGCTCCGCTAGGAGTTTTAGGGTTTTCTCAGCACTACACGCCTGCGTTCCATTACTGGGAACCTGCTCCTTGAGGATTCCACCCAGCACAGTGCGCACTATTTGCTGGGATCGCTGGCTCAAAGCGGATTTCTCATTGAGAAGCTGGGGAACATATATAAATTAATAGATTGCCTTGTAGAAAACTTGAAAAAGAGTTACCAAGACGGGCATATGATGGGAAAGCAGGGTGAGCAGGCGAGAACAGTTCTTATCGTCCTCGAACTCGCCCAAGTGAAAATCCCCTATGGAGGTGTCAATGAAGCACACGCCAAACCGGCTCCAAGTGCCCTCGTCCTGCTCAACCAAGGCCAACATATAGTTTGGCTGGTGGTTCGGTCCGATCTTGCACTGCGATCCAAAGACCTGGGTGCCGCGATTGGTGATCTGGCAGATCTCACGGGCCACCACTTTGTCGAACTTGGTGGCCTTGATGCGCTTGCAACGCTCGGTCATCATGTCCGGGGTTTCTGTCTGCTCCACGCGGGCCACCTGGAAAATAACGATTGATAAATTATCTCGGATTTTGCATACTTTTTATAGGATAAAGATAGATTAATTCCGAAAACACCAAAGTTCGTTTCAATAAAAATATTGTTTAAAATTAATGGAATATTTTAATTTTTTTGCATTAAATTCATATTCAAAAAATATGCAATATAAAATAAACTGAACTATTCAAGGTTGTCCATTTCATAGCCAACCTAATTTTCCCGAAGAAAATTGTTTTTTCCTTTTCGTCATTTCTGAAATATCTAATTTTTTTCCAAATTTAAGGAAACCCTATTTATATTTCCAACAAGTAGGCGAAAAGGGGGCAAAAATAGTAAAAGGGGCAGAATAGTTTTTGGCCCTATCGGCCAAACTGCTCGTTAAATTGCTGGACGTTTTTACTGAAGGTTCCTTAGAATACCAGAGGGCTGCATTAAAAATTTGAGCCTCCAGTTGTTTGCATATATTTTGCATATTTTATGCATATATTTTTTTCATATATTTTGCATATTTTATGCATATATTTTTTGCGTGTATTTAGCATATTTCCGATATGCATCCGAATTCATTACATTTGAAAAATATGACACCTACCTAGAAATATTTGTAAAAATCGGACCAAAAATGGACAAATATGCAAAGTCTTATCAATGATAAGATAAACTGGGAAGTAAATATAGGAAGCCACAACTCACCTTGAATCCCCTGTCGATGAGGATGGTGGACATCTTATCGAAGGATATCTCCGGGAAGCCCGAGTGCGCGAACTCGCCGCGCATGTAGGTGAAGCCCAGCTCCTTGACCCCCACATCCGCATCCATGTGATAGAGTTCATAGAACTTGCCCACCTTGAAGAACAGCACGCAATCGTAGTTGTCCGATTTGAGCACCCACCACTGGCGAACTCCCGGCGACAGGCCGTTGAGGAACTTCTCCGGCACATGCAGGGTGCTCTTGTCGTAGTCCTCGTGCTCGGGTCGCCTGCCCGCCTTGTCCTTGATCTTGTCCGGCTGCAGAAACTCCAGTTTCTGGTGCGGCCAAACGACGGGCTCATCCAGCGTGGAGGTGGTGGTCACGATGTCATCGTAGGATGCATCCTTCTTGGCATTGCTCTGCAGATGCTTGAGCTTCTCCTGGAAGGTGGAGCCCTCGGCCAGCTGGACAGTTGTCTCCAGCTTGACCTTTTTGCTCGAGGGCTCGTTGTTGTTGTTGTTATAAAGGATCTTGGACTTTTTGCGGGACTTTTTCGGCGTGGGACTGTCCACGGACATGTCGTTCTCGCTGGGCGAAGCCACCTCCTCCTCGCCGCTGCTGACGCTATCGTCACTGGCTTCATTGGCATCCGGCTCGTAGTCGGAGGCGCAGTCGGAGAAGTCCTCCTCCGACTTGGTCTCATCCATTTCCGGTTCGCTTTCCGTTTCCGGCTGCAGGATGCGCTTTCGCTTGCGCTGCCCACTGACCGCCTCGTCGTCGGAGTCCCCGGCAATGGGCAGCTTCCTCTTGGCCGCTGGCTTGGAATCCTTTGCTTTGGAATCCTCAACTTTTGCCTGCTGGTTGTGGAGATTCTCCTTTTCTGTTTTCCCGCTCGGTGTCAGTTTCTTCTTGTCGACAGCCGGCGATTTGGTGAAGTAATTGAACAATGTGTTTGTGGGCGTGCCGCCCACGCTGGTGTTCAACTTCTTGGACATGATTTGGGTCTGCAAATGATGGCCAAAACCAGGATGACAAAACCAGGACGCCGAGATTATGCGCCAAAACCAAAAGACAGTATGACCGCACTCGACATGTCACGTAAGGCGGCTGGCGTAACGTAATGAAGTCACTACGTAACGGTTGGTTTAATTAACCGGTCGCTTTAAGGTCACTCTATTTCCAGCAAGAAGAAGAGAAAAATTAAACAAATTTCACGAGTATAAATAAATAGACTTTAAAATAAAGCAAAATGTCGCTGGCAGACGAACTACTCGCTGATCTGGAAGAGGACAACGACAATGAGTTGGAGGAGGAGGACGCCGAGATGGCCAGTGCCGAGGATGAAAGCGTAAGCCATCGAAACCAGGTGCGAATCCTTGGAGATTCTCTAAGAGATTCCCCCATTTTCCACAGCTGCTGGCGGAGAAGTTGGCCAAACCGGCGCCCAATCTGATGGACGTCGATGTCACCGTGCAATCGGTGCGGGAGCTCTGCAAGCTGCGCGACTCGGAGCGCCTGCGTAACACCCTGCAGCAGATCGAGCACTACGCAAGTCGCCAGAGAACTGCCGCCGAAATGCTCGGATCCGTGGAATCCGATCCCGAGTACTGCCTCATCGTGGACGCCAATGCCATTGCCGTGGACATCGACAACGAGATCTCCATTGTGCACAAGTTCACCAAGGAGAAGTACCAGAAGAGATTCCCCGAACTGGATTCCCTGATTGTCGGGGAGATTGAGTACTTACTGGCAGTCAAAGAGCTGGGCAATGACCTCGACCAGGTGAAGAGCAACGAGAAGCTGCAGGCCATCCTCACGCAGGCCACCATTATGATAGTCTCCGTCACCGCCTCCACCACTCAGGGGTAAGTTAAGGCCACCACTTAGTCCCTTAAAGCCTTAAATTAAATCCCTTTCCCTTCAATAGCACCATGCTCACGCCAGCGGAGAAGGCCAAGATCGACGAGGCCTGCGAAATGGCCATCGAGCTGAACAACTTCAAGTCCAAGATCTACGAGTACGTGGAAAGCCGCATGACCTTCATAGCCCCCAATCTTTCGATGATGGTCGGTGCCTCCACGGCTGCCAAACTCCTGGGCATCGCCGGCGGCCTCTCCAAGCTGTCCAAAATGCCCGCCTGCAATGTTCAGGTGCTGGGCTCGCAGAAGAAAACCCTCTCGGGCTTCTCACAAACGCAGATGTTGCCGCACACTGGCTACGTTTACTACTCGCAGATCGTCCAGGACACTGCTCCCGATCTGCGACGCAAGGCAGCTCGTTTGGTGGCCGCCAAAGCGGTGCTGGCTGCTCGTGTGGATGCCTGCCATGAGAGTGTCCACGGGGAGATTGGGCTGCGCTTCAAGGAGGACGTGGAAAAGAAACTGGACAAGCTGCAGGAACCGCCGCCGGTGAAGTTCATCAAGCCGCTGCCAAAGCCCATTGAGGGAAGCAAGAAAAAGCGAGGAGGCAAGCGCGTGCGCAAGATGAAGGAGCGCTATGCGCTCACAGAGTTCCGCAAGCAGGCCAACCGCATGAATTTCGGAGATGTACGTAATATATTAAATGCTCATAAACTATTTGGTAACTTTACCCATCTTCCTTGCAGATCGAAGAGGACGCCTACCAAGGAGATCTGGGCTATTCGCGCGGCACCATTGGCAAAACAGGCACCGGTCGCATTCGATTGCCCCAGGTGGATGAGAAGACCAAGGTGCGGATCAGCAAGACGCTGCACAAGAATCTGCAGAAGCAACAGGTGTACGGCGGAAATACCACAGTCAAGCGGCAAATATCCGGAACAGCCTCCAGCGTGGCCTTTACGCCACTGCAAGGCCTGGAAATCGTCAATCCCCAGGCGGCGGAACGTTCCCAGACGGAAGCCAATGCCAAATACTTTTCAAACACCTCCGGTTTTCTGTCAGTCGGACATCGGACCACTTAAAACCAACACCTCTATCACCTTTTTCTATAAAATTAAGCACTTTTATTTGGAGATTTGTCGAATGTATAATGAATTAGGCGTAGTAAAGCTGCAACGAAGCTGCACTAGAGATTCCAATTGTTGTTAGCTGAGCTTGCCCACCTCCAGCTTCCGCTGAATGGCCTCCCAGGAGTTGTTCAGCAGCACGGCCAGAATTCCGGCCACCGTGAAGACGCCCCCGATTATGGAACAGCAATTCGTGGCAAAGTGGCCAAAGGAGCTGGGTGTACAAAATTAATACATGAAAAATTGTAATAAAGGTTAATTTGTAGTGTACTGACTTGTGCTTCTCCGCATATTTCACCATCAGCGGCGAGAGTTCGTAGCTGAAGAATATTCCCGGCATTCCCCGTTCGCGATCCGACAGATCTTTTCGGTATCTCGTGACGGAGAATTGATTCGTGTATATCGGCTCTCCGTCACTACTTCCTCGCATGTATAACGTGGGCACAATTTTTAGATAGTAATTGAACATTTCACTTTTGGTCTCTGAAAATAAATGGTAATTGTAGTGATTAAAAATAAATTCCAATTGTAGAGATTCAAAATGGGGAAAAGATAGTGAAATTTTAAAGCCGATTGACTGGCTATATATTTATGGAATTTTAAAAATTAAAATTAAAAGTTGGGTTAAAACTCTAATTTCCCCATACGATTTTAAGGTTTTAACCCTACTTTAAATTTAACAAACGGACGAAAAATCTGCCCTAAATGTTACTATGTAGTCTATGTTCTCCACAGAATCGGTTGATAAATTAGAGGGATCATTTTTTGGTTGATTTATATTTAATGAAACAATAAAAATATTTAACATAAATTTCAGGCGTTAAAACTCTAGAATGCGGGGGTTCCTGTTAGCCAATACACCCCACTGGCTTAGCAAAGACACCCTCCAAATATTTCAGCGTGACCATTTGAATACTTTTTATATTCGATAAAGTCTATCGACATCCCTAGCTCACTGACACATTCACGTTGTTCGACGAGTCCGGTGCCGAAATAAATAGAAATATTTCGAATATTTCCCAAAATAAACGGACCTTTGGGCGCTACTTGCAATATTCATCAGAAGATCGGAGCAGCGGAGCTTGCTACTTAGCGGGAGCAACTTGTTTATAGCCGGAGAACGAGAGAAGCCAAGGACTTTGCGGCATGCCACTGCCCACGAGCTCATTTTCCCAGCAGGGACCGTCGTGCTTTGATAAGATGAAGACGGGCTTCATCATCGGATTCTGTGTGGGCATGGCCAGTGGAGCGGTCTTCGGGGGATTCTCGGCACTCAGGTGAGTTGGACTTTGCACCCGGATGGCCGATTTACCACTCCGCCAATGGAGAAGTGACGCAAGTGGAGGCCGGGAATTATGTAATTACACCGGCTAACTAAAAAATCTTCTACAGATACGGACTACGTGGTCGGGAGCTCATCAACAATGTGGGCAAGACCATGGTCCAGGGAGGCGGAACCTTCGGGACCTTCATGGCCATTGGCACAGGGATTCGCTGCTGATCAGGCTGGCATTTGACTAGAGTTACGGAAAAAAAACCCAACCTTAAGCCCTACTCCAATCTTGTTTAAATTACGCTAAGTTATTGCAATAGAGAGATGTTAAAGAGATACGAGAGATGGGCTTGTTTATTTACTACTACTCACCAGTCACGTCCACTCGCAGTCCATCCAAAGGATGCGTCTTGGCGAACTCGATCTTCTCGCCAAACGACAAGTGATTGATTGTGTGCGATAGCTTCACATTGCTGAACTGAAAGTCGTGGATGTGGAACTGGCGGATGGAGAAGCTCTTGCCGGGCGCAAAGTGGAAGCTGCCGGCCATGCGATTCACCTCCAGGTGGCCCTGGATGCGACAGCCCTCCTTGAAGGCGTCCTCGTCGCTGCGCTTGTACTTGCCCTTGCATTGCTCTATCTTGTCCACTGCCACGTTCCACTTGCGCAGCCGGTAGGCGTCGAGCACATCCTCGCAGGTGTTGCAGCAGCTGGATTGGATTGTTTTTTAGCATTAGAAAGGGGAGTTTAAGGAGACATTACTATAAATAGAGCTCTATCCTGATCTTAGGTTACTGTACAAAAAGTTCTTCTCAATAAGAACCAACTTTGATTTAAATGTTACTGTAAGCTTTTTTTCAAATTAACCTTTTAAAACTTAGCTTCTGAACCATTTAGCTAGTTGAATATATTCAAAGTCACGTTGGGTCTGAAAACTAATATGTTATAGTTAAAAATAAGTTAAAACATGAAACCTCCTAGATATATAATACTGGCTTAGATAGTTATAACTCGAGACCTGCATGAGTACACTTGAATTGACAAATAAGTCAATTTTAAATTTCAGTTAACTTGGATTATTTTTTTCCTTATAAAAAGGGAAAACAAGTGATATAATATAAAATAAATAGATATAAAATAATTTAGAATCACTGAAATAATTTGCTTAGTTATTCTATCACTTTCGCTCACTTTTATTCTGTGCTTGTATCACTTGTTTTTCCATACGAGTGACCAAGTGAAACAAGTGATCCAAGTTAACTCACTCACTCTATTTTCAAAAATTGACTTGTTTGTCAATTCAATTGTACTTATGATATTTAAAGCTATCCTTCTTTATATGAAATGCAATGAAAATTATATTTTTAAAGGTTTAAAAGATCACTAAAGAAGTTAACCTGAGTCTCAAAGTTTAGACCGTGTGAAATACTACTTTTTAGCAGCTGTTTGTTACAACTGGAAATCATTTCCAATGACTTGGTTAAAGGCTTAAAAAATATTTAAGTCTGACTGAACTACATTTACTGAATACAATTAGAATTTAGAGCCACTCGATAAGACAAGTTTTAGTTATAAAAGTTGGACCAACTAAAGTTTTTAATCCGAATCCGGATATCTTGCTTACTGGGTGGCATTGTGCTCCGCGCCGTAGCAACTGCCACAAGTGACGTTCTTGTTGGGCGGCGATACCGCCACAATTTCCTTGATGGGCGTCTCCTTGAGGGGCTCCCCCTTGAGATCCAGCCGGTGTTTGAAGACATCATGGTCCACCCTTAAATGGGTGTCCCCCGACGAGTCCATCGCGTCCAAGGAGATGTAGTTGCAGGCGAGATTGTGAAGTGTGACATCCAGATTTATCCTCAACTTGTGACCCCTCGTTGTGTCCACGAATAGTTCCTCATTTAGGGTTGGCTGCATGTAGCTAAGGAACTCGAGGAATATCAGGAGACTGATAATGCTGGTGCTGATTATGGTAACTGAAAATCGAGAAAAGCCGGTTGTTTGGGTTCCTTATCGCCACAATCAAGTTTACAGCTGCACCCACCTGCGGCGCCGCCCACAGTGCGAACACTGAAATCATCCAAGGTGCGCGGATAGGCGTCCAAGCGACGCAGCACGTCGGCGAACTTCATATTTTAAAAGCAACACACTAAAAATAAGAATCAGAGACGTAAACAACACAAATTACACATTTTTCGCAGTTGCAGGTGACGTGTGCGATTGGCGTTGCCGGATGTCTGCAATTATTCAGCCAAACAGATGTTCACTGCTGGCCGCTGACTGCGACTAATAGCAATCGTTATCGAATTACGAATGTACATTTCCCTTGAAAATTAATCATACGACATGTACGCCAGTCAATAATAACGTACTTGTATAAAATTAAATTAAAATCAAAATTGCGTATGAGCAATATTTTTACAATTTTTAAAATTTAAATTTTATTAAATAAAACATTTGTCTTTTTTTTTTTAATCTTTATATTATCTTTATGTGCAACCATGGCAGTACAGCCATATGTAAGAGAGTTATAAAAAAATCGATTACAAAATTTTTATGGGATCAACTTAATATTTCTGTGCATATAACTTAGTATACATAAATCGTGAATTCAAAAAAAATGTAATTTTTTATTTGGCTCTTTTGTTATGAATACAAATTATTTTAACGCATTTGTTTAAAAACTTTGAAGATTTTATCATAATTTGATTGATGAAGAAGTCCTTTTGCTTAGCCTGGTATTTCGTCCTTCTAATATATTTCATGGATATTCGACTGAAATTATAGGATTTTCAAGGCATATTTACGGTTTTTTTTTTTGGGTATAAGTACATAAGTATACGCTTACCTAAAGGAAATCAAGTGAAGTTTTAAATCATACTGGAAATGATTGTAAGGAATGATTTGGAAACAAACGCGGAAAGTTTTTGCATTGGTCTGGAGAAATTGCACCTGACGACTAAGGCGCAACGGTGCCTACTTAGCACAACTGTTCCTTAGTCATCAGGTGTAACCTATCCAGTTCAATGAAAAAGCTTCCGCGTATGCTCTCAAAATATTCCTTGAAATCACTAAAAGCAATTTAGCATCGTTTTCTACTCCCAGTTGTTTATTTTAATTTTTATTCCCATGTTGAGGTTTCCAAATTGTATTGTCAATGTTTTCGGTCCTTGATGTGTTAACATTTTTTTCCAATTTTTTTTTTTGGTATGGAAAAAAAAGGCAATTGTGCCTTGTATCAACATTGAATAAGAACTAAAGTAGGTAATCTGAAATATGGAAACATTTATTCGTCTCATTTCTAATCTTTTTCTGCATAAAATTACTCACACATATTTTCTCTTTATGTACAGTGTGAACTCCATGTATAACATTTATAAAAATGTAATTTCTAAAATGTCAAAATAATGCAACAAATATTATTAATATGTCTAAAAAAAGATACTATAATAATAGTATTTTTTCCAAGAACACGCTTCATGTTTATTTTACTTATTTTCTTATAAATGCTAATATGTTTATAAAATTATATTTTCTTATATTTAGGAAAATGGGTAAAAGGTATTTGAATCTCCTTATAGCAGCATCAAAAAATTCCGTTCTTATATATACATAATTCAATGAAAAACACTGACCCATTTGATTTTGGTGTTTTCTTATCAAGTAACTGAACTGAATTGAAAAAAGTACTCATTTGGGAGATATTTACCCTTGCCCTTCATTAACTTCCATTCCACATATATTAAGCATACGCCGCGTTGTCCCGGCGATAATTAACCGCCCTTTCCAATGGCCACGAACAATGTTTAATAGTGTTGTCATGTCTTGGGGCTGTGGTTGCGCATACATTAGGCAGTCCAAGCCCACCATCTGCACCACCCTTAACCCACTGATGCTGCTGTGGTCCAGGAGACCGCGTCTAATTTTATAATACATGTTAAACAGATGAAAGGTTAATTGAAAGGAACCACAAGTTTCGACAGCCCACGCAGCCAATGCTTAGCTTTTAGGGGTTGTGACCTCCCAACCCCTGCTGAAAAAGGAATAATAGGAGACCGAGGCTTATCCCCGGGGATTTTGGTTAGAGTTAAAAGTTTTCGCTTAAATATAAATCACCGAATTGCTTGTCGCTTGACTGATTGAAGCCAAAACCCGAGAACTGAGGTCCACGAACCCAAAATCCATGCACGGTCACAAATAATTGTATGTAGGTGTGTAGAACATGCCGCGACTTTGTGTAATTACCAATTAAGCTCAAGTCCCCAAAGCTTTCTCATTTTCTTTGCCACTCTCTAGTTTCCTTTGTCTTTCTTCTGCCGACTTGACCTTTTTTTGCAATTACCTGGACAAGAAATCAGTAAAATCAGGCAAGGCAGCAGATGACAAAGATTAGCTAGCGGTAATTTTACACTTTTTTTACTTTCTAAATTGAAGTAAATGGATTGGGAAGGGTAAGGTATAGAGCATGTGACTTTAGGTAAGGAAATACCCGTTGAAAACATTATATTATAATACATACCATCTATGTTACAAAAGTGTTAAATTATTAAATATTATTTAAAAACAATTAATTAGAAGATCTGTGATTTTATTGACTTAAGAAAGTGGTTTACTTTTTTTGGAAGGGTTCTAAAAAAAATCTTCTTTCGGCTTTACAGACCGACAAGTTCATAGCCCTTTTTCTCGTACACCCTCTTATATTTTGCCCAACTTATGGCCATAGGGCATTGGGGTTTTTGCCATGGCCATTTCCCTCGACCCCGCCCCCTAACCGCCCCCTCTTATCTCTCGCTAATTTGCATTTCTAACCATTTCGCTCTAGCCAATTCGCGTCATTTCTTATTTGAAACAATGAGCCCAACAGCAGCCAGAACAAATAGCGGAGAAGGAGTCATTGTGCTACGGCTTTGCAGGCAATAAAAGACTCCGGAGACAAAAGAACCGGGCTGAAAAGAGAGAGAGCGTGTCAAGAAACTTAGAACCGGACGGAAAAAGAGAAAGAAAGCCAGAAAAGAAGTTGGCGTAAAGCAGCTTAAACAATCAGGACTGCCTAATGGATATTGACACTTTAATGCCCTGGCCACCGACTCAGACTCTGATTCTGATTTCGAGTCCGCACTGGCAAAAAACCAAATTCTACAAAATATCACAAAAAACATATATAATTTTAATGACCCATATTCATAAATATCTTGTTCTACCATGATTTATATTTCAAGAAGACCGATGCATTTATAAACAAAAATATTAAATGCGGCAATTAGGTAATTAATAGCTGTCGGTATACATAAACATTAAAACCTATAATTTATTAATTTCGAAATATTTATAACCTGTTTCA